ATTATTAAATATTTTAATTATAATTAAGTTAATATATTTTTAACTTTATAATAAAATTTAAATAAAGTATATTTATATATTTTTAAAATAAACTTTTATAAGTTTTTATTTAAATTTAAAATTTTAGATTTATTAATAAATTAATAAACTTTAAATTTTTTATAAATTATAAATATTTAGTTTATTTAAAAATATTTATAATAAAATATTTAATTAATTATAAATATAATTACTTTAAATAATAAAATTTAATATAATATTTAATATTAATAAATTAAGTTTAATATTAATAATAAAGTTTAATTTAAAATAAATAAAGTTTATAAGTCTTTTTAAAATTTAAAATATTAAATTAATAATTTTTAAAAAACTTTTATATTATTATTATTAAAATTTTTTATTAATATATTATTTAAACTTTAATAAAAATAAAACTATATTAATTTAATTATTTTTATTTAATATTTTTATTATATATAATTTATAAAAACTAAAAATTTAATTAATAAATTTCTTAATTTTTATTTATTAAATATATTAATTTATTAATTAAAAGAAATACTTTAAAATTAAATAAATATTTAATTAATAATTATTTAATAAAATAATTAAATATTTAATTTAATAAAAAATATAATTTAAAATATAATAAATAAAAGATAAAATATAATTTTAAATATATTAAAAATTAATTAAAAGTTTAATATTTATAAAAGGAATTTATTTAATTATATTATAATAAAAGTAATAAAAATATTATAACTTTTTTATAACTTTAATATTTATAATAAATATAATAAGTATAATTATATTTATATATAAATAAATAAATAAAATATAAAAAGGTAGTTAATTAGTTATTAATTAATATTAATTAATAGATATATAAGTTATATTTTTAAACTTACCTTAAAAACTATAAGTAAACCTTTTAATTATTAAACCTTTTTTTATATTATATATAAATATAATATAATTATACCCTAACTTATATACTATAAATACTATATTAAATAAGTGTGTGTTTAAAATCTTAATATAACGGTACGGGTCTTATAAGTGTTAAATTCTAAGTTTAAGCAACTTAGAATTATAGTCTTTTAGCCGGGACGCCTATCGCGCAACACTTAATAGATCCATCTTACTTAAATTACATTACTATATAAGGTATATATATCCTTAAATATATCTAACTACTTAAATAGGTACCTAGGTAGCTAATTAAAGTTATAAAATATAAGTTTTAATATTAAATACTTTAATTAATACTTTAATTATTAAATTAATAGTTAAATTAATAATAATTAATAAATATTTAATATTATATAATTTTATTTTCTTTTTTTAATATAAAGTTAAAAGATTTATAATTATAATTTTTTAATTAATTTCTATTTAATTAGTTTCTTTTATTATAACTTAATTTAATTTCTAACTTAATTTAAACCTCTTTTAAATTATATAAATACTTTTATTTTTATAAATATAAATATTAAATTAAAACCTTTAAGTTTAAGTTTAAAATTCTTATAAATCTTAATTTCCTTTAAATTAAACTTATAATCTTTTAACTTTTTATAAATATATTAATTATTTTAAATATTAATAACTTTTCTTTAAAATAAAGGTTTATTTTTATATAATTATAAATTTAATTATTAATAGTTATTTCTTTTTCTATTTATAATAAAGTTATTAAAACTATAAACTTAAATACTATATATAATAATAGAGTGTAGTTACCTTATCTAGTTATCTCTTAGTTTATATAGTAGGCTAAATAACTACTTTTAAGTAGTTTTACTTATAATATAGTAGAGCTAATAGTCTCTTAGGTTCGTTAAATAAGTATTTATTTAAATAAAGCTAGAACCTTTAAGGGAATAATAGCTTTATCTTCACCTATTTTAACTAACTTACTTAAGTTATATAGTAAATTTAGCACTTATATATAATGCTTACTAGCGTTAAACTAGCTTATAGTCCGCAATAGCTTTAATTTTCAATAAACCGGTTTATATTAAGGTTAATAATACTAGCTTAAACTAATTAAGTATAGCTTAATATACTAATATAAGAAGGTATCTTTTAATAATAGATAACATTATAAATAATTATAAAGTTATTATAAAAAGTCTTATATAATAAACTTAATTAAGTTAATCTTTAAAAGATATATTATATTTTATTTTTTTAAAATTTTAACTATTTACTTTTAGTTTAATAATAGAATTAAAAATATAAATAGTTTATATAATATTATTTTATTATTATTTCTTTTTTATAAATAATTATTATTATTTTTATAAAATATATTTATAAAACTTTTATAAAAATACTTTTTAAAATAAAGTTTAAAATATTAATTTATAAATATATTATTATACTTTATTTTCAAATTATATAAAAATAATAAATTATAATAAATTAATTATTATAAATAAAGAATAATAAATTTAAATTTATATATAAATTAAATTTAATTAATAAATTTAATTAATTTAATTAAATACTTTATTATTTATAAATAAACTTTTAATTATTTAAATAATATAAATTTATATTACTTTAATTATTACTTTTATATATAAGTTAAATTAATTAATAAAAATATTTAATAATATTATTTAAATTTTAACTTTATATTTAAATTTTTTTATTTAATAAATTATATAATAATAAATAGTATTAAGTATACTTTATAATATAAATATTCTTATTTATTTATACTTTATTATAAGTCTTACTTAAAATAATTATCTAGCTTTAATTTTATAGGTCTAGGCTCTTATAGGTGTTGAGGTATTAAGGTGACTGAGATGGACCCGTTGAAGACTATACGATAGGTATCCCGGCTAAAAGACAACAATTCTAAGTCCCCCTAACTTAGAATCTAGCACTTATAAGCCCGTACCGTCACAGTGACTGCAATTGGGATTCCAAAATTTAATGCTGGCCCCTAGAATTCTACATTTTATCACTACGGCCCACAACCCTTAGAAGCCACCCATTACATAAGGAACATCTCTATTAGTTGCAGCTAGATGTTCAACATCAGGTGGAATAAGAACAATCTAACACCTTGTTCAACCTAATCCTCTAGTTTAAGGCTTGAATGAATGCGGGTATGCCGGACATAGTTGAATTTCTTTTTTACGGTTGTTTGAATTAAGATGTCATTTCCTCTCTTCCTAAGCCTAAAGCAATGAAATGAGTAAATGAATAGGAAATGATACTAGATGAAACGAAATTTCAGAATTTAGCGGTGATTCCGGGTTTTAGTGTCCATAGCCGGAGTTGCTTCATAGATTAGGGCGAACATTGAATGACTATCACTAAGGTATGTAAGTATATACATACCACGTGATCTTCGAAACCTCTGTTTAGGGAATATGAAGAGTTGTGGGGAGGAAGTGAATAGAGACTTTCAGCATCAAATAGACAATATCAGGCTATGGACTCGAAAAGACACCCCGAGAAAACCCTACTTTTTCGCACTCAAGATGGCTGAAACGGTCTTGAAAACTAACGGTTGTAATAATTTTGACGGCGAGTAAGTAATCACGTTTTTAGAATACTTCAATGTTAACTCCAAATACCGGATGGTGCTTCTTTGAGGAACTCGGAAGCAATCACACCTCTCGCTACATACCTGAGTACTTGAGTAGGTATGTAATTTTGAGGTTGCAGCGCTGAATGGTTCAAGCAAAGTGAAGATCGCGTGCCAACTGGCACCAAAGAGTTTTGAAGCGACCATGCGGGATTGCAACAGAAAAATAACATCATAGTCACAGGACTGGAAAGTCTTTTGGCTTCTGGGCTGCATCCCCGCACCCCTTGGTGGGGAGCCAAACGGCTTGGCTGGGGGCGACGCGTCAAAGTTTCGGGTCAAACACTGCCATGCAAAAGCCAAGGAGCAAACTTCGGTGGAAGTCGAAGCTGCTTCTCAGCCCACGGTAGACCCACTGCACCGCTCTTGTTTGGAAGTGGTTTCGTTTTCAATCCCTATATATGTAAAATGTACGTGGCGCCTTTATATAGTGGTAAACGCTTAAGACCCAGCGTCTGAAGAAATACTGTGCTAATAATAGTGGAAAGAGAATGTAGTACGTGGGCATGTGGTTGAGCCTCGTACCGTATAGATAAGGCTGGAAGGTATCGCTCCCGACGGCGCTGTATTAGAAAGCCGGTAAAGTAGTTATATGGCGAGACTAAAATAGTCTCTTAAAATAGCCCCTATAAGAAGAAGAATCCTATAATGTAAGACCCAGCAAGCTAGCTCTTCCCTATTAACATACTTAATAGCCACCTAGATCTACCCTTATTAAGTAAGCTAGATATACTATAGTTCCTATTCTAAGTATATAGCTAATAGAATAATAATATTATAATAGTAAACCTATTTAAGAAAGCCTTTCTATATAAATTCTATAAAAAGATTAAAACTCTTTTAAAAAGCTAAGTAAAGTTTATTTACTATATATTAAATAAATACTATATAAGGAAAGTAAAAGTCTAGGCACCTAAGAATTAAATCTTCCTCCTTTAAGTATACTATTTTATTATTAAGAATTTATTTACTTTTATATAATATATAAGGAATATAGTGGAAGAGGGAGCCTTATAGGGGAAGCTAGTAACTCTATGTGTGGATAAGTTTAAGGGTATATATTAAGTAATTATTAACTTTATACTTAAAGTATAAGCTAATAGCTAGTCTAAAAGCTGAAAAGATAATAAATAGATAAATAGTTAAATAAAAAATACAATATAGCTAAAGCCCTCTCATTTAAAAGCAACGGTATTACCAGTCACACAGGGGCTATGCGATCAGACATAGTCGAAACCAGGCCCATGTGTTGCCATAATATATCTGTGTCCATTCCCGTTTACTCTGAGGTTCAGCTTTATCAGTAGGTCTTCTTTCATCCCAACATCGTGGCCATTTACCGAAGGTCCGTAAGTCTTATAATAGTGTAAACCTACCAAACCCCATCGAAATGTCTCAAAACATCAAGACAATACCCACTTCGGAGTACGATGCTGTGGTCAAGACGGTGCAAACCTATGTCGACGGCCTGGCTGCTGGCGACAACAATATAATGCGCCATGCGTTTCACAAGGACGCAACCATGTATGGGTTCATTGCGGACAAACTCTTGGAGGGACCAATCGCGAATCTGTACGGCTATGTCGACTCTGTCGGTAAAGCGCCAAACCTTAAAGCGCGCCTGGATGTGCTCGGGATTACCCCAACGACGGCCGTTGTCAAAGTGGACATGGAGAAGGACGCCAGCGGCAACAATTACACCGATTTCCACACGCTGATAAAGCTAGACAACAAGTGGACAATCATAGGAAAGACTTTCCATACTTACGCCTCATGAGCGCCCCGGGCATTTAGGACGTAACACACAGACAAGGCTAGGAGGCATCGTTGCATTGGATAGTTACTGGCCGACGATATGAATATGCAACGGGGGAAGGAGGATATAGAAGGGAAGAATCCTCAATTGACCTGATCATAAAGCTTGAAAATGAAATCTATATACGGGATCTCACACCCCTCTTTTCTTAGTCTTGTGAACAGTTCAATAGGAAAGTAGATGATCATGCTCCGCATATCCTAATAACGCCGGACATGCCTTTTAAGAAGCCCAGGCTTACCGCCTATCCATATAAAAGATAGCATAGCTGTCGCCAAACTGACCGAGGCCAATACAATATTCATGTTTCCATAGCCAAGGACCTGCTTGAGCTCTCCCGCTAGGGCTGGGCCAACAGCGAGACCCAGACTAAAAACCATCGAGTTCAGACCGTATAGCTGCGCGTAAGGTCCTTGTTCGCCGAAGAAGTCGGGATTCGCTTCGTAATACTTTTGGACAACAGATCCTGCCTCAACTATGGACGGCGCACCAATAATGGCCAGCCCTATGCCACAAAGCGCGAGAAGACCACCATACAGTAGTATCTGATCCTTGCCACCCGGGTGAGGAAGGCGGAGCAGGACCAGAACTGGTATGAGGTAGGTGTAGCCGATGACCGCACAGGGCTTCGTTCCATAGCGATCGACAAACCAACCGGCGAGAGGCCCGATGATGAGGTCGAAGGCACCAAGGGGCAGGAAGAGCAGCCCGCCTTTGAGCGAGTCAAATCCGAAGAGCTCTTTCGCAGTCGTAGGCACGGTGGCGTCGAAGCTGCCCAGCAGTAGGGCCTGGACGAATGCGACAAGAAGAGCAGTAAGAAGCCTCGGGTCCGTCATACAAGGCAGAATAGTAATCTTCTGTGCTATTGCGGGCTGATCCTTGGACAATTTGAAGTGGTCCTTCTCTTGGCCCAGCAGGGGTTCCTCTTCCCCTTGCTCGCCATGTGACGGACTTGAGTCACTGCGATTTATGCTTTGATCTTGGGCAGCCTCGGGGTCACCAGCAGATGGTGGGTCCGTTATTTCGTAGCGCTTTGCAACCTTCTTTTCAATCACCAGCACCCGCATGATGAAATCAATCGCCAGTATAGCTAGGCCAATACCGAAGACACCGACATACCCGGTCTTCTCGTACAGAACACCACCAAGAAGTGGAGCAAGTAGATTGCCAACAGATATAAAAGAAAAGATCTGTAGTACCTGATGAGATGGGGGATTACCTCTAGTTTAATCGACAGGAATACTCACCGAGCCAATAGTCTTCCCAAGGTTCTCAGGTCCCACCGTCTCTAAGCACAAGGCCAGCCCTATCGTCCAGACAAATCCACCACTGATCCCCTGAAGCAGCCTCGCCACAACCAGGACAGGTATATTGGTTCCGAGGAAGAGCAAGAGGGTAGCGAGCATAAGCGCCAGCAGGCCCAAGAGGAACGGCGCCTGCCTGGTGGAGGTCTTATCCGCGACATAGCCTGCAACGGGACTGAAAAGCACGGAGGCGCCGGCATACGCGGCCAGCAACCCGTCGACGTGGGACTGCACCTGGTCGTCTGGAAGGCCAACACGATCCTGGAGCATGTACGGAAGAATGGGGACGACAAGGCCGTAGAGGAACAAGTCTGTGAAGAGACCCACTGCCACGGTGGACACGATGAAAAAGGTGTTGCTCCTCCATGACAGCCCGGCAGGCTCGACACTGTAGTCATTACCTATCTGCAGTGTGCTTTTAATCTGCCCTAGAAGGCGTCGCTGCATGGAAGGCATGGCCACCGAGCTGACGGGCACCTATTTGTTTGGTGCCTAGGTATATGACCTGGAGGCTCGTGTTGTTGAATGGCAACGTAGATATTGGAAATTCGGTGGGCGTCAGCTTCTGGTCGAATGAGATTTTTAAGTCGCAATGCAATGGTCGACCAGGACAAAAACCAATGGCGCTTTTGCGGCAGAAACCAGCGGTAGTGATGCAATACCTGCGCAGCAATACTCTGACGTCTTCCATTTACAGCACAGCCCTGTGGTAGGCCCAGCAAGGGTTTAACCCTGGACAACCTGATAATAGTCTCAGTGTCCAATACCTCAATGTTGTGTATCAGAATGTAAACATTACCTAGGCACAGCACATGTAAGTACAGATTTTTCCAACACGTTGATCAGCTCTAAAACACCTTTGAGAGTTGAATCGCAAGCCCGCTTCCTCCTGCTAACCGATACCTCAGCCGACAAACCTTCTAGCCCACTGAACTATGTATGGCTTTGGATGTATACGGAATAGAAGCGAAACCAGCAGATACATCTCTCGCTCACCGGCACTTGCTAGGGCAGCATTTGAACTGGTAATCAATCACGGCATTCGGCAGATGTTCGTACAAATATAGCATTGAAATCTCAGTGCTCAGTGTCAACGAAGCCGAAGCCACTGATACGATCATATCATTTACATAGCACTGGTGTCTTCAGGCCTCGTCCAGTCACGGCAGAAACCCACGCGCGTACAAGATGTGAATGCCTGGGTGTTGCACCATCAAGGGCTGCGCCCAAAGGGCGGGTCACATTGTAGCGACCCTGAATAAGGACGATGCTAATAAATTGACGGGCAAGGGTCCAGGAATAGCACGAACCCACGGACACAAAAGTGATTGTGGGCGCGGGGCCCTGGCCCTGGACAGACGACGGACCGCATAAACGTGGATTCGGCGGGCATTCCGGCTCGGAAAGCAAAAGATGAGACGTTTTGTCGCCCACGCGCCCGGGCGATCAAGAAGACACTGCAGGCCGCCAGTCTTAGGCGCCCCCGTGTAACGTTCCCTGCGAAAGCCCGCAATTCCTTTCCATCAGACAAGTGTGACCGGACCATAGATCAGACGCTGGACATGTAGAGTGTAGACACTATGAGTAGGGCTGAGAGGACGAGAAAGGAAAATTGATGATGCTGGCAGGGAACGTCCCGGATGGTACCTGGCGGGCTTACTAGGTATGAGCGAAGTGATCAGAAGAGACCTGCAGTGCAGTTGTTCTCGTGCCATAGAGCGGGTGCTTGAAGTGGCCCTTTCCCCAGCTTTCTCTATCTACACAGTACTGTGTCTGTGTGTCTGGCAGCTGGCAGCTGGCGGCTGGTGAGGCTAGTACTGTGTAGTAGTGCAAGGTGCAAGTTGTCGTCAGTGTCAGTAGCCCGCCGAATCAGGACTAGCGCCCGATGCACGCTGCACGGCCCCTGACGATCTCGGACTGGGAAGCCCCAACTCTGGCCGCTTGGCCGCTTACCAAGTCTCATCCTACACACTGCGAAACGCCTGGCGACCATCTCTCCGACTGAAGAGCGCTGACACGCAGCAGAATGTTAAGTCAGCCGTCCGGAGCCCAGCAAGATTCAATAACTGGCTGGCTTGGAGAGTCGGAGTGTGGCTCACGCAATGGCGGACGTCCGCCCCGGCCATGCACTCGCTCGTCCTGGACTGGTTTGGTCTGATCTGATCTGATCTGATCTGATCTGCCCTGACAGCCCTGATCCGTCCGACCAAGCTTGGACTGGCTGGGGGAAGCCCGAGTCGTGTCAATTGCTAGACATGGAGCCACATGCGACGGTGCCATCGACGAGTCTCTCATCATCAGTCTCTTTGGCGCTGTCATGTGATGCCGGCTGCCTGTCGTCGACCGCCCTGCCGCCCTGCCGCCATGGGCTGCATGGCAAGATGGCAGCTGGATGGGCGCGGTTGGCAGTCAACAACCGCTTGAGCACCAGCAGTGCCGAAGGATGATCGGCATCTCCCACAGCCATCTGACCATTTGATCAGCCAGACAGCTGCCAGATCGCCCGCCCGTGACAACAGATAGGCCCTTCTCGTGTCGGGATCATCGTCTCCTGAGATTAATCGGCAATGGCAGCGTCGCAGCCATCGCGAAGTAAAATTGCACACACACCCTGCGTCGTCGAAAGCGGTAAACCCACATCCTGCAAGGCACGGCTTCGGCATAATTTATTGTCTGGATGGTAGACCAACAAACCATCGGACGGGAATGGATTGGCGTTGGCGTCCTGGTCCCTGTCGCGCCTCCATCAAAAACACCGGCCCAATCACGGCCGCCAGCCCTCTGTGCCTGTCAAGCCTGTCAAGACCCGTGTGCTCGGCAAGGCAGCAGGGTGGGTGTCGCTTAGCCTCGTGGTCGATTAAGTCACACGCAATAGTTCCACAGAGCGAGCCCGAGGCCCAAGAGGCGCGCGCAAGGCATTCAGCACAGGACTGTTTAATCTGGCTTCCAATAAGCGACCGCCCTGGGGCTTATTATTTGCGCCGCAGCGCCTTCCCCGTTCCGGCCACGAGGCGACTCGCCTTTCTCCTGGCCCCGGTGGCCCCAGTCGGCAGCACACCATGGCCAATCGCTCCCCGCCGAACCCCTGGATCCTACGAGTTGTGGTCCCCCCAGACCGAGACCCGCCCCTTTTTTTCTGGCCGGCTGTTGTTTCCCCAATGGAACTCCCTGTACCATTCGACCAAAATCCGCCTCGCCCTCCCAGCGGTTGCGGTGCCAGTTCCTCCTTCCAGAAGACGCTGCTGGTTGCCGTGGATTGCGAACCTCTTTCGCTGCTGCTGCTCCTTTGATTGATGTTGCATGCCCTACACCGCGTAACTGTTCTGCCGGCTCTGGTCACTTTCCGCGTCCTCTCCTCCCGTACCCGCGCGTCCTCCACTGCTCGCCCAAGGAACAAACCATGTTCTCGCGGTGATCATTTGCCGTCCCGGGCCAATTGCACCTCAACAGTCCTTTGCCTTCTCTTTGGTATATCCATCATGTCGCAGGCCATGACCCTCGAGCCCTCCCCGGTGGACCTGGACCGGACCATGGCACCGTCAGAACACAACGGACTTGGCACCGCATACGACCACTACCGATTTGACGACGCCCTGTCCTCCTCACAGACACCTGATACACTAGACGCTTCACCTGGTCCACCTCGGGCGACAGCAATCACCCACCCCCAAGAACAATTCGTCCAGCCTTTGTCACATGGGCAACCCTTCCACCCTTCCTCTCGTCCCGAATCAGCTAATTCTGGCGTTCTGCCACCACCGCCACCACCGCGCTCGTCCACGCCGCTCCATAGCCCAAGGAGTACCAGGTCTCAGAGTCTAGCTGCCTCTCTTGGGAGCCAGTCACCCATCCGGCGCAAGCCTTTGAGTCCCACCGCCTCGCCATTGGCCGTTCGTTTCTCATCAAAGAGCTACCACATGAAGCCTCATGACCTCCCGGACGAGCCAGACTCTGGTTACTATTCGCTTGATAGCCCGGACTTGTATGACTTGGGCCCAGCACAGGGTCCAGCTCCCGTAGCCTCCCTCCCCACGCCCCTCGAGCCTCTGTCCGAGGAAGAGTAGGTTTAACCATGTCTTAAATACTCGGACGACAACCGCCAGGCTGACAGGAATGTTTTGCGTGCTAGATTCCAGGGCAAGTGGCCGTCATCCCCGACCGGGCCTATCGCGCCGGCCCCTTTGGAGGTTCGAAACATTCCAGACCTCAGCCCTGCACCACCTCAAACGGACGGTTTGACACAGCCCAAGCAACCCGCAAGTGCTTCAGACGTCACTCTGGCCACTCAGGGTCTAGGCCAGCCCGACGCGGAACCAACCAGTCCCAATAATCATAATACTAGCAGTAGCATGTCTATGTCTGGCCGGCCGCCCATGCCCCCACAGCTAGATCTTGATTATCGAAACTCAATCGCCCAACACAACAACACTCTCTCTCCTACTCTGGACAGACCACCAGACAGCGCATCCAGTTACCGCAGCCACGGCAGTCTCAACAAGCCACTACCAAGTCCGCCGCCTCCGAAGTCACCAGCCGGCTCCTCCAAACTGAGCAATTTCTTTGGCTGGGGTGCACCATCGCCGTCCAACACCGACCCGTCCAAGGACAAAGACTACTCTCCGATACCATCGCCAGTATCACCCAAGCCCAACGAATATTCCGATGAATCTCCAGTATCGACACGGGACCCAAATTCTACCCAAGTACCAACCCTCGAGGGCAACGCCCTCGGATACGTCGAGGCATATTTTCCCACACCGCCGAATTCCTATACGCTGGTGTCGCCCGTTGTCGAGATCGAGGAGATGGAGGATGAGCTGAAAGCCATCAGCGCCGAATTGGCCTCGTCCATTCGGCGCGAGATGGACCTAGAGGACCTGGTAGACAGGTTACAAGCAGAGATCGCCAACCCCCAAGCACCTGGGAAGAGGACCAGTGATTACTTCTCAGACTCTGGTTACAGCACGGCAAAATCCGGCGAGTTCGAGAACCCCAGAGACGAGATAACGACCATTCAACGCAAAGCAGAGCAAGAAAAGGCGCAGCTCCGGCTCGAACTTACAACCAAGCTGCAGGAGGAAAGGGGCCGTCGCAATGCGCTCGACCAGCAGATAAAGGAGCTTGCCGACAAGGCTTCGCAAGCCGACGCTGCCCAGATGACCAGCAAGGACGCCGACGCCAGGGTCAAGGAGCTGGAAAAGTCGTGTGAGGATCTCCGTCGCAGGCTGTCCGAGGAGCGCCAAGTCAAGGACAACTTCGAGGACCTGCTCACAGCTCTCAAGGGGGAGCTTCAGAATGCCGCACTGGAGCGGGACAACCTGCGGGATGAGGTCGTTCCACAACTGCGCGCACGGGTCGAGGGCCTCGAAGCACAGCAGGCTGACAATGAGAAGCTGGCCTACGAGACAACCAAATTACAACAGGAGCTGCAGGAGATCAAGGATTCCAAGGCGAAGCACGACACGCTCTCGCGGCTGAGGTCAAGTTCCGTCACAGGCCAGTCGTTCAAGCTCAGCCGCCCACCGTCTGGGCTCCACTCCACCGGGCTCTCCCGGTCCAACACCGTTAAGGGCGGGCACGTCGAGTCTAGAGACGTCCTGTCCGAGAGGCTGAAGGATGTCGAGGCTCAGAGAGACGCCCTACACAGTGCTCTCAAGAACCTGCTCGACAGGCAAGACTTCCAGAACCGGGAGAACGAGAAGAAGATCAAACTGTTAGAAGTCGAGCGAGATCGACTATTGTCAGCGTCCCCCAGGAAAGCCGGCTTCGATAGGGAGGTCTCAACGCTGCGCGAAGAAGTCAACATACTGCGACGGCGCGCCGAGGAAGCTATCGAGCAGAAATGGCAAGTCGAGAAAGGCCTAATAGGATTGAAGAGCGATCTCGACAGAGCTGAGGAGGAGATCACCTCCCTGAGGGCGCTCCTGAGTGAGAAAGACATCCTGATCCCAGACTCCTTCTCTCGGTACAGCAACAACTCGGCCACAGGCGCTCCAGGACTGCCAGCCACATCTTCGTCATTGGAGAAGGCATATGAAGACCTGCAAAAGGCGTACAAAGAAGCGCTTGAGCGTATCAAAGACCTTGAGATTGGCGGTACAAGTGCTTCTCAGGATGAGAGGACCAGACTCGCCATGGAACGACTTGAGCAATCACTCGCATCCGCCGTTCACGATCGCGATGACGCTCGCCACGAGGCGGCCTCGCTGCAAGGCCAAGTCGATAGGCTACAACAGTCCGAGAAGGACCACATGGAGGGTGAAAAGGACCTCGCGGACCAACTCAGGGACTCGGCCAACAGGGTTGAGGAGCTCACCCAGCAGGTCCGAGCTCAACTCGCCATCAATGCCTCCCTCCGAAGCCGACTCGCCGAGACCGTTGCCAGAGGCGAGGCCGGTCAAAAGGCCAACAAGGAGCGGCTTGCCAGCATGCAGAACCGCATGCGAACACTCGAAGAGCAGGTCGTTGCTGCCCAGAGCGCCGCCGAGGATCGCGTCAACCGCCACGAGGAGGAGCTCAGCAAGCTGCGGGAGTCGACCAGCGCCAACCTGCAGCGGCTGCGCGACAGTGGATTGCGATCGCCCCGCCTATTCCCTCCGAAGTCGCCCTTGTCGCCTCTCCTGTCGCCAAATGGTGGGAGATTCCCCCGGATGCTCAGCTCCCATTCCCGAAAGAGCTCCCGAAACCGCCCGTCGAGCTCCGGGAATAGCGAGGATGAGGAGGACACGTCTCAGGTCGAGACCCTGAAGGCCCGCGTCGCCGAGCTTGAGAAGTCTCTCGTCACTGCCGACTTTGAGATGCAGGAAGTTGTGGGTAGGATGAACACGGCGCAGATCGAGGTCATGACCCTCCAGGAGGAGAGGGAAACGGCCGCGCGGGAGACCAAGAGGCTGCAGAAGCTTCTCGAAGCCGAGAAGGTCAACGCCTTCCAACAGCGCTTCAACACCATTACCTCCTAATCATTCGAGGACGTTATCTACAACAAAACATTTCGGGAACGCGCTGGACTTCAGCATGGTGCATTTACATCGGACCGGAGCGCATACACGTCCACGTGTAAACCAGTTACTGTATCACTACCCCTACCGTCGACAGCATCCAAACCATTCAGTTCATGCTCGTCATGGGAGCAAACCAACGGCGTTTCTTGATTAACACATCTGGGATTGGACATTGAAAAATGCAGAGTGCATACCACTTGCCGCAAAGTATAAACCGACGACGACATATTCAGTGCTCGTTGTCCGCCTATTCTAATGTCTTTCTTGGCTTGGCTAGTGTCTATTATTCCAGAGGACGAAGGGGCTTTTTTTTAACTTCTCAATATAATACTCATAGCAAACTGTACATATACTTTTGGGAGTTGGGAGGGTTAAGGGCCACTGGAGAAGCAGCTTAGGATATAGCTGTGTCTTGGATCACAATCACGGCCGTCGCGATCGACGATGCCATTTGCATATGTACACGTTTTACTCTTAGTTTCCAGTCTTGCAAACCAGAGTGAACTTACTGTTGCTGATTGTTTCAACATAGTACAGGACTTTGATTCCATTGTGCCCGAAGGAAACAAACGTCCTCCCCCGCTTGAGGTTTGCCACCGACACAGGGTTACTTGCATATCACGTGGAGGAAGCTCGCTGCAGGCCGCCGCCCTTATCATTCTAGAAAATGTAGGTTTGGAGCCTTGGAGCCCAGAGTCTCTCCCTCGCCCTGCCCTGCCCTGCCTTAGTTTACGATCTCTCGAGATGTACACGGCATCCCCACGTCCGTGTGTTAGCAATCGCGGGATATGCCACAAGATCGACAGGAAGTGGCTGGTCAGCCGCATGTGTGTGTGTGTGTGTGTGTAGGAGAGGCTGCAACGTCTTGGCGAGGATTGGAAAAGCGAAGATGGCCTCGTTCTCCCGTGGGGGCCCGGGGGGCGCGTCTTCGTCGTCCATGAGCTGCGGGAGGAGGGATCGGGTGGGTGGTATTATCGCAATGATTCGGTGTACACATCCAGCCAGCCAGCCAGCCAGATCAATAGATCTTGAATCTGGAGGGGAAGGGAGGGTGATGGTTTCATGCTCTGCGCAGAATCGAGGTATGATCCGGAGATTTTGCGCGGAATGGGTTGGATGGGGGTCGCGGTGCAGTGCCCACGGAGAGAAATGCGCGCCCCTGGGTGGCGACCGATTCGCTCTGGGGAGCTGAGAACAGCAACGGATCCCCTCGTATGTTCCTCAGCTCTCATGCGGTCCATGATGGCATGGCTATTCAGTATGGTGATTGATCACTTTTTTTTCTTGGGAGGAACTGGTGTTTGGACTGGTACCGGTTGCTGCAGGGAGCTCAGCCGCACCAGGCACGGGGGTGGGCGGGATGAGACGACTGGATGGCAAGACGGGGTTGGAGGAGGGCTATATCACATCACAGAAGGATGTGCCGGGTGGGGGCCACACCCTTCTTGTCATTCCCCGTGGCTTTCTCCAACGAGCTACGTTTTGCCAGCTCGATGATAAGGCTGGGGCCGCTGCTGCAGGTTCCACGACACCGAGGACACGGCTAGCTCGAGTGCCGGTGTTCTTGGGCATGTCTGCGGGTGTCGTGGGCTGGTGGCCGAGGATAAACCTTAAAGATAGTTTCGGGGTCCTGGGGAACAGCAGCAAGACTTCAATGCATCTCGGACGAGGGGCTGCGATCGTGCATCAAAAGTGTCTTGGTGCGCATCAAGAAAGAGCCCTTCTCGGTGAGTGCGGGACTACACGGCGGGTTTCTGTCTGGCAAGGAGCCAAACCACCCAGCACACCCAAAGCAGCACCAGCAGGCCGAGCCGCAAGTTTCGCTAGTGCATCGGGAATGCGATTATAGTTCGCCCCTGCATGAGAGAGGCGGGTGGGATTGGGCGCCCTTCTAGACCCTTGCTTGGCGGGCTCGAGAGATAAGGGTGGTGGACAGCATTGGCTGCGGAGTTTTGTGAGATGCATTGTTGCCTTCCTTTAACAGCCACCAAGCCCGTGGTCTTGAAATTCTACCGGGTGATGAGTGCGGCGCTGGTGAGACTGGCCGTGATATATGATGACAGAGGCAGGTCAGCCAGCCAACTTTATGGGCACGACGGGAGCCTTGTCGTCGTCCCTGGCAGATGCCAATCTGTACACAATATCACCAGCCCTCGGCGTAATATAATCCAGGATGACCGGGGAAAAAAGCCATTGTACGAGAATGCCAGGTTGTAGTCCGGGGTTGACAAGTAAGCGACATTTGCCTATCTTGCCACAACCAGGAAGGTATCTAGTGTACACCACGATAGTACACAGCATCCTGAGTATCTGCGCGCTGGGTGGTGGGATCTCATGGCATGTATTCCGGCAGCAACAATGCTTCGTGTGGGTGACATGGCCAGACTGGACAAGAGTGTTCGGTCTGATGGGCCGGATCGTCGACGGGCAACTTGAGGGCGCCATGCCCATGCCGGGTGTCGCGGCGAGTCAGAATTCCGCACATGTCAGCCCTGCTCCGGAGAGTTTATATTGTGGGATTGCATCAGACTCGTGCAGAGCTACAATGCTGTGCAATACTGCAACAGGGTTTGGCTCTTGAGCTGCCTCAGGCTGCCTGCCCAGAATAGTGACGATGCGACGTCCTTTAGGGTTCATTCAGGTGTGATTTGTTCGGCCATGGCGTGGTTATTGGCTGGGAGGTTGTCTTTTTGCCGTCCTTTGGTTGCACTTTTCTTGCTGCGATCCAGCTCCCGTCGATGGATACGAGGCTCGGAGTTGGGCGGTTTTGTGCACGCATATGATGGCCGGGTAGGTGTTGGCTCATGGCCGATACGGAGATGTTCTGGAAGGTGGTGGAGAGCGTGGGGGAAATGAGGGTGTGAAGGTTGTTTCGCGATGGACGAGAAGCCAGGGCTGAGGTCAATGAGGCTAGGCAGTCCCGGAGATTTGGGATGGGCGGAACGGAATGGAAGAGGTGGTGTGGCAAGACAAGACCATGAGGAGTAAGTACCAAGGTACAACCACAGCCATCCATCAGCCTGCGGTACCTCCCGCGCGCGCCACTGGAAATGAGCCCAGGCCCCCTGCTTATCTTTGCTTTGGATTCTTACGCCATTCCTTTTGTCTGCACCGCCAACTGCACCTGCATACGGGACGGTCTCACAGCAGCACTCAATTTTTCAATTGTTTACTTTTCTTCTTCTTTCCCTCTTTGCTGCTTGCTTTTACGAGGCAGCGAGGCCAGTGGGGACAGTCGCACAGGGCCACTCGCCTGCATCAGCCAGCCATGTGTGCGCGAGTAGGCACATATGTAGGCTTGACAAGCTTGACAGGCACAGGCCTGACATGTCGGTCCCGCCTGCCCGCACGCTCAACCCCTGCACCGTTGAACCAGCTCACCACCCGAGCGCAACGGCTGTCGGTCTACTGTCTACTATGCAGTACTGTCTACACTACAGTCCAGCCCGATCCTGAGGTCTGCTGCTATGGCTCATGGGCTTTCTTTGTCCCACGCATGAACCCATTGCAGTATCTGGTATGGTGTAAAATGCACCAATTGGCCTTATCAGCAGCAGCCGGCGGCCCAATGGCTGCTCCCTGATCCGAGCTCCCCCATTGTTTCTGTCACTTCCCCCTTGGGCCCTTGGGCCCTTGGGCCCTTGGGGGTCGAGCATGCCCTTGTCGATCGCCTGCATGGCCCACCAAGACCACCAGGACTCCACTACCCAACTTGTTGCCTTTCCTGCCCTTGTCATCCGGTTGGCCTGGCTCTCTTTCCCTTAGCCCCCGGCTTGTGCATACATGCGCAGGCACATGCTTGTCGAGAACGAGATAGATGAGCTCTAAGCTCTTGCTTACTCCGTCCGGCGCACCATCAGATGTCATCCTCGCCCAGGCTCAATCTCGCAAGCCGGCGGTGGGCCTGCCTGCCTGCACATTCTCGGCCCTCTGCTCCGTGGCTTGTTCGACTTGGGCAGCTTGGTCTCCTGTTTCCCTCGCGAGTATTCCCTTTTTATCTCTGGTCCTCACACCCCGCGCCCGGTGTGACCCTGTCGCGTGTGTTTTGCTTTTTCCCTCCGACGTTTAAGGGCGTCAGCGGCGTGCGGCACGACACCTTGGACACCCATCAACTGGCCTCATAATTGCTTCTCCGTCTCCCGCATCTTGTTCCACTCTGGAACCATCCGCTGTCTTCACCGTCCGGCCCGCATCTTGACAGTCCTGCTATTGCTCCAGTCGCTGTGGCTGGGGGCAGCTGTTGTATATTCCAAGGTTGTCTGCCTTCTTCCGAGCTGCTTGCTCCCCTCCGGTCCTTTGCCTTATAGTCTTGACGCCGTCTTATAATCTTCATCTCCTCTCTTTCCCCATATCCATACCCAGAGCCTCTCAGACAACATTCCACTGTCATCAAGCACCTGCCATCTTGTGGATCCAGTTGACCTGGACCCGTCTCCCCGGTTTCTCATTATCCACAAATCTCCTCGTCTCGAGTCAAGAAACACCCGCCGCCCTTGGCAGCGGAACCTCGACTGCCCATCATGGTGGTCATCAATGGTGTCGACCTCAATGCTCTTGACTATGTTCCCAAGAAGATCGACTACAATGGCACCGGCGACGCAGGAGGAGACCCTCTTACAGAAGACCTGAACATTTGGTACGAGGTAGGTTGAATTCGCCCTGGCCGCTGCTTACCTTCGCCATCCATCAACACGCTGTGCTGGTCACTGACCGTTGTGTCTTGAAGACCGGCGATATAGGATGGATGATCACAGCAACTGCCCTCGTCCTCCTGATGATTCCCGGCGTTGGCTTCTTCTACTCCGGTCTCGCCCGCAGGAAGTCGGCCCTCTCGTTGATATGGCTCTCCGTCATGGCCACAGCTGTCACCACCTTCCAGTGGTTTTTCTGGGGCTACTCGCTTACCTTCTCACACACCGCCGGCCCCTTCATTGGCGATCTGGCCAACTTCGGCTTCCGAAACGTCCTCGCCCGTCAGTCCGTCGGCTCCTCCCGCCTTCCTGATCTGCTCTTTGCTGTCTATCAGGGCATGTTCAGCGCCATTACCGTCGCCCTCGCCACCGGCGCCGTTGCTGAGCGCGGCCGCATGTTGCCCTGTGTCATCTTCATGTTCATCTGGGCAACTGTTATCTACGACCCCATCGCCTGCTGGACATGGAACACCAGCGGCTGGAGTAACCAAATGGGCGGCTTGGACTTTGCCGGTGGGACGCCAGTCCACATTGCATCTGGGGCCGCCGCATTGGCCTACTCAATGATGCTGGGCAAGCGGAGAGGCCATGGTACACACGAGCTGAACTACCGACCCCACAACGTCACCCATATTGTGATAGGAACTGTATTCCTGTGGGTAGGCTGGTTCGGCTTCAATGCTGGATCCGCCCTCTCGGCGAACCTGAGGGCGGTCATGGCTGCTGTTGTCACCAACTTGGCCGCCTGTGTTGGTGGAATCACCTGGTGCGTGCTGGATTACAGACTCGAGAGGAAGTGGTCCACTGTCGGGTTCTGCTCAGGTGTCGTCGCCGGCTTGGTATCCATCACCCCCGGTTCAGGTACGTTTCCAGTCCCGGACCTTCCCACCAATGTCTCGTCTGACTGAACAATCTCAGGTTTCGTTCCAGTCTGGGCAGCCTTGCCTTTTGGCGCCCTGGGAGCCGGCTTCGCCAACTACGCCACCAAGTTGAAGTTTGTTCTTCGCATCGATGACGCGCTCGACATATTTGCCGTTCATGGCATGGGCGGTTTCGTTGGAAATATCTGCACAGCCTTCTTCGCCGCCAACTACATTGCGAGATTGGATGGGGTCACCGATATTCCTGGAGGCTGGATTAACCAGCATTGGATTCAGATAGGGTACCAGCTTGCAGACTCCTTCTCCGGAGGGGCGTACTCGTTCGTCGGCACATGCCTCATCCTATTCATAATGAACCTCATCCCTGGCCTCCACCTCCGTGCCAGTGAGGAGGCTGAGATCCTTGGCATCGATGATGCCGAGATTGGCGAGTTTGGTATGTTTCAACGCCCTCTGTCAAACAACACTTAAGCGATGCGTGGAGACTGTGAGCTGACCAGACGAACAACAGCGTACGACTATGTCGAGCTCACGCGAGAGGTCTTGAATGATGTGGAGGTCGACCCGGACACGCACAGCAGGTTCTCGGGGGATGCTCAGAGCTACGATCCGAGGGAGAAGAACAGAGGCATACCGCTTATGGACTCCCGCATGTTCAGCAGCGCACAGGCATCACACCAGTAAGCGATCATCCAACCAGCAAACAATATCCAGGTCCACAGGTACCACATGTTTTTGCTTGTCTACACTCTCTCATTTCTTTTGGGTTAAGTTGCTGAGCTTTTGCTGTTGAGGGCAAGGATTTCCAGCGCAACGAGCACAAAGAGCCTCATAGACCGACGGAGTCCTGATATTAGAAGCTGAAGTGGTCGATGCGATCGATACCCTTTTGGATTTTCAGCTATATATAACGAGGAGGTCGTTGTGATTTTCGTTTTGGACACATTGTCTGTCCAGCACCTTTTTATGATGACCGCCATGATACTCAACGAACATACAAAAGAAATGCGGGGCGGTCTTTTGTGTTTGTCTAGTATTTGGTAGCTATATAGTTAAAGCCGCCCTGAGCACCCAGACATGGTTTGCAGTTGGGATTTAGTATTTATTACACATCAATACAGGTTCAGCGTATGGTGTTGACACTTCTGAATTGATCTATTTTACCCTATGAGTATCTTTCCGCCACGTTTGTGCCACCGAAGGATGCGTGTCTGTGGTGGCGCAATCCACTATGATGCCTAGGTGCATGCCAGTGTGGCTGAGTTTCAGCTCACATGATGATCCACATTCTGGCTGCCTCCAGCCATACGAGTGCGTGCCGTCAACGATGCTACTATGAAAATCTCCGGGAAACCAGGACACCACTGGGCAAGTCTACCATCCAGAGCGGCACGCGGCCATTAGAAGCGCAATCTACCGCCGTCAACTTGACGAATCTCAAAATAAAGACAAGGAACACGGTCGGGCTTAAACAGCATGATGATGCTACGAATGAACATTTGAATCGACTTAGCAAATCTTCTGGGTAAACATGGCCAACATCAATGCCTCAAAGAGCAAGTCATCTTCGGTTCTGAGACCGTCCGACTTGGGACCTGATCCAATCGGTACTCTTGGGCGAAACGAAGGCTACATGAGCTCATGGTCTTGGACGGATGACGACTACATATACCTCAATTCGACACCTTTTACTTCCAATGCGCCGTTCTTCCGGCACGGACCGATCCGTCTCTCCAAGGCCGACCTTGTCAATGCCGACACCATCGACGTTCTCGACTGGAAACTGCTATCCTCACGAGACGAGGAGATCGACTGGACGGCATTCCATGTTGCTATCCTGGGAGGCGCCGGAGAATTTTTCAGCAACCCCAGCGACTCCTGCGCTGACGATGAAGAAGAACTGGTTGATGACCTGTGCGAGTGGCTCAGGGATCTTGGGTATTCGAGTCATTCCTTGGGAGCACTAGTGTTCGAAGGAGCGTTTGTCAGGAATCACAGAGAGAAGACCGACGAACGCCCACCTAGTCCTGTCAATGTGAATGAATGGACTGACGTCTATCGTGCACTTTCTCATCGGCAAAGGGAGGACCCATTCCATCTCATATCCAAGGCTCAGGAGTCTGAGGGTGCTAGCGACATCTTGTCAATGATGTCCTACGCTGAATCCATCTTTGACGCTGGTGCCACCACGAGCACTGCGTCTTCCGTACCAGGTGGTACACAGGAGCTCATCAGCAAGTTTGTTGATATTCTCGTTCGCGATGCCGGTGTGGCCAGACTGATTTCCATGGCCTTGTCCGACGACGGAATGGGCCAGGAGAGGTTTCGCAGGAACTTTGGCCGGATCCTCCGAAGCTACTCGAGAGAGCTGAGGTGCAGTCTGGGAAAGGGAATGCCAGACGTTGGCGACGCGTCTTATGCGCATGCGGCTGCTTTTGTTTCTCGCAAAGCACCGCACGCCTCCCATCTTATTGTCTCAAGGTTCAGTCAGGCGAGGAAATCGATGCCGCCTCGAGATAGCCTAGCTGACTCTGACGGTGCTTCTTCCTCTGGGAGCGAGGAGAGCGAAGGAGAGAGTGAGGTCCTCAACATGGAGAAGCTAGAGTCTTTCCTCACCAAGGGCGAGCCGTTCAGGCTGCTTAGATGGAGGCTCCGGGCGCTCGTATATCCTGACTCTTTCTTGTCGCGCGTAAGAGACTCGACTGAGCAACTGGTTCGGATAGCTTCCGGCTGTGGATTGACAGGTCTACTGTTGAGAGCCCAGCAACAGCGGGTTCAAGCCCCAGAGAACTTGAGGGCAGATTTTACGGAACTAGTAGGGTGTCTGGCAAGAGATCTAAGGATGCAATGCAGCACTTCGGGACAGATTCGCGTTGCGGATTTTCTTCGGGTGCATTCACAATATGTTGCCGCAAGACTGATAGAATCAACCGCACCGGGAAAGGAGTCTGACAGCGAGAAAAATTACACCTCTGATGGGATACTTCAGGATATTGTCGCCAATACGCCACTAGATGTGTGGGAAATGGATTTTCAGGTCCACTGGGGCTTTATAACGTCTACAAGGGCTTTCCAGGACTTCTTGAATGACCTGAGAGACCTGGCCTATCCGACTCTATTTTCTCGAGCCAGGAAGCTCATTGCAAAATCGAATGAGCCCGAGAGCCGACGTTTACTACCAATTTTGGCGGAAATGCAGTGGGCCACGGAATGCAGAGGCGCCACAACGAAAACCAGATGTACCTTCCGCATCAGTCCAGAACAACACAGTCTCGCAGATCGATTGAAACTTGCTGTTGAGGCTAGTACAGGCGCTCAATGGGACTGGTGGCCCCTCTGCTCACCACCACGCCATCAAGCTTACAGCTCCCTCGACGGCGAAATTTTATCTTGGATATGCGTGAGTGACGTTTATTTGGTTATTTTGACACATTGTTTGATGTCTTGGAGCATGCTATTTAGCTGGTGCCGCATCATATGCCGCAAACTTTACTATCTCTCCTATGTACCCAGTATCTGTCACCGTCTTTCAAATCGTTGGCCAGAAACTTCTATTTCTCTTTCTCAATTCAAAATTAGAACACCCAGGATCTATCCTAGATTCGAGAACCATTACTTCATTCAGAAGAGGATAGTAACGAGGTACTGAAATTGGCCATACCTAGCCGTGCGGAATGCTTCGCCGCGAGAGAATATCGCCAAAACACTCTGAGATGTTGCGCGACCTGGCAAGAACTCTGCCCCTCTCATTGCCGGCAAACCTCAATATCCCGTCGATTTCCCTTGGCGACTCCGGCAATCACGCTTCCCAGGGGCTTTCTGATTCAGCCACAGATGACTCGTCTTTAGGAAGTCGGAGCTCTCGCAACTCATTATCGAGTGGGAGTACCCCCATGACAGCATTCAGCAGCTCTGGGAGCTCTGTTGCGATCTCGATTGGTGATAACGAAATTGAGCGATTCGTCTTCATCCTCGTCCTGGACTCCCGATACCATCTGATCACCACCGACGTTTCTGAAATGTCGTCCATCGACTTTTTCCAGGCCCTGACCGCTGAATATAACGCCCAACGCGGCATCCTACGTCGACTATTCTCTATTTTCGTCTATAGCCACTGCGACTTTGTTCAGGTAAGAGTTTCCCCCAAACTGATCTGAAAATCTCATCCGTTTCCTCTTGAAGGGGGTCTTGTAAGCTTCCTGTGTACATACCAGTTGACACTATGAAACGCCCTAAATCTACGAAGAGAGGTTTTGAACTTGTGCTTTGGCCGATGTTGGCTCCGAAACAGCAGTTTAGGTTGATTGTATAACGATCGGTGGCTGACTATACTCGAGAAACAGGTCAAACGATGGGCCCCCAAACGCTTCGCCCCAGGCAACAAGTTCTCTTTCCCACCAACCGATGACGACAGCTACAGGTATTCGCCCCAACCAATGCTGGAACCACCGATATCACCACATCAGTTTCATGAGCTCTACTACAGCTGCTATGACTCGGAGAACCTGAGCCACAGACTCCACAACATCTTTTCAACAGTGGTACCAGTAGTGTCACCATGCGACGTTCTTGGCAACATATCTGACGAGTTCCTTCTTTGCCTTCCCAAACGGGACACACCGGTTAACTCTACTGGTCAGTTCGCAAAAGGGGATAAGTTCGAGGTGTTCTGGGGGCTTGTTGCACGCGAGCGGCGCTCTACCGCAAGAGTCATGGTGTACACTTTAGCCAGCCTTGCCCCGTCGTTAGTATTTGCGTTTGGGTGGATGTTCGCCTGGGACCATTCTGGAGACCTACAGAATGCATCTGTACCATTCACGATCACTTGTTCTATGCTGGGATTGCTGTGGGCCGTGGTATATTCAGGGAGTAACACTGTCTATAGTTGACATGCTTAGCAATGATGAGATGGTATCCGAGTCCACCTAAGTATCACAATAATATCCTTATATTTATATATAGCTACCTAAAAGTCCTATTAGCTAAGAACTCTTTGTTTTTATCTTTATAACGTAGCTCCAGAGCGACGTCAGCACCGATCCACAGCTACCTCGGTTTACCGAGATGCGTCTTTCGTAGTATAGTGGTTAGTATGCAAGCTTGTCATCGCCATCCTGGAAGCAGCAACGCTTGAGACCCGGGTTCAATTCCCGGCGAGAGAGATATTGCATCATTTTTGTCTTTTGAAATATAAATGTCAATTCGTTTTGTCGGTTGGCTTGCTTACGCGTAAGAAGTGGTTGATTGTGGGTTGTATTTGTCTTGGTTGGAGGTGTGCGGGGCTCGGCGGCAAAGTGCCTAATTTAGTTAGCTAGATCTCACTAACTAAGCTAGACCTTATAATCTACCCACCCACCTTACTTATAGTAGCTAATCCACTATAGCCTACTATTCTTATACTTTTTTTTTTAAAATTATATTATAAAAATTTATAAATATAGTAATATATTTTTAATATAAAATTAAAAGACTTATAATTATAATTATTTAATTAATTTTTATTTAATTAATTTATAAATATATAATTTAAATTAAATTAAATTAAATTTTTCTTTAAATTTTTTTAATTTTATTATTTTTAAAGAAATTAAAGCTTTATATTTTTTAAGTTTAAATTTAAAATTTTTATATATTTTAACATACTTTAAATTAAGTTTATATTAGTAGTAATTAGTGTTTTTTTATTATAGTACTATACTACCTAGATCTTACGCTACAGACTACTATGTAGCGGATTCAGCGGTTGGACAGCAACAGGCAGCTGTCACCCAGTTCGGCTTCTTGAGAAGTCAGTGATATGCGCCAGCCACCTCTCCTTTACCTGCTGTGATTGATGTCAGCTTGCCCCTTGGTAATCTTTGAAAACGGTAAAATTTCACAGCCGGTATGCAGTCAAACATTTGGGACCACTGGCCGAGTACGAACTATCGCCTCCGTCCTCCGCACAAACCAGCTACTACAAAGCGAGCACTGCTCTAGCTGCCATACCATGTCTGCAGACGCCTCCCTGGCGGACAAAGAGGCCTTCTATTCTCAACTTTGCTGGCTGGATTCGAATTCGGGCAGCGAGGATGAGATACCCCAGCAAGATCTCGAATTTCGCGAGGAAACCCGGAAATTCTTCAAGCAGGCACGGGCCCGAGACAAAACAACGACCACCAGTCGCGAGCCTACCGCTGACCAGGTCCCGCACGTTGACCTGACGACAGCAGATGAGCGCCTGACGGGACCAGCAAGGCGGTCCAACACTGCGCCGACGCCACTTTCTACTACTGTCATCAAAGCCACACCACGCTCTGCTCAGAGCAAACAGGCCAAGCGTATCCCGGGCAGCAACTCGCTCATCGAAGACACGCCCCGTCAAGCGCCCCCTCCATCTGCCGTAGCCAAGCTGAGACGCATGGTAACAATCCCGTCGTCACTTAACCCAACGAACCCCTCAACCTCCCAGTTGATTCCAGATAGCAGCATGGGATCCCGCAAGCGCAAGCATGAAGTAGGGGTCCCTCTCCAAGATCAGGTACTAAGAGGGTTGCGATTCCTTTACATCCAGGGAGATCGCAAAGGCCTGCGGAAGCTTCGCATGGAGCAAGCTGAGAGGTATGGTGCCGAAGTTACCTCTGAGCTTGAAGATGCAACGCACGTCATCGTGGATGACGACCTGACCTTTGAGCACATCAAGGACGGAGTGGCTTCTGTAATCGGACAGGACCGGCCTTTGATAGTTCGAACACACTGGCCCTTGGACAGCATCAAAGAGAAGCGCCTCCTCCCGACCACGTCCTCATGGTATCGAGTCATCCCGGACCTGGCCGTACCCGCTGTCTCTACTGCTGTGGATGTCCCCAGAGACTCGTTGGAGGTCAAGGCCGCCCGCAATGGACCCTACAGACAGGCGAATGAACCGCACGTAACTCCTTCGCAAGGTGAGAAATTGTCAGCACCGCAGAACGAAAGCCGTTCTGAGGTTTGGACCGGCAAGGATGTTGCTATTCCATCTTCACAGCCTTTCTCTGGAGACGGAGTGTCTAGTGCTGGCTCCGCAAGCAACCGTCCAACTGGACACGAATTCAAAGACGAGCTGTCACAAATGATCGAGGATGTGCAGAAGAATTACAAGGACCTGCCCTCTCTGGCCTGTGAGGAGGATGGAGGCGACAAGAAGGAAATTGACAGTGAAAGCGACAGTGAATCAGAACGAAAGAAACCACGAAAACGCGTCAAAAAGTCTCAGCTGCCAAAGCCCAGGCTCGAAGACAAATTTGCTTGCAGTAGAGGCGGTACCATGGACAAGTCCCACGGTCCAAATGCCAAAACTGTTGCAATCCTACAACAGCTTTGTGACTACTACGATAGGATAAACGACCATTTCCGTCTCCTGTCTTACCGCAGAGCCATCAACGTCTTGTCCATGCAAGCAGAACAAGTAACGACAGCCGATGAAGCACAACTTCTCCCTTGCATTGGACCAAGCATCGGCAGAAAGATCGAGGAGATCGTCAGGACCCACCGCCTTCAACGCCTGGAGCATGCACAAAACGATCCGAAGAGCCAGGTTCTACAGCTTTTCCTCGGAATCTACGGTGTCGGCCTCTCCACAGCTAACCAGTGGATGGCGCAGGGGTTCCAAACGCTCAACGACCTGCTGCGGCATGCTTCGCTGACCCCGAACCAGCGCATCGGTATTGATCACTATCAAGACCTCAAATCACGCATTCCGCGCTCCGAGGTGAAGGCTCTTGGCGATTACGTGAAGGACGAGGCAGCCCGGATCGATAGGGACGTCGAGCTCCTCATCGGCGGCAGCTACCGCAGAGGCGCAGAAAGCAGCGGCGACATCGACCTTATCATCACCAAGACAGGGACCACATCAACTGAGGAGCTCTTGCCATTCCTGGATCGGCTGGTGACCAACCTGACGCAAAAGGGGTTCCTCACGGTTGCGCTGGCCTCGCACGACCAACGGAGCTCCAAGAACAGGGATGATAGTGGCTCCAAGTGGCACGGCTGCTGCGTTCTCCCACGCGAAGCCGGCTCCGAGGATGGCCAGAATGAGCAGAGGCCTTGGAGACGCATCGACTTCCTGCTAGTGTACGTATAAACTTTCCCTCGTTGCATGACCACCCTCACGGAAGTACCACATAAAGCCCTCCAGCCTAACATTGACATCTCGCAGGCCAGAGACCGAGTATGGTGCCGCGTTGATTTATTTTACGGGCAATGACATCTTCAACAGAAGCCTCCGGCTACTGGCCTCGACAAAGAAGATGAGGCTGAATCAGCGCGGGTTATACCAGAATGTGATCCGGGGCTCTAACAGGCAGAAACTGTGCGAGGGAGAACTGGTTGAAGGCAAGAGTGAGAGAAAGATCTTTGAAATTCTTGGGGTCCAGTGGAGGGAGCCCAACCAGCGATGGTGCTAAGGCTGGCAGCCGCTGGACGTTCATCATTATAATTTGCGTATCTGGTATCCAGGAAAGGGCGAGGCGTTTTTGGAGTCCAACTCATTTTGATCTCTTCTTGTGAGGTCAGTTTTACCACGCAAATCGGTGTTCTGGCCAGGAGCAGATTCCCTCTGGTCCTACAATGTGCACTGCAAAGAATCAACTCATTCCCGAGTCTCTAGGTGTGAAGAAGGTCGCATGAGGCTCTTGTCTTGTTAGCTTGTTGGGACCCTTGCAGATCCTAACCAAGCACTGCAGGGGCCCTGGATGAAGTACCTCCGTACCCTTGTGTGCTCCATCTGGGGCTGCGACGACCAGGGAAGTCGGTGTAGCAGCCGCAGGTGGCCAGGCCCCCAAGGCGGCTAGTCGCATTTTATTCTGCCAGCCAAAAACCTTTGCAAAAATCCGAACGTCCCTGGATTGAGGGTGCCCCGCCGCTACTGAGGTTCAACTTCGAGGCCCCCAAGCCTGGACTTACAATTTTGAGTGTCAACACTGCGATCCCTTCACATTCGTACTCTCAGAACCCCCAACTTATATCGATTTCTTTCTTCCAAGCAGCCTGCCCTAATCTTGTGACACGGCATTTAGCATCATGGCGTCTGGTGAAAGCATGGACATTGTGAAGGCCGAGCAGCAGCTCAAGGGAATGGCCCATTCTGAGCAACACTACTTCAACAGGTGAACACCGCCTGCGCATTGTCTTGTGCAACTACAAGACATCCCACAGGATCTTGCTAACCTTGATGCGTACAGCTACAACCACCATGGTATGCCCGACAGCACGAGCATGTCTCTCCTTGTATTGAATCTTGAATTGCTGACAGGCCTCCCTCAATGAAGGTATCCACGAGGAGATGCTGGTACGTACAAATCCAGATGAAATGGCCCTCGCCGTTGGGAAATCCGAGGCCTTTGGTGCTGACTTTCCATGTGTTGCAGAAAGATGAAGTGCGGACACGCTCCTACATGAACGCGATCGTGCAGAACAAGCACCTGTTCAAGGACAAGGTTGTGCTCGATGTCGGATGTGGCACCGGTATTCTGTCCATGTAAGATTTTCTTAGTGGATGGGGAAAGGGCGCAGGGTTGGCTTTCAGGCCTGGGTTCCAGACGGTACTAACTTTTCCCTCCCAGGTTCGCTGTCAAGGCCGGCGCAAAACACGTTATTGGCGTCGACATGTCTACCATCATCTTCAAGGCCCGCGAAATTGTCAAGGTCAACGGCATGTCCGACAAGATCACACTTCTCCAGGGCAAGATGGAGGAGATCGACGACCAGATGCCCTTCAAGAAGGTTGATATCATCATCTCTGAGTGGATGGGCTACTTCCTCCTCTACGAGTCGATGCTCGACACCGTCCTGTACGCTCGTGACAAGTACCTGAACCCCAACGGCCTGATTTTCCCCGACAAGGCTACCATTTTTGTTGCCGGAATTGAGGACGGAGACTACAAGGATGAGAAGATTGGCTGTGAGTGAAGAAGAGCGAAAAAGCAAAACCACCAGAGAAGCCGTCCCGCGAGGGATCGCACACAATAGAGATTGGGAAGATACTAAACAAGTGCTGTTTAGTCTGGGACAACGTCTACGGCTTCGACTACAGCCCGCTGAAAGAGACCGCCCTGACGGAACCGCTCGTCGACACGGTCGAGATGAAGGCCGTGGTGACGGACCCGGCCAGCGTGCTCACGCTCGACCTGTACAAGTGCACGACGGCGGACCTGGCCTACAGCGTGCCCTTTGACCTCCACGCCCGTCGCGACGACTTTGTGCACGCGCTCGTCGCGTGGTTCGATATCGAGTTCACGGCCTGCCACAAGACGGTCGCATTCTCCACCGGCCCGCACACAAAGTACACCCACTGGAAGCAGACCGTCCTTTACCTCAAGGACGTCCTGACCGTCCAGCAGGGCGAGACCGTCCACGCCTCCATGACCTGCAAGCCCAACGAGAAGAACAGGAGGGACCTGGACATCGAGCTGACCTACAAGCTCGAGACGACCGACCCAACACGGTCAGCCGAGGGCAGCTGCACGTATAAGATGTGCTAAGCCCCTGGGGGTTGTTGAAGCACTCCTCGTGTGTGCTCGTTTTGTGCAGGAGGTGCGGCGAGTGCCCATCTCAACGCGGTCTGGCAATCTTCTGAGCCTCTGTACACCCCGCCCCGGCCCTTGGTCGCAGCATCGGGGTCAGTTAGATTGCTTGGGCATCGTCGATCACGGTGGGGGAATTAGTTGCAAGACAGGACGCTGCGTATCGCGCGCCTGGAGGCTCACGCTCAAAAACACTCTCATCAGAACGGCAAAACTCCTCGGCCCACCGTGGAGGAGCAGACGAGGCTGTCAGGGCTTACTCTGCCAAAGGACGGCGCCCGTCGCTCGGACCCATAGTAATGGCAGGTGGACAAGGAAATTTCGTGAGGGCAAGGGGAAGGAGATGGAAGGAGGGCAGGGGAACGGAATGGTCTCTATTCCAAGTGTTTCCACCGGTCATAGGAAAGCATGAATTGTTTGCATCGATGTCATTGGCTCCTAGTGCAAGACAAAAGAGACGCGACTGTATTTCTCAGACTCAGACAAGACACCACAATTGTAGATCTCAGGCTGAATCTTTGGTTAGACATAAAACAGGAAAACAGCGGTGGCCTGGGAAAACATGCAATACAAACGCCATCCCATATTGATTTCAGGGGATCTGCTGAGGAGTTGTGATGATGCAAGGAGATTCTGCACATGAGCATGGCCCCCTCTGGTCTCAAACAAGAGCTCTGGCCAAAGTTTGCGACAGTGAATAGGCACTCTGCCTACGTCATCAGACAGAGTTGCTGCTGGTGACCCTTGTGCCCTTGGAGTCAGGCTATGCAAACGGCACACAACAAAGCAACCGTTGAAGGGCCATCCATCTCACCTGTCACGGCAGCATCCCTGGCCAGAGGACCGTATTCGACAGCAAAACATTTTGTCTATCTTGGACAAGCCGACCTATTCAGGTGACTCTAACTGCCTTGTATTCGCTCGACGCTCGTTTATTCCTTCAGGTGGAATGACCGACAAACGAAAATCTTTATCCTTGATCGCAGGACGCCCTCGACAAGCAGAGCATCAAAATTCAAAACGCCGCCAAAACACTTTTGGAGTTGATGTCGAATTTTCCGCCGCCACTGCCATCATAGCACGGTATCCCTGGACCTTTCCTCCTCCCCTGCCTCGAAGCACTAATCCAACTCCAGTCTAAACAGAAGCTCCGGTTCATCATCATCATCATCATCGGCCTTCTTGTGCCGGATGCCCTCATCAGATGCAACCAGCGTCCCGTCGTTGCTGGCCGCCTCCTCCCTCGCATCGACGAACGCGGGGCCATCAGGACCAGCCGTGCGGTATGCAACGCCACTGGGGATTTCGCCGAGCAGCAGCCATGATTTCGGAATGACCGGAGTTATCAGCTCTGGCGAGTTAACTCTCTCGGGGGTTCTTGCGCCGCTTTTCTATTGCACGCCCGCCGCGGTGATTCTTCCGTACTTCTCCACCACAGCAGCAACCTTCTTGGCCAGCTCATCCGCCTCTACCCTGGTCGCGGCCTCTGCGTAGACGCGGCAGGCATTCTCGGTGCCTGAGGCACGAGCGAAACTGCGCGCGCTGGTGTACTTCTTGACCAGGGCGTCAATCTCGTCTTGTGCGCCAGCGGGCGCTGACAGCTTGCGCTCGGCATCCGTGGTCTGGAAGACGTCCTTGTCCCCGACCTCAACACGGACCAGCCGGTTGGGGAGGTCGGTATAGGTCATGGCCCAGTCCTTGAGCGTCCAAGCCTTGTGCGCCAGAATCACCTCCACCAGCAGCATGTCCGAAATGGCATCGCCGACCGTCTGGTTGATCAAGTCGCCAACGGCGGCGAGCGTCTCAAGCGCGTCCTTCTGAGCAGGGGACTGAGGCTCCTTCTCCTTGAAGGTGCGCAGGGCATCATTGGAGAACACGACCGTGCCGTGGCCGTTCGCCTCGAAGTAGACGCCAACGTCGAAGTTGCAGGCTGCATGATGCAGGTGCTTGACGCCGGTGGGCGTGCAGACGACAGGAAGTCGAAGGTGGTCGGTGATGTATTTCGTGCTGGCGCCATTAGCATACGCGGTCTGTACGACACCGATACGAAGATCGTCCTCGAGACCAGCAGAGCGCACCAAGTCGGCGATGAATGACGCAGCCAAGGTGGAGATGCGGTCGCCGTCTAGCATGAAGAAGCCCGTCTCGGCATCGGTCCAGTAGTAGATCAGACGGTCAGCGTCACCGTCGAGGGAACAGTATCGGGTGCCGAGCTCAGGCTTGGGCGAGGGAGGAGCTCGCTGCTTGGTCTTGACGAAGTCGGCACCGCTCTGCATAAGGGTGTGGCTCAGCATACGGTCGCATTGGGTAAGAAGTTGCGGTCACTTACATCCAGGTTCAGGACCTCAGGACGGAGAACATCATCGTTGACAACCTTGACATCGAAAGGGACCTTGTCCTTTGGAAGATACTTCAACAGCTCCGTCAACTTGGGGCCTCCAACGCCATTGGCGCAGTCCACGGTCAGAGATCCGTTGATCTTGCGGCCCTTGAGAGCACGGGAGAAGGCATCCGAGAACTTGTTGTAGTATCCCGCCTCGCTGACCTCACCATAGGACTGGGGGGTGTCCTCAGTGTTGATGGCCCTGGTCAGATAGTGCAGCTGGGGGGTTGTCACAATCTTAAAGTCCACAAACTCCGTATTTGTGGCCTGCAGGGCAGCAGCGAGGGCAGTCACCAGGGTGTGACCAGAAGGTCTAGTGTCCCGGCCATAGACAACCTTGGCAGGGGCCTTCAGGTCAATCCTGAGCTGGGCAGCAAGACCATTGTAGACCTCGACGAGCTCGTCGTCAGTCTTGCAGTTCACCAGCTTGGTTGCGTGTGACTCCCACTCCTGCTCAAGCATCTCACCCATGGGATCGACAACCTTGACGCCGTTGTCCTTGGCTGGGTTGTGGCTGGCCGTGATCATGACGCCTATGGCCTGGCTGCCAAGTTTCCTGCTCCGCAAGGAGGCCAGCAGACCGACCCTGAAGGAGATGCCCTCAAGGAGGTCAGAAGCCATCCGGAAGCCAGCAGTGCCATAGTTGTAGGAGCCACCACCAGGCTTGGGGACAATGGGGTGCTTGGCTGCCGCAGCCCGGATGTTGTCGTCGTGAGAGGGCATGGTGGCTTGTGTCTCGCTCACAGGGCCCCAGGAGCTTGTTGCGGGCAAAAGAAGGGGATGGAGGTGAAGCAGGCTGAAGGAGAGAGGCTTGGAAGACAAAGACAAGACTATCAAGGTGTTGTAGAGGGAGGGGGAGGGATCCGAGGTGGAAGGGGGGAGGCATTTAAAACAGGCCAGGCCAGGCCAGTGAGCTGTCATAGCTGGTAAAAGAAAGGCAACCAACCCACTACGAGCTACTGCCCCTACTCCGTACTGCCCCAGCTGCCCAGCAGCCCCAGCTAACACGAACGAATAGACAGAGGTGCCCCTTGCTAGGCCTGCATGCTGGAATGCTCACCCCCTGGGCCCCCACTTTATTATTAGAGCACTGGAGCGGCGGTGATCAAAGCTACCCCGCCTTCTTTGTTCTGCTACATCCATCTACCGTGTGCTGCATGTGTTCTAACGATGCGGATTGGCAGGACGCTGGCCTGTAGCAGACGGAATCGTCGTAGCCGCAGTGCGGACCACAGCAAGCAGGTACAGATACTCCTTACATACACTGCCGAGCCATGCCTTGTCCAATGCAAGCCTTGGAGCAATGGGAATAGCTTGAAGCCATGACGCTGTGCTTCGACTGCTGATCGCTCGCACGACGAGGCAGGCAGACAGGTCGAGCCTACTCCGATGTGAGATCATCACGTTCTTTCAGAAGGGACGAGTTGGGCCAACTCGTCTCCGTCAAGACGTAGACACGCAACAGAGACACTCGTCTGCTGTGGCCATCCTCGTTCACTACCTGCCTGCTAGGTACTTAGGTAGGTAGGTAGGTACCTAGGTCCTAGCAAGCTGCCAGGGCTGCCCCGGTTCCAGATGCCCCCACCCGAACCCGCGGGATAGTCTCGCACTTAAAGCTTGTGGCATACTAGGCCCAGGTCCCAGGGGTCCCTGGAATCCCAAGGCTCCTCTCCTACAGGACAGTACATACAACGCGTGAACGCGTCTCCCAGATGACATCGCATCATATCGCATCGCTCTTAGAGCCCAGCAGCAGCGCCTCGTTTCCGTTGCCTGCACGGCTGATTTTGAAGATTTGCTGAGCCACACGCATTGCATTGTTTTGATTTTCTTTTTCTCGCAAAGGTTCTCATTCCATTCAATTCCTTCTCTTCTGGCCCTGCTCGCTCCGAGGTTGCTACCCTCGATGATTCATCATGCCGTCCGACGAGGATAGCCCCAACGCGTTGCTACTCTCCTGGGTAAAGGAGTGGTACGACGACGCCAGGGAAAAGAACACCAAGGGCGTCAATACGTACAGGAAAGCTTACAACTCGTTGAAGAAATGTCCCAAGGTCTTTCAACATCCCTCAGAGCTGACGGAGCTGCAGTTCTTTGGCCAGACCCTTACCAGGAGGCTCACGGAAAAGCTTGAGAACTATTGCAGAGAAAATGGCCTGCCGATGCCCCAACGCCCGTCAAAGTCTAGAAAGCGCAAAGGCGCAGGAACTGGACAAGGGGGTGAGGACAACGACGAGGAAGAGGAAGAGCCCGCACCGGCTCCCAAGAAACCCCGCAAGACTAAACAGTATGTGCCTGCATTCCGGTCTGGCGCATATGCCATCATCGTCGCATTATCCAGCATCCCGGAGAATGGACCAGAGGGCATGTCAAAGTTGGACCTGATCGACAAGGCCCAGCCACATTGCAACTCTTCTTTCACGGCCATGGAGCCTGGAAAATTCTACACGGCCTGGAGTTCTATAAAAACCTTGACCTCGAAAGAACTCGTATACGAGCGGGGGAGACCTGCCAAAAGGTACGCCCTGACCGAAGAGGGTCGGGATGTCGCGAGAAGGATTCAAGAGGTAAACGCGAACAACGTCGGCGACACCAAAGAGAGGACGAATGATTCTGCTCATAACTCGACTGAACCTCGACCTCAAGTGGCGTCACTGGCTATCGATGACGATCTTGACCAAGGAACCGGCGACTTTCCTGTCCAGGGGAGACCGGATGTTGGCAATGTAGTTCCTGACGGTCCCGTCCTCTCGGAAAACTCCTCAATGCCGCCCTTCACTACAATCAGGCTGAATCCCGGCTCCTTCACGGTCCACCTGGTGCTGGATGTGCGAGAGATCCGGGCGAAAACAGACAGAGACTACATGCAAGAAGAACTGAAGAAGAAGGGCGTCAGGCCCATAATGCGTAGCCTGGAGTTGGGAGACGCCCAGTGGGTAGCAAAATGCCATGACCCCGAGGTCCTCCGCCGAGGCGGCGCCGAAGGCGACGAAGTTGTGCTCGACTACATCGTGGAGCGGAAGCGACTGGACGATCTGATTGGGAGCATAAAGGATGGCCGGTTCCGCGAGCAGAAGTTCCGCCTGAAGAGGTCTGGAGTTCGACACGTCACCTACATCGTGGAGGAGATCTCTCTGGACCGGGAACACTTCTCCAAATATGAGGAAAGCGTGCAGACCGCGATCGCGTCGACGCAGGTGGTTAATGGCTTCACTGTGAAGAAGACGCAGAACATGGACGATACTATCCGCTACCTCGCAAGGATGACGGAGTTGCTAAAGAAGAGATACGAGAGCCAGCCTCTGCGGGTGATACCCACCACGGTCATCACAGGAAACAACTACCTCCCTCTCTTGAAACATCTGAGGGAGACGCAACCGGGGACAGATTATTACATCAGCTACGACGCCTTTGCCTCGTTGGCGTCCAAGTCTGGCTCGCTGACCCTAAGAGACCTCTTCCTGAAGATGCTCATGTGCACACGAGGGATCACAGGAGAGAAGGCGATGCAAATACAGAAGATTTGGAAGACGCCCAACGAATTCGTCAAGGCATATGAGCAGTGCGGTGCTGGGGAAGCCGGCAAGAAGAGGAAGCAGGAGTTGGTATTCAGCAGGTTAGGGAACCACGCAGTCAGGAACCTGCAGATTGGCAAGGCGCTGAGTACCAAAGTGGCCGAGGTCTGGGCCGAGCTTTGAAGTTGATGATGCAGGTGGTTTGAGGCATGTCTATAGACACAGGAAAACACACCATTGTCTTACAAGCGCGGTTGACCGAACCAATGTCTAGTGCGTTGGCCTCAGGTGGCGTGCCCCCCCAGCCCTTGGGCAACAATCCTCTCTACCGTCTTCTCGACCTCCTTGATGAAGGGGAACGAGCCGCCCTCGCCGGAGAAGAGGATTGACTTTTCGGCATACTTGGCCATCATGTCGACCTCGACGTTGACGGTATCGCCGGCCTTCTTCTGTGCGATGACGACCTTCTCCTGGGTGTAGGCGATAAGCATGACCTCCCACCACCCCTCGACGTCGTCGACCTTGGTGACGGTGAGGCTGGTGCCGTCGAGGGCGACGTAGCCCTTGTAGACGACGTACCGCAGCACGTCACGCTTCGCAGGCTTGAAGCGGATGGTGACGGCGTTCCCGTCGGGCCGCAGCTCGGCGATCTCGGCGGTGGTGTCGACGTGGCCCTGGACAAAGTGGCCGCCCATGCGCGTGTCGGCGCGCACCGCCCGCTCCAGGTTGCACCGCGACCCGGTGGCCAGGGTGCCGAGGTTGGTGACGCGCAGGGTCTCGGGCGCGACGCCCACGGTGAAGGAGGGCACGGGCTCCTTGGGCGTGAAGGTCACCACGGTCAGGCACACGCCGTTGACGGCGATGGAGTCGCCCTCGTGGCAGTCTGAGAGCAGGCTGGAGCCCTCGGGCAGGTTGATGGTCAGGGAGGTGCCGCCTGTCTCGTCGTGAGGGTTGAGCGCGGCGACGACTGAGAGGGCCAGATGTCAGTAGCTGTGCGGGCGAGCTGGTTGAGCTGGTTGGGCTGGTTGGGCTGGGCTGTGGGGTGAGGCTTACCCCCGATCTCCTCGACGATGCCCGTGAACATTTTGGCTGTGTGTAACTTTCTGCCTCCTTCTTGATGATGCAGGTGGTGTCGGGATTGGGTGTTGACGAGGGCAGAGCCGATCGACCTAGCTGCCGCTACAATTTTGGCAAGGAGTGGTGGGTGAGGGTTTCACCTCGGCTCATTATCATCATCATCATCGACTTAAACATTCCCCTGCGAGTGCCCGACCCGACCTCCGGAGCCGCGGGGTCCTCAATGGCGGGGCTCAATTGCTGGACCTTAAAAGGTGCCTGGACCGAGCTGGCGGGGCCGGGCTCGGCACAACCAAACGTACTGGCGCGGCAGAGTCCATGTCGTGTCCTGAGGTGCCTGTTGTCCAGACATCAAGTCGATGCAGTCATTCTTCAACAGGCCGTGGCCCATGGATTGGGCGGAAGCTCAAGTCAGTCGCCACCGGTCTGAATGAGGTCTTCATTAGAATACTTGTCTGGCCATAATGCTCGTAGCACTGTCCGCTGTGACTAGGTACCTGGGCACCTGTCCAGGTATTCTAGACCAACGGTCGGCTTGTGACAGTCCAGATTTCTAGCTCCTTTCCAGATAGTGTAGACTAGTATCTACGGGCGAATTGATCAGGAGGATTGGGTGGTGTAAGCCGTTCACAGTAACTGACTACAGGGCAGATTGGGCAAATGGGGCTTTGTCGCAAATCGACAGCTGGTCCATTTGGAGCTCGTCCAGAAAACACCCCACCCCACCTAACCTGGCGTAAAATGGCCCTCCTTCACCTGTCATACTGTGACTCTCTTCTTGTGACTCAAAAACGGCCACCCGGATGAGCCACGTTTCCAGATGTTCGAGGTCGAGCAATACGCTTAATTTATTGCGCCATCCCTCCTTCCCTTCTCTTGGCCCCCGCCCCTCTTTATCTGGTCACTCTTTCAGCTCGTCCGAGAACGCATCGCTGCACGTCCTCGCAAGCCCTCGGCACAAGCGAGGAAGCCGGCTGGCCAACAGCACACCGCACCCGACGAACAAGCTGATATCTGGCCTCCCTGCGGCCAGGCTCTTCCTCGCCACCATGTCGGCAAAACAACCCACCTGGACGCCCCCCAAGCCTCTCGCCGATTCCGTCAGGCTGCCCAACCTCACCGTCTACAACTCCCTGACGCGCAAGAAGGACAAGTTCGTGCCCATCGACCCCGAGGGCAAGACAGTGCTCTGGTACACCTGCGGCCCTACCGTCTACGACGACGCCCACTTGGGACATGCGCGCAACTATGTCTCCACCGACGTCGTCAGGCGCATCGTGCGCGACTACTTTGGCTTCAACGTGAAATTCGTCATGAACATTACCGACATAGACGACAAGATCATTCTGCGTGCGCGCCAGCAGCACTTGCTGGCAAACTTCCGAGCGGATCATCCTACCGTCGACGACACCGTCGTGTCTACGGCCAATGCCGCCTTCGCATTCTACCTGAAGAAGAACCTACCTCTCCTGCCCGCCGAGACGACCCCGGACTCGTTCGCTTCAGAGACGGACAAGGCCTATGCAAGGGTTCTGGAGGGGAAGGCACTGGCAGGAGACAATGAGACCCCCGGTGACAAGGAAGCCAAGCTGAAGATGCACATCAATACGGCCAAGTCGGCCGCCGCAACCCTCCAGAACGGCTCCTTGTTTGAGGTCGACCAATTCTACGACGGCGTCGAGGACGCCCTACTACCATACCTGGACTCCTTACACGGCTCTACGGTCGATTCAAAAGACTACGCGATCTTCACAAAGCTGACCAAGAAATTCGAGCAGCGCTTCTTTGAGGACATGCACGCGCTGAACGTTCTGGACCCCGAGGAGCTGACCCGCGTCACCGAGTATGTGCCCGAGATTGTGGCTTTTATTGAAAAGATCATATCCAATGGCTTTGGGTACGCGACGGCCGACGGTTCGGTATACTTCGACATAGCTGCGTTCGAGAAGGCAGGGCACGCCTACGCCCGGCTTGAACCTTGGAGCAGAGGCGACATTGCCTTGCAGGCAGATGGCGAGGGGTCACTCGCGTCGAAGACTACGGTAAAGCGCAACGACGCTGATTTCGCCCTGTGGAAGGCGAGCAAGCCTGGAGAGTTTTCGTGGCCCAGTCCCTGGGGTGAGGGGCGCCCAGGCTGGCACATCGAGTGCTCAGTCATGGCCTCTGAGGTCCTGGGAGAGAAGCTGGATGTTCACTCTGGAGGTGTCGATCTTCGATTCCCTCATCACGACAACGAGCTGGCGCAGTCGGAGGCATACTGGAACAGCAAGGAGCAATGGTCAAACTTTTTCCTGCACATGGGCCATCTGTCGATTGCGGGCTCCAAAATGAGCAAGTCGCTCAAGAACTTCACCACGATCCGGTCAGCGCTTGCCAAACAAGAGTGGACCTACCGAAGCCTACGTATTGCCTTTTTACTCGGGGCGTGGGAAAGTGGCATCGAGGTGACGGACGAAATCCTTCGCACAACTGCATCGTTTGAGGACAAGATGAACAACTTCTTCTACAAGAGTTCGGACATTGCAAGAAACCAGAAGGATGGAAGCGGGCCCGCTGCTAGCAACGGAGCAGAACAGTCAGAACACGACCAGAAGGTGCTGGCCGCTCTGGAAAAGGCCAAGAAAGATGTCGACACTGCTTTCTCTGACTCATTCAACACGCCTGTGGCGATGAGGGCACTTTCCGAGCTCGTATCGGAATTCAACTCGGCACCAACTGTCTTGGATGAGACAACGCTGACCCTTGCGCGATGGATAACAAGAATCTTGACGATCTTGGGTCTGGATGCGAAGGGTGATTTGAAGGACGAGTCCCGAGTGGCCTGGTCCGGTGTCGGAATCCCACCAGAAGCGGAAGCGTTTGTCTACCCCGTGTCGCAACTGCGCGACCAGGTGCGGCAAGCTGCTCGGACAAAAGACCTGGATCATGCTTCTCTGATCCAGATGGCGGAGAAGGTCAAGCCTACAAGCTCGGCCGCCAGCGAGCCAGCGAAGAAATACGAACAGGTATTCACGCAGTTCCAGGCCGATGTTCAGAAGCTCGCCGGCGAGAAGGCACCGGCCAGCAAGATCCTCGCCCTCTGCGACCAGCTGCGTGACACCCGCTTGTGGGACCTGGACATCTACCTCGAGGACCGCGACCCGCCACTGCCTGCCCTGGTCCGGCCCATCGACAAGACCATCAAGCAGGCCAGGGAGGAGCGCGAACGAGCGGCCGCGGCCAAGGCGGCCCAGAAGGCGAAGCGGGACGCAGAGGAGGCAGAGAAGAAGAGGCTGCAGGATGAGAAGGCAAAGCTCAGCCACCTCGAGATGTACAAGACGGAGGAGTTTGCGGAGTGGGATGAGAACGGCATACCCACAAAGGACGCCAAGGGCGAGGAGGTCACCAAGAGTAGGAAGAAGAAGCTGCAGAAGGATTGGGAGAAGCAGAAGAAGCTGCATGAGGACTGGCTGAAGCGGCAAGGGTAGTGCCCTGGCGTGGCGGTTGGAGAACCCCTCCTGGATCTTGCCTGTCTCCAGCAAGAGGAAGCCAAAGGCTTCTGCAGGAAGACAGTATCTTGAGGGAAATTTTAGCATAGCTACTGGAAGGTAAAAGCCATTTGCTGGGCGCTCCAAGCGTGGGCTTCCTGATACGTTTTGTTTTCTTCTGTTGCTGTAACAGTGGTACTTGTCCCCCCTGCGGATTGATAGAAGAAGTTTAGACAACGAGACGTGGCAATACTATCCAAGACATTCGAGCTGTGTCCCGCTGTTTCGTCTCGGAGAAAATGGCTCTTCGACATATGTCCATTTCTTGACATCATGAGTGAAGAAAGGGTGAGATGATCGGTTCAAATTTTTGCCGTGTATTGAGAACGAGGAAGGCGTGGCCAAACTCGGGGCACGATCAAACGACGACTGGATATCTCGAGCTCCAATTGCAACACTTCAGCCTGGCCCGATCTGCCTCTCTCGCTGCAGCCGCAACGAGCCTTCTTCGTGCCGTGGCTCATATCTGGCACATGGGTGTATTTAAGACGTAGTCGGATGGTTCGGAGCTGCCTTTTTCTCTCTTTTATGCGAGATACTCTATAGTATATTGTGAATCTCGCCCTGTAGCGTAACTTCCCGAAGGACACCCTGTAGCAAACTTCTACATGGTACTTCGTGTGGGTTAAGTTCATATGGGGGAAAACCTCCTAAAGGGTAAACCCTTACCTTTTTCCAAAAAGAGGGAAGGGGAGAAAGGCAGATTTCACAGGAAGACCCCTGAAGAAAAACCTCTAATGTAGAAAGCTCCTTTGTGTAGGCCTAATACTCTGGGTCTACTATGAGAGCTGAGCAGAAGCACTTGAGACTAGCAAGCTACCGAAGAAAAAACGGCATTGCAGCTTTTTGGAGCATGTGAATGTTGTTTAACGTGTTTGTTTCTTTGATTGCTGGTTGCTAACGTCCCAAAGCAGCTAGACTACCACTTGAGGCGACGGCTCCCTCCATCTGGGGAAGCTGGGCACGGTACAACAGGCAGGTCTGCCTCGGCACTGATATTCTGGCCCTGGCTCATCTTTACAAAGTGCTGGTGGATGAGCTGGATGCGGCCATCCGTGTAGTCCGAGTTTGCAGGATTGCCATACTGCAGCGTGAAGCCGTCGGTGTGATTGACAAAGGCCTGTGGCTCGGTTAAACCTTCTGTCCTGGCGTAGGAGAATCCAACATTTGAAGAGCAACTCATGCTGGGGGGCGGGAATACTCACGGTGCAGTCGGGCACATTACGGCCAAACAAGCTCCAGAAGGCGTCCCCAACAGCCACGGGGCTCTGCTCGATCACCTTGAACCAATCGGCCAGGGAGTCGCCCCTCGGCGTGACGCCGTCGTCGGCTGACCCGACCCAGTCGTACTCGCCGGCGAAGTAGCCCTTGTTCACCGAAGCCACTGGGCGTGCAGAGAGGTCAGCATCCTGCCCAAGGCTCATCTCAGATCGTGGGGGAATGCACTACTCACCCAGGTCCAGGCCCTTCTGCAGCTTCGCAATGTCGGCCGGGTAGAAGTGGTCCGAGAAGATGTCCACGTCCTCGAGCCCAAGGTGCGCCTGGTTCACGCCGTACGTCCCGTCGACGAACAGCTTGGCGGGCGCCAGACCCTTGACGTAGCCGGCGATCTCCTCAACCCAGGACGCAGGCACATCCATATCACCCCAGACGGGGCCCGCCAGCTCGTTGCCGCTCTCGAAGGCGAAGATGGTGGGGTCCTCGGCGTACGTCAGGTTGGTGTGCGGGTTGACGTGGGTCAGCAGGGTGCGGATGTACTCCTTGAAGGTGTCGATGATGGTGGCGTTGGTGTAGAACTGCTGGATGAGCGGGTTGTTGGCATCCGCAGACTGGGTGAGGTTGAAGCCAGCCCAGCGCAGGAAGTCGTACTTGCCGCCGTGGTAGTAGTCGTAGTTGTCGGTCAGGGGCACCATCAGCCGCAGGCCGTACGCCCGCGCCTGTGCGACGGTCCAGTCGATGGTCTCGAAGGCCTGCTCGTTGACGACCCCGGCCTCTGGCCACACGCTCAGGGGGTTCCCCGTGCTCACGCCCACCGTGTGCGCGCGTATGGCCGTCCCGCCCAGCGCCTTCACGATGGCCATCACCTCGGTGATGCGGCCCTTTGTCGGGTAGCTCGCGTTCGACGGGCTGTAGAAGGGCTCGCCTGCCGGCGGTATCACGTTCTCGTCCAGCCCGAGCCAGTAGACGTTGGGGCCGACCGCCTTCCATGGCTGCCCGTCCAGGAGGAGCGTGGAACCCTCGCGCGTGATGGGCAGGTTGCTCTCCTGGCGTCTGAGAATGTGCTCATCCGCGGTGGCCGCCGCAGTGACGGCGAGGAGAAGAGTGGTTGACTTCATGGCAGCGCTGGTTTACGAGCCTCGGTTATCACGCTTCGGCGTAGGGCAGGATGAGAACGGCTCAGTCCATGGGCGAGGGATGAGCTATATAGTAGACAGTCCCTCCGCCCGCACCGGCAGACTGGCCCATGTCGTGATGCCCTCGACCCATCTCCCTGGATACGCGGGTGGAGAGGCGCCGGGTTTGTCGCCCAGGTCTGCAGCTAAGCGAGCCCGACTACTCGTGCAGAACCACCCGGATAATTCCCGGCAGCTTGGTTCGACCGCATCATAGACGAGAGCATGGGGAGATTTGATGTGGAGGGCACCCTTGGCTAGTAGGGCTCCAGAGCGCGGAGGGGGCCTGTCCGCGGCCAGAAAAAGGCGTCTCAGGGGCAGGGTTCTCGGACTAAACCACCGCTTTCGAACCTCATGTCCTGACGCCTTCAGCCGCTGCCACCGACTCGTGCGCAGCTTTTTGCTCGAATACCACAGGATTAATTCTGGACAAGAAACAAATGCTGTTTGCTACGCGAACATGGTACCTAGGTATATACTTCAGCAACTTCGCATGGGACCAGCCTCACATGGCGGAAGCTGTACTTGGGGAGACCTGGTGCCCAAAGCCTGATGCCACGGTGACTCCATAATTATGGCTATTTCTTCAAACCCTTCTTGAGGTGGCTGCGTTATTACATGGCGATAATAGGTGAGATGGATGTTATTGAGCCTGTGCAAAGTTCGAGCCAATAACCATAGCAATATCCAATGAGAAGCTGTCCAAGTCCACCATCATACCGTCGCTCGCTGGCAGTATGTCCTCACACAACCATCTCGCCTGGTGCAAGGAGTCCCCAGCCCCCTCCACAACTACATCGTCTCATTTGAGTCAACACGTAGTTCATGCCGGGCTTCGTCGGATGCACATCCTCCATGACAGAACAGCACCTCACACACCTCCGCCACGGTGGACCAGTGGCGGCATCCGCACCCGCCTGCTGCTGCTGCTGCTGCTGCTGCTCATGTGGCCGGTGCCCCCTCTCTCCATTACAAATATTCGACGAGACGTGTGCCGTCAGCTCCACGCGCTTGAACGCGTCGACGTATTTGCCCTGTGCCTTCCTAGCTGCCATCCTTCTCGGGTCCTCTTCTACCTCTAGCAGCGGGAAGTCGGTGAAGAACAATCCGGACCGGTCGGTCGTGGCCGCCAGATTCTTGAGGTCTGTCTCAAAGAACTTCTTGATCACCGGCAATAATTGGGGTGAGGGTGTTTCCGTGAGTAGCATGTTTAACTCGTAATGCGCCTGTGCCCTCTTGACGGCGGCTTCGGCGGGAGGCTGATTTGGCTTGCCTGATTGCTGCTGTTGCTTCTGTGCTAGCATGGCCAGGGACGCTTGGTACTGTTGCCTGATGTCGCCACTTAGCACACTCAGGGTCCTCTCTATCTCCTTGAACGTGATGAGTGTTGTCGTAATGCACCTCTGCATCTTGAGATACGCCTGCTGGATGGCAACCAGCCCTTGGTTTGCCTTCGATTCTGTCGAATTGTGCACGGCGGGGTTCTTGTCCCAGAACTGTGTGGCCTGCGTGCTCATCATTTGAAGGTGATGAAGACGCTTGCAAGTGGCAATGAGGAACCCTCTCGTCGATGAGCACAGTAGCAGGTGTAGGGAGACATCGTTTTTGGATTTTAGATAAGGGGTCATCTCCGAGAAGCGCCCGGGGCTGAGGAGCTCCATGAATTTTGGATCATCGCGCAAGACCAAAAGGCTGTCTGTCAACCAGCACAGAAAGTCCAGTGCCCACTTTGCGCACCCTGTCAGTGCGTCAACCACCTCTGAAAACAAGGGTTAGCCTACCCACAAGATAAGTCGCGATTCCGAGGAGAGTGGAAAGACTCACCAGGTTCATCAAGAGGTGTGAATTTCTCCCTGGATGGGTTCTGGGACGAGTTGTTGGCCAGGGTGATGAAAATGACGACGTGCCTGACGCTGAGGGCGAGCATGGCAAACTTGCCCATGAATGACCTCGGCTTGAACTCGCCCCGGAAGCCAAGCTGATTTTGAAAGCTGAGGATGTTATGAAGATGTGTATTTCTGTACAATGATTCGTGCTGGGATTCTTCCGAGTAGTCCACATTGGCATTCAACATGTGCACCATCATTGAAACCATTTCGGGTAGAAACCGAGGATGCTTCTCGACAAAAGGCCTAGCGACAGCGAGCACGTCGTCGTAATTTGAGCTTTGTTGCGCCGCGTTGGCAGCCGCCAGTGTCAACCCGGTCAGCGCAGCGTCATACAGGGGGTCCTGCCTGGTTGATCCAATCTGGTCTGCCGTGTACTTTAGGCTGTTCCACTTGAGCTTACCATTCTCACAGACCTGTGTGAAGGAACAATTGTTGGGGGACATTGTCAGCTGCACACAAGGCTTCTCATCGTCGAAATGGAAGCCGGCCTGCTGGGGTACCATGATGAGGTCGTGGTGATCCTCATTGGCCAACTCAGCCATTGTCGAGCGGTCTCGGAACTGGACTGTCCCGTCGCTGAATCCAATGCAGATGACCCTCCCCAGCTGAGTTGTTTCGATAGAGACCGCTATCTTATTGATTACAATTGACTCCCTCCTACGGAGTCGTGTCGTGGGATGGAGAGATGATGCTGATCCACCCTTGGAGCCGCGTTGCTCGAAGGCCGGATGCAGTTGTTGTGCTTGATCCGTGAGGATATCCCATCGGTCAATGATGCTCTGATATTCGACGTTGTAAGGTGTCTGCACCGGAGGCACGTGTGACCTGATGATCAGTATAGTTGCCGGCAACGAAGTCTTGGCCTTCATATCCACGACAGGCGGATAGACCTCCAACAACGATATCTGGTCCATGGAGGCATCGAGGTGCGACTCTACAAGACCTTGCTGAAGCCAGCTCGTCCCAGTGACATGCTCCGCCTTGAATGAGGGCTTGAGAGGCACGCCCCCAGGCGGCACCTGCTTGTCTTGTGGATGCGAAATGCCCCAGTTGATCTCCGCGTGGAGAACCTTCAACTGTCTCGCTGCCGTAGCGAGCACAACGACCAACTTGGCTTGCTGGGTGTTAGCCTACGAGAGGACATGGCCTATTTTCTTCCCCCCCTTCCGAGGGACCAGGGGGAGCAGCAAGTCTTACCTCGATCCGAGCAAACCGCAGCGTGAGTGATCAGGTCATCTGAGGAAGTAATGCTCTCCATTTCCAGCTGAGCTTCCTGGGGAACATTGGAATTCTGGGAGTAAAACAGCTTGAGTAGACCATTGGCAGTGACACAAACCAAAGCGCTCCTGGCCGGGTTGGGATGGTATGGGCCGCTAGTCTGTATTATGCTGGTGTTCATCTGGTACTTGCCGTTCTCACGAACGGCCGGCCCGTGTGTGATGTTAAACTGAGCCTGGTCAGTATGTCTGGTTTGGCGGAGGAATGGGGTTGGATGAACAGCATACCGGCCTGTTTGGTGGTACGAGCAAAGGCAGCCAGTAGCAACCGACCACGGACAAAAGATCGTCGGGTGTATCGTTATCCCACTTCCTCGTGATCACAGAGGTCTTGTTGAGGCTACTGTTAAAGAACAAAAGGCAGACCCTCCCGTAGGCGTCAATGACGGCCAGCTCCGGGGTCGTGGACGGCGACCATGCCAGGTGGACAATGGGGCCCCCAGGAAGGGTTGGCGAGAAGATGGAGCACGGAGTGGGCTCGCTGAGCTCCCAAGAGGCATCGGAGGGGCTGGCACGAGCACACTGTAGGTTGACATGGGTGCCATCCGGAGAGATGGATGCAATGGTGCCGAGCTTTGAGCATGAGATACCGCTGGGGTGACGGTCAGATATGCCACGGGCCGAGCAAGAGTGGATAAGGCCAGCCAGAGGCAGGATGACTTACCGGCAACAGCCTCGGCTCCGCATCTCATCGACACGCTGCTGCAGCTGTTTGCTGGGGGGGCGGGAGGCCATGGGGAGCACCTCGTCCCCGAACAGGTCGTCGTCCATGCTGGGCATGGCTGCACCCAGCGGGCCCATATGGTCATCCAGCATCATGGGCATCTTGGAAGAGGTCATTTGTGAGAGGCGGCTCTAGCCCCAAGCCTGGGCGATGTGCGGTGGGCGGCAGGCGGCGGAAGGCTGCTGATACGGAGTTCATAGAGCCAGGCTGGGCTGTGGTGCAGATGCTGCTACACCTGCGCAAACACACAGTGTGGGAGCTATGGGTGGACCATCATCGGTCCGGCACAAAATTATCGCGGTGGATGCGTGTCACGAACAACGTCTATGTTGGCGTAACTATCCGTACTTGTCTGGTTGTTTGGGCAGCTTATTACGGCCAATCGGTGCAGCACAGACTAGGAGGTCGAAGTTGCTGACTAAGGCCGGGCACGTCCCCTTCCGTTTTGGCTGCTGTGTAGTAGTGTGGCTTCTCCAGCCTTGCGCGTGGACCCATAGGCACATTGTGAAGCCTTGACCCCTGCATGACATCGTTGGTGGATCCGCATCCGCATCCGCCTCCACATCCCTGCAGCTTCTCACGGCAAAAGTAAACAGATGCTTGCGAAAAAAAAAAGGAAGAGTGGATGCCGTCTCCCAGCAACCAGCGCAGATGCAGCACACATGGCAGTCCACACCCTCTCACGACTTGATTTTTCATCAAGGCAGAGCCGCCAAAGGATGTTGTCATTACTAACAACCTTGGAAGTTGTGCTTGCATCTGCAAGACCAAGAGGCAAACATGCCAAATGCTACCGTTTCAAGCTAGGCCAGCTGTGACTGATCGGATTCGCAGGACGGGAGCTGACTGTCTGATGCAGCAAGGAGAGAGAAAGCCATTTATTGCGTGCTAACCCGTACCGTCGCGCTGGTCCGGCGTAGCAGCGTGGCCGGCTCTTGGTCCAGCGGACTAGTTGGGTACTGCGGTCAACGTGGCCAGCGGCGCAGGGATTCATGTATCTTTTCCCCAAGCAAGAAATGGGGCGCCAGGCCGGGAGCACGTGTGGGCCGGCCCTCCCTGTTACCATGTACTCCGTACTCCGTGCAATCCTGGCACGCGCAAATGCAGCCTTCCAAAGGTTGGGGTACCTCTGCCGGCCCCCCTTCGCTCTCCCAGATAATATGGGCATGAACCACGCCCGTGCCCATGCCCCGTCGCCATCACCGTCAGCGCCGACCGACTTGTCCCTCCACCGACCTCCCGCAATCCACCTGCCCACCTCAGTCAGCCAGCCCTGCCAGACTTTTCAGCACCCTGCCTATTGTCCGGTCCAGACAAAGACACCCGCTGCCGCTCACACAATCCCAAGGCATCCCAAGGCATCCCAAGGCACCTCCGATGTACAACACCGGCGCCGCCATGGTTTAAGGCCAGAGCGACCACTGCCAGGCCCACTCTTGTCCCCTTTCCTCCTTCCCAACCTGTCTTGACTTTGTACCACCCGCACAAAGTCTTGCAGCGCGTCAATTGCCCGCCACGCTGCCACACAGGCAACCACTCGCGCGCAATGGCCTCTCCAGCCCGCCATCACACCTCCCCCCCCACGTCACCTCTTTCCGATCTCTCGCACACGCCCTCGCCCTCGCCCTCGCCCTCGCCCTCGGCCCCCTCATCCCCTCTCTCCGTCTTGTCCAAGTCGCCATCCCTCTCCCCTAACGCCGCCGCCGCCGCCGCCGCCGCCGAGACGGCCACGGCCAGCATGGATATCACCACGCGATATCCCTCACCAAGCTCTACCGCCACGCAGTCGGGCAGCGCCTCGCCTCTCAAGCTGCCAGACAGCCACGAGATTCAGGTCCGCACCGACGGCGCACCCCCACCACCCAAGAGGCGCAGGCTGGCAGAGCCGAAGCCGCGCACCACCCAACACCTGGACCTCGACAACCGCGACGATGCTGCCGAGCTCCAGCTGGAGCGCCTGCTCAACACCTTGCGCCGCAAGAAGAAGATCGTGGTCATCGCTGGAGCTGGCATCTCCGTCTCAGCTGGGAGTAAGTCTCATCTCGGCGAACCGCTCTCCAGGAGAGAGACCCCCCCTCCCCCCCCAAAAAAAAACCAACCATCCAGATCCATTCAAGCTGACCAACCGTCTGCCCAGTACCCGACTTTCGATCCAGGGAGGGCCTCTTCAAGACCCTCGGCGAGAAGCACAAGATCAAGGGCGGCGGCAAATCACTCTTCGACGCCTCCGTCTACAAGAACGACAAGTCTACGGCAGAATTCCATAAGATGGTTCGCGACCTGTCGAGCCTGACAAAAGAGGCCAAGCCCACCCCCTTCCATCATATGCTAGCCACAATCGCTCAGGAGGGCCGCCTGATGCGACTCTACTCTCAGAACGTCGACTGTCTCGACACATCCCTAAAGCCTCTGGCAACTAACATCCCCTTAAATACCAAGGCTCCGTGGCCGGTCACGATACAACTCCATGGCGGGCTCGAGAAAATGCAGTGCACCAAATGCAGCGACGTGAACGGCTTCAACGGCGACCTCTTCCAGGGGCCTGAGCCACCTCTATGTGGCCAATGCAAGGACGCCGACTATGTGCGCACTACATTTGGGGGGAAGCGCAGCCATGGGATAGGGCGCCTCAGACCACGAATGGTTCTTTACAACGAGTACAACCCAGATGAGGATGCCATCGGTAAAGTCTCGCAAGCCGACCTTCGCCGGATCCCGGACGCTGTAATTGTTGTGGGGACATCTCTGAAAGTACCTGGCGTCAGAAGGATCGTCAGGGAGTTGTGTCTGGCCACGCGCTCCAAGCGAGACGGTTTCACGGCCTGGATCAACCTGGACCCAGCACCCCAAGCTCCGGACATGAAGGATCTGTGGGATCTCGTCGTACGCGGCAAGTGTGACGATATCGCCGGTTTGTTGAACTTGCCCCACTGGGACTGTGACACTGAGGATATCGGCAAGAAGGAGGAGTACATGGTGTCCGGATCAGTTGAGAGAGAAGTGGAGTACAAAGAACGGTGCAGTCGCGATAGAATCGACGTGCTGCTGGCCAACAAGAAGCGCTCCTTCGATCAATCCAGCGACACGGAATCGAAACCCGACCTCAAGTCCATACTCATGGACAAGATGAAAGATACCTTACCAACACCAAGTGCAAGCCCTCGGCAAGGCACACCACAGCCTCGCAAACCGCTACCAAAGGGCAAGGTCAAGCAAAGCACGCTCAGCTTTGGAGGGCAAACCGTCGCTGCCGAAGGTGATGGTAAGGTACCGAAAGCCGCCAAGCTGAGGAAGCCCAGACAGCCCAAGAAGACCAAAGAGGCGAAGCCAAGTAGTGGTATCACCAAGACCTTCAAGGCTACCAAGACTGTCACCAAGGTTGACAGTCTGGACAAGACGCTCCCAACGCAAGTCAAGAGAGAATCACCACCTCCTAGGATGTCATCACCCTTGGAGAAAAAAGGCAACCGGCTTAACTCTCTCCCCTCCCTGCGACCAGAGGTTCAGGCCCATGGGAAGCTTCCTTACCTCAACGTCGGTGCCTCTTCCAGCGATCTGAGCTTTATCAGTGCCAAGAGCGACGTGGAGGAGAATAATGCGAATCTCTCAAGACCCCGCGGAATGGAGAACTTGATGGATTAGAGATCTTTCCCAGCTCTTCCCCGAGAAGAAACGTGGGCTATGTTACGCCTCGGTCAGAAGGGCTCCAGCGCTCCCAAGACGTCCAGTGAGGCTCGCGTTCATGTTTGTGAACAAGACGCGAGGAGGGCCCACTCCCTCAGTCAGTCACATAGCTTCAGCAGCCAGACTTCGGCAGATCTTGTCGGAGACCAATGGCTTCCGTGGACTCTCACAGATCTGCCGGATATTACATGAGCACCTGACCAGCGGATTGGATCCTGCGAGTTAGGGCTATTGGAGAGGCGGTTTTCAGTTGTAACCAGGCAGCGTTTGCACTGCCAAACACCAAGCAGTCTTGGATTGTACAGATTTTCCCCACACGCATCGCTACTGTTCATAGGACACCAACATACCAAGGGATAGCGCCTTGAGAGGAGTCCGGAATACCTTCGGAAGGGACAGGTTTGCCTTACCAGCGAGGCGTTGCGTTTGTTGCTACGGGCGGGTTTGTTTGTGCAAGGGGAAAATATACACGACCACATCAGGAGTTTTGATGATATACCTATAGACCAAGGAGGGGCGTACGCATGCTGTAGCAGCGTTCGCTAAATGAGATTCAAGCGCGTAATCGCTTCAGGCTCTTTGGCCGTGCATTGCACCCGGGGTTGTGACCTAAGTGCCTGTCGCCACCCGGCGTCTCCGCCGTGGCAGGCTCCGACTGGCACCCTGAGGAGGTCATTTTATAGTTAGTTTCCACAATGTGTTCTCCCATGTGCAGAATCTTGTTCTACAGAATGGTGTCTTGAAGGAGGGATCCTATACGGGGCTGCACGCCTGAAGTGCCTGGTCAAGCCCCCCCCCCTGCTTTAGAGCCATTCAGACTCCACACACGCAGCACAAGTGCCGCCGCTCGGCCACATCTATCTCACTCGTTCACTCGACACATGTCACGTGCGGGCTCTCTGTGTGCTCTTAAGCTTGTCTTTTGATTCGATACGCCCATCCCAGTGTCAATCCTGGGCAGGGCCTAGTCTCTGATAGCAACCCCCCGGCCACCCACCCTGATGACTACAACTAACGCTGTTGTTGTCTATCGTGTGATAGAAACAGCAAGCCACTGTTCCAGATGTTCAGTCCAGTATGCAGACCACGCCAGGTGTCAAGCCACTGGCAGCAGGCCCCGCGGCCTCATTCGCCCGACGGTCATGAGCAAAGCTTCGTAGTCCTGTAGCCGAATCTAGTGTTTTATGGAGCAATACAGACTGAACCCACCAATATTTTTTCCCCGGACGTCGTGACAAGGGAGGGACCGTCATGGTTCCATCCGTAAGACGGGCCATTTGTCTGTGACGCGACAAAAGCCATGCGTGTAAAAAAGAAAATAAAACCGTATGCCTAATCCACATGCGACTCTGGGTATGACTTAGTTTATATAAAACTCCTCACAGCCGAAAAACGCCAAGTAACGGACATCATCTCAGTGCGCCTAAACAATGCTTCTGGTTCATTAGCCCACAGGCTCAATAGCCGACAGTGTGTGAACAGTGTGAGAGTTCTTCGCGTTTTGTCACGACCGGTATAGCCCAGCCGCGTCCCGGCACGACATTGTTTAAGCTCATCGACCTCCTGGGTGCCAGCCAAATGCTACTGATTTCTGACATCAGCCCTCTACCAGAGCTGTCTGGCGAGTCAGTGTCTCTAGTATGGGCTGGGCCGGTGTTGATTATTTGGAGGTGACCACGATGGCCTGCCACGGTCGGCGAGACCTCGGTCATTCAGAGGTCGATCCCGATCTTTCCTAAAGCTCAGGCGGTCTCCGTTCTCATAAGCACGATGTCTGTAGTCGTCCCGTCGGTAATCACGACGGCTGTCTTCGCTAAGGTCGCGGCGCGCCTCCCTACGCGCATGACGATGTGCTTCGTCCTCGTCATCGATCTCACCGTCTTCAAGATCGTCGCGCTTCTTGGCCGACTTTTTCTCTCCGCCTTCTTTCTTGTCCTTTCCCTTGTCCTTGTCTGTGAGTGTTCGGTACATCTTGGCAAGCTTGTCGCCTGTGACCTCGATCTCGCCGATGGGCCAGACTGTAGAGAGGAAATCCCTGTGCTTCGGTTAGTCTTTTACACGATTGCTTTCTTCGGGGCAGAAGGTTCCTACCAGAACTGCGGCATCAACCCGTCAAGCTGCTCGGCAGGCAGCCCAGCATCCTTCAGACCCGTGAGGTGATTACCAATGTGACGCAGCTCGGTGCCCATGATCTTGGCACGCTCCTTGGCCGATGCGATATGATCCTGCGTCGTATACATAATGCGCTTGAAATTGCCACGGACAGGCTTCAACAAGGACCAGATCAGTTGTTCATTGTCCTGAACATCAAGCTTGTTGTCGTCGAGTTCCATCAAGCGGTTGAAACGCTGGACAGCTTCCTCGCGTCTCCTATTGAGACGATCAAGCGCCTCGGTGTCCAGCTTCGTGCGATTCTTGTCATCCTTGGCATGCTTGTTGTCGCCGTGGGCATGGTCCGTTCGCCGATGCTTACTATGGCGGTCATCGTAGTCATCTGTGTGCTTCCTCTTGTGCTCGGGCCGGGGAGTGCCACGCTCGTCGGCGATGCTGCGAGATCTGTGATGGTCGCTATGCAGACGCTCCCTGTTACGATCCCTGTTGTGTCCACTTTTCTTGAGAAGTTGAGGGGCGGGGGATCCGGAAGCTGAATGGACGTCGCTGCGGCGATGCCCGTTCAGGACAAGATTCTTCTTGCTGCGATGGTGATTCTCGACAGCTTTCTTGGCCGCGGCATCGTCGGAATACTTGGCCATCAGAACCGAAAGGAGGTACTCGGAACGGCGGACAAGGTGGACAGCACCTGGGGACTGGATGCTCTTGTCGTCACCTTTTTTCCGCTCCTCCTTCTTGTCCACACGGTGCTCCTCCAGGAAAAACTTGTCCTGCATTTGCAGCTCCGGGTCATCTCTGATTTGCGTCCAAGCTCCAAAGCCGTACCTGTCGATGCCGATCAAGAGCATGCCGTCTTCGCGGGCTCCCCAGTCGCAGGAGTAGTGTGCGGCTTTCGCAGCCTCCGGGAGGCGGAAATTCAGAGCATTGGCCTGCTCGGCCAGGACGTTGCGGAGGAGTTTAAGTTGAGGCGGCCTTTCGACGACAGTCTCGGCATTGACCTTCCTGACCTCTCCGAAATCAACAAGCACAGCCTTCTTGTCTTTCTTGGCCAATGACTTTCCCGTGCGTTCTTCTTCCTCGCGGACCTTCTCGTTACTGATGTCGACAGCAGCCTGGCTGTCTCTGATGAGATCGTCAATGATCTCGTGAAGGAAATCACGGTCACGGTCAGATAAGCGAGCCTCAAAGACTACTTCGTCCCCACGATCATCCATTGAGCCGTATCGGAAGAAAGCCCGAATCAGGTTGCGAGTCTCCTTCTCGTTCAGCGGCCGTCTGGGATCCGACAAAAGCGCGCGCTGTTCCTCGAGTTCCTGGAGCTCTTGCCTCTCGCGCTCCCGCTTCTTCGCCAGCCGGTCGGCCCTGTCAGCGTCCGAGCCCTTCTTGACGCCCTTCAACGTGGCCTTCCTGGGTGCGTTCTCTTCCATCGCCTTGGCAAGATACGCATCGTTCTGTTTCTTCTCCTCCTCTGCCTTGATGACAGCAAGTTGGTCGGCAGGGATGATCTGATCCCAGTCCAGGGCCATTTCATCCACTTTGACGTCAGTGACTTGCATCCAGTTGTCCCAGTCGATGCCTCCTGAGCTGAGATTGAGTTTGTCATCGACGGCTGTTTTGGTCTCCTCAGCCTGCTCCAGGATGGCGTCAATGTCGAGCTTCTCTAGCTTCTCCTGGTTGCCAGACTGTTCAAACAAGTTCTGTGACCGCATCTTCAAGATCATCTGAATGTCTTCGGACGTCTTAGCCTCGTCCACCTGGACACCACGTTCCTGGAACTTCTCCTTCAGAGCTTTGCCCTCGTCAGTAACGCCTGCCTGGATGGTGAGATATTCCAAGAAAAGCTTGTTCCGTGCCCTTTTGACGACTTCTTCTTCGATTGTCTGTTTTGCGACAAGTCGGTATACGCTGACCGGTCTCTTCTGGCCAATACGATGTGCTCGAGCCATGGCCTGAAGGTCAGCCTGGGGATTCCAGTCCGAATCGTATATGATCACGGTGTCCGCCGTCATCAAGTTTATACCGAGACCACCCGCTCGCGTCGAGAGAAGGAAGCAAAAGTCGTCGCTGCCCTCGGCATTAAAATGATTGATCGCCAGGCGGCGGGGTCCGGCAGGAATGGTGCCATCAAGTCTTTGAAAAGGGTAGCCACGGATGCGCAGGTAGTCTCCAAGTATATCCAACATCTTCACCATCTGACTGAAGATCAACACCCTGTGGTTGTCCTTTTTAAGTTTGGTCAAGAGCTGGTCAAGAAGCATCATCTTGCCACTGCTCGTGATGAGACCCTTGATGTGGTCCTCTCGGCGAGAACTACCATTAAGCACACGTTCTTCGGCGCCTTGAAACATATAAGGGTGGTTGCTGATCTTCTTCAGCTCCATCATGATGTTCAACAGGGACTGCTTTTGACCGCTAGCATCCCTGAGGGCCGCGTAGTTGCGTGTCAGGATGTTCTTGTAGTAATCCAGCTGGACATCAGAGAGCTCCACGCGGATGATCTTCTCTGTCTTGGGCGGGAGGTCCGATTCGACTGTTTCCTTGGTCCGACGGAGGATGAAGGGAGCAATGGCTTTGTGTAATTGACTCAGCTTCTCTTGAGTCTGCTGGCGCTGTTCTTCATCCTTTTGCTCATCGATGACTTCAGGTTTCTCCGACTGCCCAAGAAGCTCCAGCTCTTCGTCAATGAGGACCTTTCCTGGGTTCAAGAAGTCCAGTAAAGCTGACAGCTCGGCCAGGTTGTTTTGGATGGGCGTGCCGGTGATCAGGACCTTGCAGGGAATGTTAAAGCTCACGAGCTTAGCGTAAAGCTGGGACTCCCGATTCTTCAACCGATGAGCCTCGTCGACGGCAAGCACTTGCCATTTGATGGTTCTCAGGAAGTCTGCGTCAAGAAGGATGTAGTCGTACGAGGTGACAAGAACGTTAAATTTGGTCTTCTTTGGGTTGTTGTTGATCATGAGCTCGTGCTCGCGGATAGTTGAGCGCGCGGCCTCAGGGCCTAGATAAACAACATAGTTCAGGTCAGGGGCCCAGTTGTTGAATGTATCACACCATGCCGGAATGACACTGAGCGGAGCGACCACCAGGAATGGACCTTCTTGGTCACGATCGTTTCGCAGCCAGCTGAGGAAGGACACGCTTTGGACAGTCTTTCCCAGACCCATTTCATCGGCGAGAATGACGTTGTTGCCACGGGTCCAGTTGAGTGCGAGGAAATTCAGACCTTTCATCTGGAACTCTCGCAATTCGCCGTTCGTGATGTAAGACGGCTGGTGCTCCAGCTTGGTCATGCGACCTCTCGTGTCTGGGTTCGACTCCTTTCGGTCTGACTGCCAGTTCCGCTGCGACCGATCGATGAACTGGTCGATCTTGTCTTGCGCCCGCTCGCTTACATCGGCAGATGTTTCCCAGGTGCACTCGTCATATTGCAGACCCTTCCATTTGATCAGGTATTCGGTGTCCTCTTCACCATCACGCATCGCTACGACGCGTTCGACGTTGGTGTAGTCCTCGAGTGCCTCGTTCTCGCGCTCACGGTCGAGAATATATTGCTCTCTTTCTTCTGGCGTAATGGCGTCGTCGTCGTATCGCATGCTCAGTTCGAATTCGACAAACTTCCTGTAGTAGTTCTCCAGCCGGCGATAGCCTCGGAAGCCGGCGACACTTGCGGTGGTTTCCCACGTGTCGTGCAGATGGGACATGCCTTGCCATTTGATGTAATACTTGAAATCATGTCGGGTCAGGTCTGGGCTCCACTCGGCACCTTCTTTCAACTCGTGTCGAATAATCTTTTCAATGTAGGGCGAGTTGTCCTCTTCCTCGGCGCCTGCCCAATGGGCTGGGGTAACGTCTGAGTCGTCATCTAGCTCAGCGTCACTCTCTTGGTAAGCGCCAGCTGTGACCTGAGCAGCCCTTCGACTGTTCCACCTCTTCTCGGCGAATGCCAAAGCAGGTTGCGCCATGGCCTGTCGGCGAGCTTTCTTTTGGATCGCTCGGGCTCGAGCACCGCCATAGGTGTCGGAATCGGAGTCATCGGCAGGAGTATGCCGTAAGGGGGTATCTCGCTTCGAGGCTAGTGAGGCAACATTAGACGTTAAAGTACGCAGACCTGGTTTGTCGTAAGAAAGCTTACAAGGCAACGATCTTTCTGTCCGTCGCTTCTTGGCAGCTCTCCGGTGAACGACGACGGAGTCGGACTCTGAGTCGTCATCATCTGCGCCGACCTAATACATAATTCGTCAGCTAGCGCGACACTCATGCAGTATCTGGGAGGGGGACTCACAATCGGTTTGCGCTGTTGAGGACGAGACTGTGGTGTGTGGTCAGCACAGCAACTAGTGACATGTCCATTTGAGGGACTTACGCTTCGCCGCAGGCCGTAGAGTTCAGGGTTCTCCCGCATGTAGTCTTCCTCTAGGCTGCCGCCAGCTTTGCGCTTGGGAGCTGTCCGGGAGTCGTCAGAAGCTGAGGCGGCGCCCTCAGCCGGGCCATCGCTGCGAGGGGAGGCTGTGCTATCGACCACCTCATCAAAGTCCGCATCATCAGAGGCACCATTGTCACTAGGACTTGATGCCCCATCGAAATCGACCGCCCGACCATCACGAGCAGTTGAGTCGAAGTTGTTGGCAGAATCGGAGGAAGGAGAAGCGACGTCGGGGGCCTGGACATCGGACAGATCGCTGTCGCTGGGCTCTGGGTCTAGTAGCTGAACTGCGACGGATGTTGCGACAGGCGACACATGTCCATTGGCCGGACTAGATTCTGGTGAAGCAGACATGGTCACCAAGGCTGGCGAGGCTGCCTGCTATAAGACGACGATGTCAGTCAGGGTTTTCTGAAGGGGGGAGCGAGACGAGGCCAGAGGACACGTCAGCGATGGTACTGGCGACCGCGGTGCGAGCGTTTCCGCAGGAAAAGAGCAGAGGGCGATGCATCGGTTGAGCTTGTCGCATGCGCTGGTGGGTGTGGGATGGAGGCGAGGCTGATGGATGATGACAGGCAATTGAGCGCGCCTCGCCAGCAGGACGGGCGTTCCGAGGCAATAGGCGCATCGGCATCATCAGCAAGGAGCGAATCCACCAGATACCAGAGTCCCAGAGACCTCAGACAGCAGCATATGGGCGACTATCAGGGGTCATGGACCCAGAGCCGATACGGATTTGGATGGCGAGGCACGAGGCACCGAGACGCGGACATGGATGGCAGCAAGGAGCCCACAGGTACAGGCACGGAGGAACTTACAAGTCATGAACCGATGACTGCCAGGCAGCAGGAGAGGAGAGAGCAGAACGAGCGTGTTGGAGTCCGGGAGAGCGGATGGGACGGTGTTGTGGACTGGGGGAGCTCTCTCGTGGTGGCAGTCCCAATGTCACGGGTGGATTGTGAGAAGATGGGCGACTGGAGGAGTCGGTCGGGTCAGGCAATTTTGAGAGAGTGCAGAGCAGTGGGCAGAAAGACAGTGGGACATTCCCGAGCCGGGCTCCCCAAGGCCACCTACCTGGGCGCGCTGCGGCTGCAGCCATGCGGGATGGTCAGAGCTCACTCGCTAACAGTTTACACGAGCGGCTTGGTGCTGAGACGATAGTGCCGTCTGCCACTAACCTCGACCTAGCCCCTGCTACCCAGCGACGGTCTGTTCCGGTGAGCACCTAGGCGCACTCAGATGGCAGTTGCCGGTGCGGGTATGAGGTACTATGTAGCATACAAGCTGCTCCATTGCCTGGACGACATGCAGATGAGGTCTCCTCGTGACCAAGAAGACGGTGGGCCTAAACTAACAGCTCAATCCTCGGTTCTTTCCGCCAGCCTCCAGCAGAAAGTGCCTCAGAGGAGCTCTGGCAGGCAGGTGCGTGTGCCGCCTGATATGTACATATGTTCACGTTCAAACACCTCATGCACTTCTGCGCTGTCTTGCCTTTTCCTTAAAAGGTGGCTAGAGACAACATCCTTTGAAACAAGGCCCTGTGCTGCCTGTATTTAGCAATGCATGAACATGCCAGTATGGCTGTAAGTCGTGCCAATGTGCTCTCGAAGCTCGACGGTTGGACTGTCTTGGCTGCTCAAACCAACAGACCCGTGCAGAAAGTGGCCAACACTAGCAATGGGATCACTGTTCAGTATTCGGTACAACCCGAGGGGATGAAATGAGGTGAGGCGTCGAAAGAGGGAATATATACACCTTCATTTCCAGCACCGAGCCACGGGTTGGGTACAAGACAGGGACATGTGAGACAACGGAGGCATAGCTGTAAAGTCATTTATTTAGGTTGCGCATCTTGCTCTGACCCTGTCTGATTTAAGAACAACCAACTCAACTCAGCCCTGCAAGGGTGGACAGCCCCTCTCCTCAAGGACTACAAGCTGCTTGCACATGAGTGCTTGCTGGGTTACAGCGAGCATGGCGATGTTGCATTTCGAGGCAGAGGATAAAACACCACGCGGGAAGCTTCAATGGAGCAGCATCCTGTAGCCCACAAGGGTGCCGTTTGCTGAGACTGGTGCCAGCATATATTTCTGTCTATACCTAGGTATCTATGTGCTTGCCGTATTCATGCCATTCGCGTCCCTCATCAGCCCACGTCAGCAAAGAAGGGCTGTGTCTGCCTGCTAGCGCAGTACCGTCTTGTTACTGTAGACTACATCAGTACGGAGCACTTCCGTGTGAAGCCGCTCACAACAAGGCTGCAAATCCCGGCAGAGGGCCAGAGGCCCATGCTGATCTTGATCTCTGGCGTCAGTCAGTCAATCCAGGTACTGTAGTACTCAGAGTTAGGTGCAGGTTTGGACCCCCTCTGGGGCCAGGTCAGCCTATCAAGTCTCTCCCGTTTATGACCATCGCTTGCATTTTTACCCCGCTGCCCACAAATTCGCAGGCAGTGAGCCATCTGGCTGGCAAAAAAGACCTTGGCCGGATTTTGGTACACTGGGTTGGCTGCTGTCACTCACCGCGCCCCATTCCACCCACCACATACGCCCTCCTTGCTGTCTTTGTTTCCTTTCCACCCTGTCCCCAATCCTATTGTCTCCAGGAAGGCCCCCCAGCAAAAGGCATCGCCTCCTTTTCTGCACGACTACTCGACGGCCTGGACAAGCCTCCGAACCACCGGCGCCGTAGACCTGCCCCCCGAGAACAAGAACTTTTCAGCAAGCTCGACGACTGCGCTCGCATCTACCCAACAACATGTCGGACAAACTCACCCGGTACGCCAGCTGATGAGCAGCCCAGCAGAGGAGGAACACGGCGCGGCCGCATGCGGCCCCTCGCTCCGCTTCAATCGAACAAGACTGACATGCTGTCTCCTCTAGTATCGCTATCGTTAATAGCGACAAGGTCCGCACGACTGCCCCGCTACCCCGCTAGTAATCCGAGTGAAGCTGGACTGACGACAGACCTCACTGCCCAACAGTGCAAGCCAAAGGTGCGGCATGCCATATCTAGACCCTCTAGGTTCCCGGCGTCGAAGAACTTTGGTCAGCTAACCGGAGTCTCCAGAAATGCCGGCAAGAATGCAAGAAGGCATGCCCTGTCGTGCGAAGCGGAAAGCTCTGTCAGTTGCCGTGTCCCCCTGCCTTGCCCAGTGACAACGTGCCGAGTGCTAACTGGCGTCTCTGCTCCAGGCATTGAAGTCCAGCCAGACTCGAGGCTGGCCTTCATCTCCGAGTCGCTCTGCATCGGATGCGGTATCTGCCCCAAGAAGTGCCCTTTCAGCGCCATCACCATCATCAACCTGCCCACCAACCTCGAGAGCCAGGTCACCCACCGATACTCAGCCAACAGCTTCAAGCTGCACAGGCTGCCTATGCCACGACCTGGAAACGTGTTGGGTCTCGTTGGAACAAACGGTATCGGAAAGAGTACCGCGCTGAAGATCCTCAGTGGAAAGTTGAAGCCCAACCTGGGCAGGTTCGACAACCCGCCGGACTGGGAGGACGTCATCAAGTACTTCAGGGGCTCTGAGCTTCAGAACTACTTCACAAAGCTTCTGGAGGACGACCTGACCTCCGTCGTGAAGCCGCAATATGTCGACCAGCTTCCCAAGGCCATTCGCGGCCCCGAGAAGTCTGTTCAGGCGCTCCTCAACAAGGCAAAGCAGCTCGACAACCTTGAAGATGTCCTGGACACTCTTGAGCTGCGCCACATCTATGACCGTGATGTACCCCTGCTGTCGGGTGGTGAGCTCCAGCGTTTCGCCATCGGTGTCACTTGTGTAAGTGGCAGCCGCTCGTCTTGATGCCCAGTGACTTGCTGAACGTGGTCTTGGAACAGGTGCAAAACAAGGATGTCTACATGTTTGACGAGCCATCCTCATATCTCGATGTGAAACAGCGTCTGGCTGCCGCTAGAATAATCAGGTCGCTGTCAAAGCACGACAACTATATCATCGGTCCGTCTCTGCAAACTCCCCACTACACTGTTCTTTACTGACACCCCGCAGTTGTTGAGCACGATCTGAGTGTGCTGGATTACCTCTCGGATTACGTATGCGTCCTTTACGGTCAGCCCGCCGTCTACGGCGTCGTCACTCTCCCGCACAGTGTCCGCGAGGGTATCAACATCTTCCTGGATGGCCATATTCCGACGGAGAACTTGCGTTTCCGCGAGGAGTCTCTCACCTTCCGGATCGCAGAAGCCCAGGACGTCTTCGACAATGACCAAACGCGTGCTTTCAACTACCCATCGATGGAGAAGACTCTGGGCAACTTCAAGCTCAAGATCGACACCGGCTCCTTCACTGACTCCGAGATCATCGTCATGATGGGTGAGAACGGTACTGGCAAGACCACTTTCTGTCGAATGCTGGCCGGTGCCCTGAAGCCCGACGGGACGCAGAAGGTGCCAGACATGAGGATCAGCATGAAGCCCCAGACTATCACTCCCAAGTTCGAAGGAACAGTGCGACAGCTGTTCTTCAAGAAGATCCGTGCATCATGTAGGTTTCGCGCACGGCCTACTCGCCTTGTCCATTTTCGCTGACTTGAGGTGATAGTCCTGTCTCCTCAGTTCCAGACCGATGTTGTGAAGCCTCTCAAGCTGTGAGTAACCCTCTGTATCTCAATTTTTCAAATTGAGAGACTGACGCAATCGCAGTGACGATTTTATCGATCAGGAAGTCAAGAACCTGTCTGGTGGTGAATTGCAGAGAGTTGCCATCGTTCTGGCCCTGGGCCTCCCTGCAGACATCTATGTGATCGATGAGCCATCTGCGTACCTCGACTCAGAGCAGCGTATCATCGCGTCACGTGTCATCAAGCGATTCATCATGCACGCCAAGAAGACTGCTTTCATCGTCGAGCACGATTTCATCATGGCTACCTACCTTGCCGACCGTGTCATTGTCTTTGATGGCCAGCCCGGTATCAATGCTCACGCCAACGCTCCCGAGTCCCTGCTCACCGGATGCAACTCCTTCCTGAAGAACCTGGACGTCACGTTCCGCCGTGACCCCACCAACTACCGCCCTCGCATCAACAAGGCCGGCTCTCAGCTCGACCAGGAGCAGAAGCTGAACGGCAGCTTCTTCTTCCTCGAGGATCCGGAGAAGACTTCTGCCTGAAAGATTCACGCCGAACAAGAACAACAAGGACACATTCCCACCACCACATAATCACAAGCATGCATCGGGTCCCGGCGTTCTAGGCGTCCAAAAGAGAGGCACGGGCCGGGCGGACGGCTCCTCTGGTGAATTGGGCTTAGAGGAGGGCGGCTCGGATGAGAATGACGACCCTGACATCTGACAACGGTGACGGCGGTCTACCCCCTGTTGTCTGGTCCCTTGACGGGTGCATGGTCCGGCTCGGCCAAGGTCAAGGTCGCGGTCTAGGTCGTGGTCCCTCCATTCTTTCCTTTCTCGTGTCAAGCTTGACCCGAGACTTGGTCTGGATCGGGCGTTGTGGCTACCGCCATCACTATCATGGAAAGAGGGGCAATGGGTCAAGAGGGTGACTGCCGTCATAGCTACATTCACAAGTGTAGCAGTTTTGACGATTGTGGATGAAATTCCATTTACAGAGTATACCGGTTTGAGAAGATGCAAATACGTCAATTTAGAGAAACACCAGAATTTAAGCTGCCTGATTAATATCGCAGTGACTAAGAATCTACCAACTTTACAGTAGGAAAAGAGCCGACCGCCGGGCAGAGCATTTGCCATGCACATGCGGAGTTCTGAGCTCGGTGAAGCGTGCTAGGAGTAGATAACATACATGGCCAGGCAACAGTTGCCTCGGTTGCCATCACTCGGATCTATAGGCACCGAGTGGAAAACGAAGGGAGAAATTCGGGCGCCGGCATCTCGGTGTTAGACGATCTCGGCCCATGCTGGCGGCGGCCCAGCTGGCTTAAAGGCGAGCGGGCGCTGGAGGCTCTTGCCTGCCAGGGGCGAGGCTGAGCAATTGTCTGCTGGTCCGGAACGGTCATCTTGCCCACAGTAGTGAGTCGGAAACGATTGCCCGTACGTACTAGTGGCGACATGTTGTCTTTCTCTCAGCGGGCAAGCCTCTGTCTCTACCCTTTGAAGTGATTGCTGGGCCCTTAGATGTTAAGGACGGGTGAGGTCGGCGGCGCTCGACCAAACATCTAGTCTTCCTCGATCTCGCCCTCTTCGCTGCCGGAATGCACGCCCGCAGGCTCGTCCTTAGATAAAGCGGGCGGTTGCGGAGACCTAGTCTTCAGACGACCATCACGACGGGGGGTACGCTCACGAGGTGAAATGTCTCTCTTCAGTCTCTGTGGTTGTGGTTAGCTAGGGTTGGCGTTGCAGTTTTTGTCTTCGATAAAACGTACCTTGGAGTCCCTGGAATCTGGGCGGCGCTCATCATCGTCATCGGCACGGCGCCTCCTCGCGCTTGACGGTTTCTCATCGTAATTGAGGTCATCAACATCTTTTTCGACGACTCGACGGCGGTAGGAACGCTCACGTTCCTCTTCGCGGTCGCGGCGCTCACGCTCATAACGATCAAGCGGGTCGTCACGACGAGAGCGAGGGGGCCGATCCTCGTCGCGGTAACGATCCCGATCACGGTCTCGCTCACGATCTCTATAGCGATCTCGGTCTCTGTCTCGGTCTCTGTCCCTCTCCCTCTCCCTCTCCCTGTCCCTGTCCCGATGAAGATCATGCCCGTCTGACGACCTGCGGTCTGACAGTAAAGTCTCGGCCATACTCGACTTGCGATAGTTACGCTCTCTCTCAGCGATGGCCTTGCGGCGGTCGGCTTCGTAAAGGTCTGGCTCTGGGCTGCGACTGGACCTACGAGGCGTCCGTCCACCACGATGAGATCTCTCACCTCTGTCTCTGCTTCGCTCTCTCTCACGCTCCCGATAACGATCACGCGATCGATCGCGGCGGCGGCGATCCTTTTCCAGATCTTCTTCCTTCTCTCGCAAGCGCCGCATATGCTTATCGAACGCGCTGCGGTGCCCCTCCTCGGTAGTCACTGCCTGGAACTCTGGTGTCTTCTGGAGACGCAATTTGACCTTTTCGTAAGTGTCACTCAATGTGATAGGGGGGTCCAAACGCTTCATGTAGGAGCGCAGGTCATCAATAGCTCGGCGCTGTTGGCGCTCAGAGTGCCGGTCCTCCTCCTGCGGCTTTGCTCTTCTTTCCTGAAGCTGCAAGGTGCTTGTTAGCGGAGGACGCCAGCACAAGAGGGGTTGACCTTACCCGCTCATAGATGAACTTTAGTATGTCTCGGTCAATGTTAGCAGTACGTCGGTCTTCTTTCATCACCGCAAGGAAGTCTTGGAAATCTGTCTTGGGGGTGACCTCGAATCGCTTGTCCTGTAAAACTGTTAGTATTTAGGTAGGCGGTGAGATACCCAGAGAAACTCACATGAAGCACGTCCATCACATCGTTGCGAGTGCCTCGAAGCCCGCGCTCCTCTTCTTCAACCACGTCCCAGAACAGCTCCTGCGGAGTAGATCCATTCTGGCCGATCATGGCTTTGTAGCGCGCGTCATTCTCGATCAGTGGATAAATCTGCTTCCATTTCGTGCCAGCCTTGATCTTGCCGTCGTTCTTCAGTTCACTTAGCAGACTCAAAAAGGCGTCCCGGTTCTGGCGCTCTTTGCGGAACTTCTTCGCCTTCTGGGCTTGTCTGTTGTCGTTGAAAGTGCGTTCCACTGCCTTCATATGATTCTGAAAGACGCTCAAGATGTCAAACTTGCTCAGGGATTGGTACTTCTCGTCACTCTGGAACGGTTGGGTTCCAGAGATGATTTCTTGCGCCTCGGACCATCGAGTGTAGGGCTCTAAATTCAGTTTTGGGAGGAGATCGATCAGCCCGTCCATGGCGCTCTTGCGCAAAGCCGACTGCTCCTCCCTGTGCCGCTTCTTAAGCTCAACGACGTAGTCTTCGAAGAGATGGCGACGTTCTTCCTCATCGCTGGTAGAGCGAAAGATGGTCTCTCCCTCGATCATTGGCCGAGCTGTCTTCCACCTGGTATAGTGTTTGATCTCAGGGTGACTCTTGAGCATGGTAGCAAAGTCAGCACGGAGTTTGGTCAGTCTCTCCTTGGCTCGCTCCTTGTCCTGCGATATGACATCTTGGCAGTACTTTTCGAAGGCGACCTTTCTGTCCCTGGGGTCCTTGATCGCACGGTACTGAGGGTCTTTCACTATCGCGCGGAGAGTCTGCTCCCATGTCCAGTCAGGCTGCACATTGCTCCGCTTCAGAAGTTTTACGAAAGCTGCCTCGGCCTCTTCGGCCGTGGCGTACTCCGGGTCGTTGCTCGCAGGGACAAATTGTTGAGCTCGCATGTTGTCGCCAAACGTCAACTGCCGCGATTCTCCGATTGGCTCACGAGAGTCCCGGGACTGGTCGAAGCTCTGACTGCCTCCTGGGCCAGGAGTCGGAAAGGCGCTTGGGGTGGCAGGAGTCGTCGGCGTCCCGGCAGTGGTCCCGAGGGCGCGTTTGTAGACATCTGGCATCTCCCACGAGCTCGTCTTGGTCTCGGTGTTGTACCAATACTTTCTGCCACCCTCGGCGGTATATTCCTTCCATGGCTGGTTGGCGAGAGCTCGCTGCAAGGAAGTTAGTGACGGGCGGGAGATCCTGACCATCACGGGGGGGCCTACCTCTGCCGGGCTCATCATCTCCTCCGGCTTCGTCCATTGCGTCACCTTGGTAGCTGCATTGTAGTAGTACAGGCGACCATCAGGAGTTCGATGCTCCTGCCAGGTGGCAGCCCCAGGCTGGGGGAACTGCCCGTTCAGGCCGTTCATCTTCAGCGGAGCCTGTCGCGTTCGCGCCGCAAGAGGGTTATCGGGCAAGTAATGCAAGCCAGAAATGAAATGAGATTCGACTGCGATACAAGAAGGGTAGAAATGGACAAGGAAAGAGGCGGCCAAAACAAGCCAACACTTCTGAGGTCCAGGAAGGTTGGCGAAGAACGAATCGCGCTGCAAAATAGTAGTCGCAAGCAAATTCATCCCAGGAAAGGCTGGGGGCGCACGGGCCATGTGCAGAAGGAGCTTCCGTTCCCAGATCCACCCAGCAGGTACGGATAGATAGCTCCTCGGTCCAGGCCCCACCGCTTCCCCTGGAAGCTCGAGCGTTACCTCATTCAACTTACCGCGGACACGTTCTTCATGCCTGGGTAATTACACTGCATAACCAAAACTATCACATGTCCATACTGGCTGGACCCTGGGCCGACTCCCATGCGCCTCGCGACCTGGCACATCAAACAAAGTCCCAGCAGTCGAATGAAAACATTTCTGGTGGACTACGGCCCCTCGCCCTTCTTTATCTGCAAGTCAGGCACTCCGGCTATGCTGTAGCGCTTGAAATCTGGTGCGCTGCAAGATGGCAGTCCCTACCCACTCCGGAGGAGGCATTGCTTCAGCAGAAGATGACACAGCTTTCCTCGAGCAATCATTCTTGACGTACACGGTTCCCTTGAGGACAGATCTCGACATAGAAGAAGAGATCAGGACCGCAATCTCTAAGGAACAGCCACTGGAGGATTTAGAGAATCGGCCATGGCTCTTCTTTGGTGAGGACTACTCCCAGACGATCTTCCCCTGAAGTTTCTCCGTCTCACAATGCTCATTCGTAGATGCCAGATGAAACTGTCGAGGTCTTTATAATACTTCGCACCCATAACCTGACCGACGATCTGTTGACCACCTATCTGAAGAGACTTGTGCTTTCTCTGCAGGCGCAAATAGTAAACAGCCCTACGCCAGACCGAGCCGAACTTGCGCCTTCGTCAGAGGTGGTATATAACGGGGATATCGAAGATGTGGAAACCCCTCTGACTGTCGTGACCGGCGAGGGCGACGATGACACGGCGGCTGGAACCAAATATGTCGTATGGAAGGCGTCCGCCTTCCTGACGCGACCACGAATGCGACTATACGGGCCGTCTGTTGTGTTTTCTGCCACTGCGAGTTTGAAGCCCATTCCAGAACACCCAGGTGGTCAGCAGGACGGTTACCTGGAGAGCGGCGTACCGTCGGGGCTGAACCTGCTCGGGTCCTTTGCCGGAGATCCTCTCTTAGGTGGTGTTAAGCCTCAGTTGTCTGCTGTTCGAGTCTCTCGTGTCGCACCAGTGACTCAATCCAAGGACTCATTCCCAATCCTCAAGGGTCAGCCTCGAATATCTCAGCAAATATATCCCGCTGCACACACTCGCGTGCGCTTCGCGCGGCCAAACACCATACCGCCTAGTCCGGCGATCATAGCCCTACTGGAGATCGACTTCACCCCTTACTTCGATTGCGAGGTCGCCGTGGACAAAGTCGAACTCTCAATGCCTGAAGGTGAAATCGAAGACCTGAATAACATATCCGGGCTATCGCTCCCACTGAACTGTGTGGCGCATGATCATATTACCCTCATGTACCGGCTTGCACCCCAGGAGAGTGACGTGCCATCGAAAAGCCCGACGCGCGAACTCCATATATCAATAGAGTGTACCGCTCTCGTTCGGGCAGGGATTTGTACTCCCAAACTACGTATGGCGTGGTCTACAATTTTGGACTTCACACTCCCTGTCAATCCTGGCTTCGGTTCGGGTGTCAACAAGCCTTTCCAGCGGGCTCACAAGCCTGCTCAGCTCTCCATCAGCGACGGGACAAGCTTTGTCTCACCTTCGGTATCCAGGCCCGATTCTCTGCCAGGTCTCGAGGCCCTCGCAGAGCGCTCGACCGAGGCCCACATCCCAGAATTCGGGATAACCATGACCTTTACCGCGCCGGACGGACCAATCTACCCAGGTGATGAGTTCGTCTGGAATGTATTCGTCGTCAACCGCAATTCCGCTGCGGTCAACCCTAGCCGACCCCCGTCAGAGATCATCCCAGCAGCGCGCAAGCTTGCGCTCCTCGCCATCCCCAGACGGCGCAGGAACGACATGCGCGTGATACGGCCACCGTCCACAGCAGGTCGAGACCATCTCCTTGCGCGTCGCAAGTCCGCCATCGCCGCCGCAATCGGCGAGGGCCCCGAGGCGGAGATCGCGGATGCGGTACTGGACGAGAATATCGTGCACGCGATGCAGCGGAGCAGCCTGGTGGACAGCACTGAGGTAGTCTGCCTCTCTGCGGATGTGCGCGTAGGCCCCCTGGCGCCGAACGCGTGTCACGTTGTCGAGCTACGCTTCCTGGCGCTGAAGGAGGGGATTGTGGGCGTCGAGTGCATCCGAGTGGTAGACTTGGGGAACCAGGAGCATGTTGACATTCGAGACCTTCCGGTCATGGTTGTCGAGAGGCGCAAAGACCGATAGACATGCAGAAAACATCCATATCTTCTTACGCGAGAGCCAGTAAACTAAACGTGCTTCAAAACAAGGCATGTGCTTATTTCACATAGCAGAATCGAACCACAACTGCGAAATCACGATCATGTGATCTTGTGAAAACCTTTCTTATTCTCGATAGCTAGTTTCGTTCTTATTCCGTATATGTCTGAGGCCATACGCGGCGCCTTCGTCTAGTGACAAATGCTCAAAGAGCATTCTCGATGAAAGCCACGGTAACGGTTTTGATGGCGAGGGTATATGTTTGATACAATGAATCTTTTCTATGAGTGCGATGGACCCGAACACTGTGCCACGATGACAAAGCTCAAGTTCAGGGTAACATGCCAACCCAACATGAGATGGCCAAGTGTTCCCGAAGTTTCCATCAGAGGAGTGCTATCTGTACTTGCATCCTCAATCCATCGGACACCGAATCAGTGTTGGCTATCTCCTCAGGGCCTCCCAGGGCTAGTGAAAATGAGATTCATTTGTCACGGAAGGCGCCGTTTTCCCCGTGCCCCCGGAAATCAGCCCAAGCTCCTTCCAATGCATATGCTGCAAGCCAGAAACAATTCGAGGGTGCCGCTCAAAGCCCCGCTGGAATCTGACGGCAAGAAGTCACGTCAGAAGCGCGGTGCTTCCGTCAAGTGCGCCTCCCTACCCATATGTGGTCCAAAAAGCAATGCAATTCAAATGCTGCGGTCAATAGTGGTGAGTCTGGGAGCAATCGGTGACAAAAAGCTTTGTTCAATCTCTTCCGGGGCTCCGATCACACCATTTCCCTAGAAATGCTTCGTACTCTAGAACAGCCCAAACGCCGGGGAAAATAAGCGCTCTGTGTTTCTTTTGGTCTATCATGCGAGGTCATCGACGTCATAATCATCCCAGCCCAGCTGCTGGTAGATACTCAGTCCCGTGATTTTGCTGGGCTCGTTGGATTTTGTGGGTTCTGCTACCACAGGAGGTGCAGATGTTGGGGCTTTCTTAGCGGGAGTGGCGAACAGAGTAGCTGCATGTCGAGGTGCTGGAGGTGTAGACGTAACAGTATCGTTAATCAAGGCCGTGTCGCTCGGCGGTCTCTGCTTTACAGGCGTTGCGAATAGACGTGGTAGAATGGGGGATGATGGAGCGGCGTCGAGACTCGGTACCTCGAGGTATGTTTTGGGGCCCGGCGCAGCCCTTTTGGACATTAGTGGTGATGAGGGTTGCGCAAAGGGATCGTTGATGTTCGGTCTTGGAGGCGCTGCCGAGTCTGGCACGGCATTTGCCTGCACCTTATTCGCAATAGGCGTGCTTGCTATGTGAAATGCTTCCAGGCCGTCTCTCAGGCCATTTCTAGGTGCTGTAGAAGGGACGATGGAGCTTGAGGGGATCTCTTCCAATTGATGCCTTGGTGGGGCAATATTGAAACTGCCATAACTTCGCTTGTCTGATGTCGACACAGCGTCTTTGAAGCGGTAGTTGGCTGGAGTAGCCTTGACTTGTACTTGAGCCTGTGGACGGTTGCCAGCGCTGAAGCGAGTGGGGTTCTTTGGCTCTATTTCCATGTCAGTGCCTTCGCGACTTGCACGCAGCCTGCAGGAGAACTTACTTCGCGGACGAGGCGAGCTCGATGAACCTATTCGCTTCTCGGCTTCCTCGACAAGAGCTTTACCCGCAAGTTGTCTGTTGGGCTTTTTCAAGGCCATGATGGCATCCTTGAGATCTGCCTCCATCTTGGCTTTCTTTTGAGCCTTCGAGTCCTCGCTAGTGACATTTAAAATGTTCCTGGACAACACATTCCGGGGTCTCTCTTTCAAAGGCTTGTCTCCACTTGGTATCGCACTCAATGGAGCAGGTTCGCTTGCTTCGCGCTTCAGCCCTGGGATGGTAGCGGGTGTCGCAGACCTCATTCTTGCCAACACGTCAGTTGGCCTACGAGATGCCTTTCTCCTCAATTGGTCATGCGAGAAAATCTTGTCCAGTGACTTGGGTGCGCTGGTCGGGACCGGTCGCTTGGCGAGAGAACCGGGGACAGCTGCCGCCTTCGCAGCTGTCGAAACTAGACGCTTTTTGGGTTTCGGTGGAGAGACGACAACCGGGCCTCCCAGTTTGTGGTTCAAAGACTCGCACAATTCAGGAAGTCGGCCAGCGAAGCTGCAACGGTCAGCTTTCCACCGGTCGCCAACAGAGAAGAGTAGACGGCCAGGACTTACAACGGCAGCAAGATGTCTACACAAAAGTCCTTCAGTGGATCGGAATTCGCCCTCACAGGCTTGTGTGTTTCCGATCCGTCCTTAACTTGCGACTCTGCAGCGATCATTTGCATCTCATCTAGCGTAGTGGACTGCCAGATGCACAGTCGATCGGCATGAATATCGACTAGTGTCGAAAAGTTGTGCTTATGTCGCTTCTTTGGAGTAGGTTCGGTCGTCTTCTTGGGTGTGTCTCCGAATGGCAGCCCCGGCAACTGACTGTCTCGTGCGTCTTGAACCGGATGCAGGGCTTCCAGCGCAAGGATTTCTAGGATGAGGATCATTTGCAGTTGCGTTTCCCGAGTCCGGAGGCAAGTTATGTAATACTTAACCTCCTGTGGATTGAGGTCGGCCTCATCGCGATCTCGTACAAGGAATTGATGTGTCCTCCACCATCTCTTCACATGGTCGACCTCTCCTGGATATAGCCCGTCTTTACCTATTTTCATCTTCTTGGGCTTTCTGCGTTTCTTCCGTGGCTCATCCTCGGCACAGCTCTCGGCCAGTAATTTTATGTCTTTGACAAGTTCTGGCAATGTCTCCCGGAACTTCTTGTCGATTTGAATCGTTGACACAGTGAGGCTCTTCAAGAATTCGACAAGGTCGTCCATCTCAAGGTTGGCGTCACAGTCCAGGTGGAAGGCTGCGCGTGCTCGGGATAGCGGGCCTTTTGCAAAGTACGCCAACGAGCCCTGCAACGCAGTAAGTAATAGGCAAAGATCCAAGGTGCTCGAATGACCATACCTTTGAATGATACAGAGCCTCCAGATATTGGGATCTGATGTTCTGGAATATATCTTCGGCAGAAGTCTGCATATCAGCATTTGAGTCTGCTACGGCAGCTTGAAGACTTTTGTACGGTGGTGGCGGCTCGCTCATGCCGCCTTCAGGAGGTGGTGCACGGAAAGGGTCCTCCAGAGGAAGTGTTACAGTAGGCGTCACTGCCCGGGACTGGCTCTGGCTCTGGTCTTGCTGTGATTCGCAGGGTGTCGTAGTTGTAGAGACAGTCCTGGGGCGCTTTCGCACCATGGATTGAATCTGTTCTATCGCGAGCCTCTTCTTTTTGCTCTCATGGTGCAACTGGGGCGTGGTTGATGGAGCTTCCGCCACACCGCCACGTGCCGCCTGGGTTGGACGGCAGCGCTGCTCATAACAGGCTTCGGCAAGGTGGCTAAGTTTCTCGACGGCAACCCAGGAGCCGAGCTTACAAACAACATAGAGGCCGGTCTGGTGGCGTTCGATGGCATAAACATTGCGGGTAGCGTCGGAGCGTGCGATGAGTACGCTTGGTGCCTGGCGCAACCGACCCTCAAGATCCAGTACTCGGATGTGCGACTCGAAGAAACGGCCTGGGCCACTTGGGAACTCTCCATTTGGGGCGGATAAGTCCAGAGCAGACAACGCAAGATGCTCGCGGGGAAGCAGCATGAGTGGCTTCAAAACAGGAGGTTGAACTGAGTCGGAGCCGATGCAGAATTGGGGCTGGTGGCAGGTCAGTATTGGAGAGGGAGAGAGACGGGGCAAGAGTACCGACTTTTATTGTAATATATGGTTTGAGAAGCTCCTCCAGGGCAAAGACAGGAGAAGCGCGCTTCCGCTTTTGTGAGCTGAGGATCAGGGCGTCATCTTGGGACGTGATGCGTGAGGCGGCTGCGGAAGACGAGATGACTGCAGGCTTGGATCGTGAAGGGGGACGTGACGCGTCCGAACCTCTTGTGGACATGTTGGCGACGGTGAGAGGCTGGCCATGGAATTGGATTTGAGAAGGAGGTGAGAAGACTGTGGGGTAGCAGATGGCCGTCACTTGGTGGCAAGCAAGTTCATGCTCATCGCTCGATCGCTCAGTCACTCACTCACTCACTCATGGCAAATGCAACCAGGCAGGGAACGCGTCGGCTGGCCTGACGCGGTATGGCAAGCGGGAAGCTTGGGCCCCTGGCCACCCGTGAAGACCGGGGACGACGAGACAAGCGTGACAAGCTGGGTTAGCTGCCGAGGGTTACATTGGGCGGTACGGCACCAGGGTCAGGGGCCAGAGATGCCCAACTGCCCACTGTCACCCAGCCGATGCACTCTGGCACTGCAATATCTGGTGTACATTTGGAACACAGCATCCTGCATCGCGATACACTGCCTCCTGGCGTCATGCTCGAGATACTGTCGAGACATGGTTGAGACCTCAATAGGTCTCAGCCTCGATTTGGTCACTCGCCCCGCCTGCCCACGAGCACCTACGGAGGAGACCGATTACATCCAGTATTCATCGTTAGTCGGGTGCTCTATTAGGATGCAAACAGAAGAGCAGGCCAGGTGGTTCTGTATTGTGTATTGTGGCTTCAGACGACGCCGCTTGCTTGCTTGAAATGGCATGATATGGCCGGTCTGGCCCCGACAGCCGGGCCCCGTGGTGTCTGTCCCAAGGTCTTCAAGGGCAGGGGCCTCTACCTAGCCTCGAGTCCCCAACAGCAGCGATTGCAGATGCTGCACCGATCGCTCTACTAATATCAGATCCAAGCATCGGCCGCCTGTTGTCGAATGCTTCTTGCCGTCTGCGTCTACGTGCTCTGCGTCAAATTGTGCAACTCGGTCCGATCTAGTCCCATCAACAACCTGCCTCGAATAATCTTCTTGATTGCTACGACTCTCCTCTGCTCACATCTCTGTCCGTGGCTCCGTGACCGTGAGCCGGCGGCCCAGAAAAGGACGGTTGAGATTTGCCTTGCAGCTCCGTCCTGTTGCAGGCAGATAATACGGCACCACCGACCACGACCTTGGGGGCACAAGCCACACACCCACATCGCCCGCCCCGTTCCGCCAGGCCTGCACTGCAGATCAGTTAGCACCACCGGCCCCAGGGCTGCAATCCACCTACCAGCTCGCCACCCTCCCGGCCGCATGCTCGACCCAGTCTCCTCCAGCTCTCGCCACACTCTGTCCGCCGCAGCCTTGCAACACCGGCTTTCAAGCCTCAGTCAGGGATTCGGCATCAGTCAATCCATGCTACGGAGCACCTGCCCGGAACGCACTCCCTCCCACGGTCTAGAACACGAGACTGCGCCCGTGCCAATTCGAACACGATCCCATCTCGTCCCCATGGACACATCTGGGTTCCGTTGAGCATTGTCTCCGTCGGCCGTGTCTGCACCCTGGACAATCTGCTCCAGCTCTGAGGCACTGCCCACGAGGAAGGTCCTGCCCCGGCCCAACCTGCATCTTCTATCCTTGGGCCCCCATCCCAACCACCCGACCCATCACGCCCTGTCATTTGCCGCAAACATGTCGGCAGAGACTTCGCCCAGGGCCGTTCGCTTCTCCGACAGCGACGTCGACAAGGGCTACCGTCCGCTTGCCATCACCAACGACTCCGGCGACTCAGGCTCGTCAGGCGAGCTGCTGCCAGAGCCAAATGGCTTCGTCGATTACGAACTTCAGGATGAACTAGGTACACTCCACCACTACGTCGACCAGGCCGGTCTTGCAGGTTCCATGTCGTCCGTCGCTTCCGATTCACTGGCTAATGGCACGGCTGGTCGCCATCGCTCAGTTGCAGATGGAGGACCAATCCACTCCAACGGGACATCTACGAGACCCCAACGACCTACCGGCCCGGCGAGGCAGCCGTCCAATACCTACAGACCCGTGCGCCGACCGCAGCCCACACCCGTCGGATACCCTGATCCTCGCTCCGCCTCCAGGTCACGGAACCTACCCTCAAACTCGACCTTCGCACGCCAGGAAAGGGCCTATGTTCAACGACTGAATAATGCTAGGAAACAAGACTACCCATTCCCACCCGAGTTCGATCCCATAAGTTTTGGCACTCAAGGCGACCCGGACAGCGATTCCGAAGGCGAGACACCTGGGTCAGAAGCCCCATATAGCACCGAGCAGGACGACGACGCGAGGAGGCTCTTTGAGGGGGACGACGATGAGGATCTGGAACCGACCGAAGAAGACATCAGGGATCCCGACAACAGGGAGAGGCTGGAGTGGCATGGAATGCTCGCGGCTGTCCTCACCGGCGACGTAGTTCGGCAGGAGAAGAAGCGTCTTATCGGCTCGTCTGAGCAGGAGGTCGGGAAGACCGCGCAAAAGGCCGAGCTATGGCTTGGCATACGAGCACGCATATGCGGTCGGCATCTCCCCGTACAACGCAGGATGGTGGAAGACGCTCGAGGCACCATGGATCGGACAATTGAGGAAATCATCAACTTTCGGATAGCCGGGGAAAGCGAGGCTGGCAAGCCCCCGGCAGATCAGGTTCGCGATATGGTCGAGAAGATCGAGAGGCTGGAAGGCCTGTATCCGTCGCGGGAAGCAATGCTGGCGGCACACACCTCGGCAAGATCCGCCCTCTTCACAGAAGCATGTGACGCCATCACATCTTGGTACAATGTCAACGAGCTCATCAACACAGAGCTCACTGTCCTGAGAAGATGGGTGGGTAACGACGAGCTTGATTTTCTGCGGACAAGGGAACGGTCACCGATTGGCAACGCAATTGGTGACGAGTCCTCTTTCCTCGATAAGCTGTTGAAGGAAGACGGCCTGAAGTCACTACACGACCACATTGAGGAGGATGTCGGTGGGATGAAAAGCAAGCGGAACAGCATGCTGAGAGGAATCTCCAGCGTAATCCTCAAGGCGAAGGAAACCCTCATCCACAACGCAGAGGCATTCAGAAAACGGCACTTGCCGCCGTACATTGAAGATCTCCTCACCTTGATCAGCTTCCCCTCGCGCCTGATTGAGGAAATCATCAAGGTCCGCCTTGCCTATGCGAAGAAGATGAAGGAATCGGCACAGCAAAACCCAATGTTGCAAGACCAGATGATTTCTCAGTTCCAGGTCCTTTTAAACCTGGCCATCGGCATCAAACTTGAGTACCTGGGCATATCTCAACCTGAGCCCGGCTGGGAGCTACCTCCTTGCATTGACGAGGCTTTTGACCAGGCCGTTCTAGATGCCCTGAAATATTACTTCAAGATGCTGAATTGGAAACTCAGCGGCAACAAGAACACGTTCAAGGAGGCCGAACTTCTGTTCCAGGAGTGGGAATTCATCAACGAAATCGGCAGTCACTTAGACCACGGAGACGTGGAGGTTGCTGAGCAGTTCAGCAATCTGACATTCAAAGCAATCAGACGCCTAAGCGACACCTTCGAAAGGGAGTTACAACGGAAACCCAAGGAAAGCCCCGCCGAGATGAGCAAAAGATACAAACAGATCCTGGACTCGGTCCGAGTGCGTCAAAGAATGCTACAGCGTTTCTCCAGAATGCTAAGCGGCAACTATGAAAATGCTGCGGACTTCAGCATTGCCTTCGGGCCGGATCGACTTCACACTCTATTTGCAAGGTTGATAGAGTCTGGGCACTTCCAAATTTATACTGCAAGTATCGAACACGAGGGCGTTATCCTAGTCGCCTCTCCATCTCTACACGGTCGCCCCGAGGAAATTCAGTCTATCATTGGCACAGCATCGTATGAGCATGTTTCTGAAGACCCAACAGACCCATACATCCTAATGATCCGGGCCGAGAACGCACCCCACTGGTACGGACCGAAGGTATCCATGACGGTACGGGAGGAGCCTCTGGATCTGAAAGTTGGGCATTTGCGGTTGATCGCCGGTGGGTCTCAGAACCGACTCACGAACGCGAGGAAGGCATTCTTGGAGCTCATTGACATGCACCTGGACCTCGTCGTGGAGCAGCGCTCGAACCTGAAGAGGGTGAACCAAAAGCTGGGAGATATCAAGAAGGTGGCATACAAGCTCTCCAACACCTTCATGGACAGTGTCGAGACTATCCGCTCACAGACAAAGGGGATGGAGGTGCAGGACCTCATCCAAACCTGTTTCATCTTCGCAACAGAATTCGGTCAGCGGTCTCTACTTTTCATGGACAGCAACCGGCGACAGATGAACAACATCAAACTGACCAAACTTGCGCTGGACTGGGTCAGCTTCATCTGCGATGACTGTGTGTCTTCTGACCGGAAGACCTTCCGCTGGGCCGTCCTGGCTCTCGAATTCAGCATGGGCATGACCCGCGGGAGGCACATTTTGGCGCTGGGTGACGAGGAATATGCGAGACTGCGAGAGAAGGTTGCTGGTTGCATGTCTCTGCTCATCTCACATTTTGACATCATGGGCGCGAGGTCAAGCGTTGCAGCCCAGGCCGAGAAACAGCGGCTCGAAGCCCTTGTCGGCCAATTCAGGAGGCTGGACCAGGGCAAGAATCTCGATGATCATACTGCCTCGAAATTTGTTCTCGACCACCGTCTTCAAGAGCTTTCCAAGATTGACGAGGGGAGGAAACAAATCTTGGCAGAGAGATCCGCCCTGGGTCGTGTGCTTGAGGCCTCGAACGAGGTGGACCGGTCACTTGCGTACCTATCATCGACTGCTACCAACTTCACTATGAGGTGGCAGCAAGGGCATTTTGTCGGCGGAGGAACATTCGGCAACGTCTATGCGGCGATGAATTTGGACACCGGACATTTGATGGCTGTCAAAGAGATTAGGTTGCAGGACCCCAAGTTGATACCAACCATTGCTACGCAAATCAAGGACGAGATGCGTGTGCTGGAGTCTGTTGACCACCCTAATGTCGTGTCATATTACGGCATCGAGGTTCACAGAGACAGAGTTTATATCTTCATGGAGTTCTGTTCTGGAGGCTCACTTGCCAACTTGCTCGAGCATGGTCGCATCGAGGATGAGCAAGTTATCATGGTTTATGCGCTACAGCTTCTCGAAGGCCTCGCTTACCTTCATGAGATCAAGATCGCGCATCGTGACATTAAACCCGAGAGTAAGTCAACATTCTCGCCCTTGCACATGCTCATTCAAATCTAATTAATCCTGCAGACGTGCTCCTCGACCATAACGGCATCATCAAATATGTCGACTTTGGTGCCGCGAAAGTCATTGCCCGCCAGGGGCGTACACTGATGCAAGATATGTCAGCCACAAAGCCCAACAAGTCCATGACTGGCACTCCGATGTACATGTCCCCAGAGGTCATCAAAGGCGAAAACCCCGGTCACTTCGGAGCGGTCGATATATGGTCTCTCGGTTGCGTCATTCTCGAAATGGCCACAGGACGACGACCATGGGCGAACCTGGACAATGAGTGGGCAATCATGTACAACATCGCTCAGGGCAACCCGCCACAGCTCCCGACGCCGGACCAGCTCAGCCCGGAAGGTATTGACTTCCTCAAGCGCTGCTTCTACCGCGACTCCAAGAAGCGAGCTACTGCCGTGGAATTGTTGCAGCATGACTGGATCATGACGATCCGGAACCAGGTTGTTGAGCCTTCAACACCCAGCGATTCGAGCGCCTCGGCTCAAACCACACCGAATACGACATCGGTTTCTGGCGGAAAGACAAACGTTGGCGCGGATGGCTTCTATTGATCTAGACGCCTTGCTTGGTCCTGCCCGCTATGACTATCCCTGTATCATCAATCCACACCTGCATTCTTTTCATGTTGTTATTGGCTGTACATACACCGTCTGACTCCACAGACTGCTACACCTGCCTCGTTGGGCAGGTCTAGCACATGTGAGGTTTGCGATTCCGATTCGACTTGCACATGGGCAGCAGCATTGAGCAGCGAGTTTTTGAAGTCTCACCTGAGCACATCCTTGAATTTTTCTGTTGCATGTCAGCGCTTTCTGTGTTCTTACCATCAGAGCTTCGCTTTCTTGTACTATTTGGTGGGGTTTTGGGGATACGTGAGAGTCTATGCAATTCCGTGTGGTCTTTTTTCATTTTTCATTTTTTCCAACACTGACGGCCATCACGACGAAACGAATGACCATCACATCAGGCAACAATAGGGAGGCTGTGACAAATACGGGGCGGCATAGAGTTCTTTGGCTTTTCATATGAGGAGTATATTGGCAACCGCATTCAGACATAAACAAGGGAGAAGCGGGGCGAATGGTGGATGGGAATCGAGAGGCACGGCATGGCGGAAACGTCACACCAACATTGGGTCTTCTCCTGGGAAATGAATAAATCATAATATTTAACTAAATACATGCTTTCCTCGCTCTCAAAATCAACTTCCAAGAAATCCTTATATTTATGATAATGAGACCCTACTGACCAAGATACATGCAGCACCAAATCTAGGTACAGGCCAGCGAGGAAAATAAGCCTGACTGGCCTTTGGTGCTTGGTCTGACATATGCACTGTTGGAGACTTGTTAGCAGTTCTACGTTAGCAGTCTCATTCTTCATCCATATAAATCCCGAGGTATATGCGATCCCTTCATACAGTGGTGATCGCTCAAAGACCCAGCCATGTAAACAAACAAATCCTAGAGCGTTGTTGAAGTACTAGTGTCCACGGGTTGTCTCTGAGCCATCTTTTTTAATCAAGTTGAATTCCCCGTTCTCATGCGAGCCCCAAATCTACGTAGGTACCGATCCATCAAACCACATAAATAGTACTTGTCCAGACAAGGATGTTAGTCTAGTTCCTATATTTACTAGAAAAGATGAGGGGCCGGCCCACTACAGAGAGAACTTATAGCATTGTTATCTTCGCACACAGGACTTCAGGAATGCCTAAGTCGTAGTTATCCCTCACGAATAATAAAGAACTTTCGTTTGTTAGATCTATATCTCAAATCAAACCCCATTCCAGTACTTAGAGATAATTAGGCCAGTCGAATCGTCTTTAAAGACGTCAACACGGCTTCACTTTTCCACAGGTGCAAATAATGCAGTGGCTCTTGGCCCGGGCGAACACCTCTTGTTTTCTAGCTAGCGTGAACAGAGGCCCCTCGGTAGGTAGAGATAGCGCATCTTGAGTTTGCTGGGATGGGATAGTTGAATCTAGGGGGCAGAACAGCGGAACACGTGCAAATATAAGTCGTCACTCGGAGCGTAAACACAAGTCGACAATAGCTGGCGGAAAACACACCCACCCAAGCGGACAAGCGGTTGCTGCGTAAGTGTGTGTGAGCCTCTGACCTTTTCCCTTCTCGTTCAGAACGCTTCATCATAAGTACGAGTTTGATGCGCGTCCGACAACCATACCCTAGGGTAGGAAGAAGGCCAATGGTGGTCGCTTTCCATGGTCGGATTGCGAAACGAGGTGATGTTATCCAGAGGTCCCCACAGACCCTTCAATGTCACCTACATTGGTCCGAGGCCCGTGAAATGACACTGGAGGCCGGTGGGGTCACCGTCTAGGTTACGGCCACAGTGATCGACTCGGTCGACTGAAAAGTCCGCGGCTACGAGGTCTTCATCAAGGACGACCCCCGCGCTTATATCCGTATATACAACATACATAAGTACCTAATAAGAAGCTGATATACAACAAGATCCACCGGGACAAGCGGGGCTTAATTACCAAACGCCGCCAGCGAGTTCTCAATCATCCAGTTGATTCCCTCGGCCCGGTACGAGTCCCAGATCACGGAGCTCCCGTTGGTGTCGAGGAAGACGTCCTTCCCGACGCCGCCGCCCTCGGTCGCGTTGTAGACAGGCCAGGCGTCGAGGCCGTCGATGTCGAGCCCGGCGCCGTTGGGATCGAGGCCGGTGATGAAGTTGACCCATGCGTTCGAGATGCCCTTGGCGAGCGCCACGTAGACAGGACCTTCCTCTGCGATGGGGACGGTCGTGGCGTCGTAGCCGAGTGCGTTGACGTTGTCGAAGACGAACATGACCTCGGCAAAGTGGGTGGCTCCGGTGTAGTCTGGTCCTTGTTAGCTGGGGTTCCAACTGTTTGTCGACGATGGGGGAAAGTGCTTACTGGGTACGCCTTCACTGACGACGTTGAACTCGTAGCTGTAAGAGGGCAGGCCCGCGTTGGACCACGCAATGCTCGCGCGGCGTCGGAGGTAGTGGAACATGCTATCCCACAAGATCAGCAACCCCTGGCAATACGACTGCCAGCTTGTGTGGCGTGGGAAAGCGGTTCGAGACTCACAAGTCACCAAAGAAAGCGCCCGTCCTCCGGAACTGAAGCCCCAGTTCCGTGGCGATCGAGTCACCCGGCTCGATGAGGGGGAACTTGTCGAGCGAGGGCACTCCGACGGCCTGGATGTCGGGATACAGCGCCAGTACCTCGTCTACCAGCTGGTCCAGGGTCTTTCCCGTCTGGGTTGGGGCGTCGGGGCCCATGACGGCCTCAACAGCGGCCCGCATCTCATCATCTGTGTTGACCCCCCCTCCGTTGGGGCCCTTACCTTGGCCGAATCCGGATCCTTCGTCGGTGTTGGTGCCTATGAGGATCGGGATCTGGGGGAAGCGGCCATCCCTGAGCTGGTTGACGGGGAAATCGGCGACTGCGCGGCCTGGTCAGTCTGCCATGTCCAGGTTCGTAGACAGACATCCAACAAGAGACGGACGTTGCACTTACTGAAATCACCATCGAGCATGGGAGGCCACGGCGCAGCCTCAGTCCCGTTCAGCGCGGCGTTGATGTCGTCAAATGGCAGCGACCGCAGACAGTCGAGGGAAGCCGAGGTGTTGGCTGTCGACGCGCACGAGGTATTCGATACCAGCAGGCCGTAGAGCTGGTCCATGGCCTCGGTGTTGTTGGCGCCGCCCGGGAACCTGGACAGGACACCGCCGAAGCCAGACTGCCCGATGGCAGCCCGGAAGAGCCCGTCGTCCCGGCCATTGTAGGCAAAAACCTGGGCGCTCACCGACTCGGCACCCGAGCTCTCGCCCCAGATGGTCACCTTGGTCTTGTCGCCGCCGAAGCTGCCGATGTTCTCGTTGATCCACTGCAGCGCGAGCCGCTGGTCGCGGAAGCCGTTGTTGGCGATGCCGGCCTCGAGGACCTCGCTGCCCGCCAGGAAACCAAAGGCCGAGACTCGGTAGTTGATGCTCACGCCGATCATGGGGGTGCCCAGGTCCACCGAGTTCTGGACTATAAAGGAAAGGTTGTACCGCCTGTCTTGACTCCCACCCCTGAGTATGTCTTGTCAGCGTGCTGTGGTACTTTCATATTGCAAGGACCACGAGGACCACTCACATGTACAGACCACCGCCGTGTATCCAAACGGCGACGGGGAGCTCGGCCGTCTCGTCGATGCCGGCCGGGCGGATGACATTCAAGAACAAGCAATCCTCAGACATGGAGTAGCCAATGTTATCACCGCCATATCCAACACAGGACGGCGGGTAGGTCGTTGCGGTTTCGGTTCCATTCCATGCCGAGTCCAGGGGCTGGGCGAGGGAGAAACGCTCTGCTGGCTATTGAAACACGCATACAGGGCTTGTCAGTGAAACAACAACAACAACAACATCAACAACATATATCAGCCATACCTGAGAATAACGCATGCCCAGGAAGAAATCCTGGTCATATTCGGAGCTGTAGAGACCCTCGTACGTCCCATTCTTGACAGTGACGACGGGGGCTGACCTGGTGCGCAGGGGGGAGGCTACGCCGGCGTGGACCGAGGCGAAGGCGCACAGCGAGCCGGCCAGGAGGGCTTTCACAAGAGACGCCATCTCGACGACGGTTGAGGACTTGGTGGCCTGCACCTAGTAGCCTCGGTGCTGGGCCGGGGGCTCTTTTTAATATCCGTATACCATGACGGAGGGAGGCATCGAGGCATCGAGGCGACTGGCCCCGGCTTTTCCGCCGAGGCCAAGATGTCATTGTCATAGGGGAGCAAGGGAGGAGCACCATCTCCCCTTGCAAGTGCCGCGAGATCTGCCGGGGGTGCTGTCTCTTTGAATGACGCCTGTCCAGCTGTCATGGCTGGTGGCCTGCTGCTGCTGCACCAGCCGAGGGCAGTCGGCCCGTCTAGCAGTGGCCGCCCAGCCCGCCCCGTTCTTCGGTCCACATGGGCGCGGCGCTACTACTACCTGGTATGTACTCCGCACCTGGGGTGCATTTTCCCCAGACTTCCCCTCCCCCGCCCGGTTGTTGGGGGAAAGAGGAGACGAGGCAGGCAAACGCGGGGATCCCGAGCCTCGCAATCGCACCGCATCACGACACCGGGCAGTCGGTAGGAGGCTAGGAGCTCGGGGTGACCCTTGCGGGCGGTTGACTGCGAGGTTTTCCTGTCTGTCGGCAATGGGCAGATTGGACAGGCTCGACAGGCTCGACAGGCTCGACAGGCTCGACAGGCTCGACAGGCTCGACAGGCCTGCGGGGAGGGGCGGTCGAGTCATTCATTTGCTTCTGTGCCTGGCCTGGCGCAGGAACACAAACCAAGCGTCACACCGCCGAGGCCATGAGGCCACACAGGCTGACAGGCACCGAGGCACCCTGCCACTCTGCCACTCAGGCACCCTGCCACCACAGTCGTGTGATGCGCTCAGAGATTTCTCATTGCCCACGCAGCTGCTACGCTGCCAGGAACATGGCCCGGCCGCATGTGGGGAAGACGACGGTGGGATGAACCACTAAGCATCTCACTGCAGGGAACACCCGCCCTGGCTCCGGCGTCGCATGGCAATGCAGTCGGCAGATCCGCGGCTAAATTTGAAATGTTTGTAGGAACCCCATAATTCGGCCATACCACGACCTCTATACTACCTACCTACACAGGCACAATTTTTGATCGCCAGACTGCCAAGCGCGACACCGCCGAAGAGAACCACACGAGGCTGCGAGGCTGCAGTGATCGACTTCAGCACTATAAAACGATCGGCTCGGAACCAAAGTCTGCCTCTGCGGTATGCAGTTGGGTGAGACTGAACGGAACGGCACGGCACGTGCCTCATTTATCCGGCCCACGGAATGCGGCTCATAGTCTAATTGATTAACCAGCCAGCCGGGTACAGCATCCAGAGGTCTGTTGCTGGCCTTGTTCACATCACAAGAAGCCTCGTGTCTATTCGTTGGGCTACCTCTGCTATCAACTATCCCATCCCCGGGCCGTCACGGATCCCTTGTCGCCTCCGAGCCCCTCACAACGCCTCTTGTTCATACCAAGCCGCCTCATTTCTCCCTGCCAACGCGTCATTCCACCCTGGAACCCCGTGTTCCTCGTGACCCACTCGCCAGGCGTACCCCGTGGTTCACATTATCTCAGCAATATTAGATTAAGGGAGTGTGTGTTATTAAGACAATTTTTTCAGGGTATCGTCCAGGACGCTGTGGCTGTCTGCTTCCATCCAATGCCAGATAAAAAGAAAGTGTGATGTTGATACAAGATGATAGATGTATAATGAAAGAGGCTATTCCAGTCCACAGGGGGCATCCCAATTAATGCCAGGCCGTTCATTAGATCATTATAATAATACACTATTTCCAGAGTCGGCCCTGATATGCTGCTCTCAACCTTGCCCGGGGGACTGGAAGTTTTGTGGGGTGATGTTGGGTTGGAATTGGAAGTTGTGAGAATGGGGCTCGCTGAGCTGCGCGATCGACCCCTTCCACATCGGGATCTGGTCCGGCGACCTCGACCATGGGTAGACTTCTCCCCGTGGCGGCGAGTCGAACTTGAAAGCAGGGAATGCCTGCGATTGTATGGCAGCGGGAGTGGCTGGTTCGCTCTCGACGTATCTCGGCGCGCACAGCGAGGTGGGGAACTCGATCTCCGACCCAAATTGAGACAGGCTGGGAGTTGCCAGCGCCTCGTCCGACGAGGAGGTATTCCCGTAGCCAGTGTCCAGCGCGAAGGTGGGGTGGTGGAAGGACTGGAAGCCCTGTTTTTGGACTCCAGTGAAGGCACCGTCGCGCATGAAATCCGGCGTGCTTGGAGACGCTGCTGCGGTTTCCCTGAGGCTACTCATCGAGACAGAAGTTCTCTGGAAACTGAACCGAGGAGCATCTGCTGATAGGTACTGCGTCTCGAAGGTCGAGCCGACGGGAGATCCCTCGGGGACGTCTTTGAATGTGTTGGATGCGACAGCTAGCGATGAGTTTCTGGCAAACTGCTCGAGGAAGTTCGGGTCGAAAGATCGAGGTGACAGCGGTGAGACAGGAGGGGCGGATTTGAAGATCTTGCCAGAGAGCGGGCCGTTGGCTGACGCAGCCCGTCTCATCGATCCGTACATGTCAGATCGCTTAGAGCCCTCGATCCCCGTCTTTGGCCCATTAGGATAGTTACGCAGGGCCGTCTGGTTCAGCCTTTGTGGTGGCCGGGTCTTCCTTCGCGAAGCAATGCTCGGATGCGTGAAAGCAGTATCAGCAGTCGAGTCCGATTGCTCAACAGATGGCGAGGCTCCAGAGTTCATATCTGGGGACAGTGTCTCGATACTGGAGAAGTCTGATTCTCCTATACCTGATTGGTCTCCGGCGTGGTCGTGGCTCGTCATGCCAGTACTGAAGGTTGCGGTGCTCGGCGTCAAGATCGATGCTGATGATGTAAAGGAGTCTGATCGTTCAACGTCCGAGGAGAAGATCGGGAGGCCGTGCATTTCGGTGGTGGAAAAGTCCGGGGCGAACTGGCCATTAAGCGACTGGAAAGACATCTGATCCTGCGCATCCGTGTATGCGTCCGGCGAAGACGAGAAGTCACCGTTTGAGTCCTCAAAAGTCGCCGCGATCATGGGGACGTTGGTGCCAGAAAAGGTGTCTATCTGATTCGGCGGCAATTGCTGAGGCTGTGAGATGACGGCGTGGCTGTCCGTGACTGAAGCTCTATTGTGACCATCCGCCGGTGACGCGCTGTAAACGGCGGCTGGGCTCGCAGCGGATGAGTCGGTGGTGCAATCCTCACTCTCTTGGCCCCTTGTAGAGGTGGGAGACGGGAGATGCTGCTCCGGCAGGTCAGCTGCGCCAGAGAACGGGGCCGAAGAGGGCTGCATAGGCTGGCTCCGGTTGCTCAGGCTGTAAAATTCACTGCTGGTAGCTTGTTCGTTGTCATCCTCTTGAGCATCCACGACGTCAGTCTCCGACGCTGCTGAATCAGCGGCCTGGCTGGCCTCGTATGCCTGCACCCTATGCACCTGCTTCTCTCTGGCCCTCCGATTTTGAAACCAGTTCTGGTCGGTTGTTAGTGTAGGAGGCGAGAAGATGATGTATTGCTACGTACATTGACTTTCGGGACAGGGCAGCCTAGTTCCTCGGCCAGTTGGCGCTTTCGACTGGTGCTCGGCTTCTGTGTCTCATCTGTGAAGACTTTCTCGAGTTTCTGCTTTTCCTCCTCGGAAAAGCGCTTGCTACATGCGATAGTGGCATGGTAGAGTTGAGGACCTTGAGTCTGCTGCAGTGCCTGATGAAACATTTTCATGGAGGGCTGATAGAATCGTTGTCCGTTGGATTGTAGCATCATGGGGAACCCATGGTTGTTCTGGGCTTGCTGCAACATCGACATGGCCTCCAGATTGGTGTGCTGGGCCTGGGCTTGTGGCCACGACGTCACGGGGTTCTGATAACGCTGCATGGCAGCCACCGATTCCATGCAGTGCTGTTGCCGAGGGTCCATCATCGACGAGGCGCGTCGGTGGTAGTCATGACTCGCTTGTTCCTGGAACATTTGCTGGAAGTTGTTGTCCCCCATCCTGGTGCGCTGGCTGGACGATTGTTGATGACCGAGCAGTGCTTGTCGCGAAAGAGCGGACGTTGCCGAGTATTATTTGAAAACCAGATGCTATCTCGAGATTCCTGTGATTACAAGAGTGCGCAAGGAACGAGAGAACGAGCAACAATCAAGCGGGTAAGAAGGAATGGCAGCTGGCGAATTATTCGAGCCCGTGGGAGATGTCTTGGCCCGCTGATATGTTCGACCTCACAAACACCAAGCAAAGTACCAATGTTCGCAAAAAGAGTGTGATTCAACTGTCGCTGGCGGCCTAGCACGGCATTGAGAGGTATCTCCGGGGTCGGTGTGGCAGGAGAGGAGGAGGAGGAGGAGGAGGAGGAGCAGGAGCAGAGGGAGAAGGAGGTCTGTCGTTGTCGGGTAAAAAGAAATCGAGGGGAGAGATGGAGGCAGCGCAAGATAACAAGAAGCACAAGGTGTGAGGGTCGAGGATCGAGGACGACGGGTAAGACAAGGCCAGCCGAAGTCGTCCAAGCGGGATGACAAGACAGGGACGTGAAGGAGGCAGGAGGAGGGTGCGGGAGAGAAGTACTTTACTACGGAGATGCTGTGTGCCGGGCCATGATTGTGATTGGGTGTGGCGTTGGGTCTCAAGCTGGGGTCCCTGAGGCTGTGGAAGCGGGCAATCTCAGTGGGTTCGGTCTGGGGTCCAGTCGGCCGGACAGGGGTAAGACAGCCGGTGCAAGGAGGAGAAGGAGGAGGGGGGCCACTGGGCGGTGGACCCCCCAAGTCTCGGAGCGAGGATGCTCGTCCCCATCCAAGTCGCCCCAGTCATCTTGACCTGTGCAGTACTGTGCAATACATAACTTGTACTTGGCGGCTCGGTGTTGCACTGCGCATGCAACCCACTGCGCTGTCCTCGCATACCTGGACTGGGGAATAGAGTTGGACCTAAACCTCGGAGCGCACACACAGTATGTACAGTAATCGGCTGCGGCTGCGGCTGCGGCTGGGGTCAGGGCACCAGGGCCATGTGATGGACTTCAGGACGCTTTCATCTTGGAGCAGACGCAGACAGACACAGCAGAGACTGGCGCACTCCGCCCCCAAGCCCAGAGAGAGAAGATGACGACGGAGCACGAGGCGAGTTGCAACTTTGATTAAAGGGCGTCGAGGGATGGAGCTGGGCGGAGGGTTCAAAGCGCAGTGAGGGCGCAGGCAAGGGTGGAGGAGGCCGTAGTAGGGCGGCAGGGCGGGTTGTGGTCGAGGTCCAAGTCCCAAGCCTACCGCGTAGGCCCAGCCTGCCTGCCAGCCAGGTCAAAAAGGCGCTGGCGCTGGCGCTGGCGTCGGCGTCGGCGTGCTGCAGCATGGCGGGCTGTGGGTGTCTGGCTGCAGCGGCGGGAGGGAGCTGAAGGCACAAGAGTAAAGCTGGTGGCCGGTGGGCTGCTACGGTGGACGGGCCTGACGGGGTGGTATGGGTGCGTGGGCGTGTGGGTGTGTGGGTGTCCTGGCTTGCCTGGGTGTGAGCGAGAGGGTGGGTGGTGTGCAGCTAGTCCGCACCCGCCATCTCGTTCACATCATCATCCCCGTGCCCCCGGCCGAGATGAGATAGATGATGGTCGGCAGGGAGCGTTCTCTGGGCTGGTGCTTGACCAACGGCACGGGGCTTTCCAGTGGACCAGTGGTGCCCAGGTGGGGAGCGAGCAGAGCTGCAGCCAGCAGGTACTCGTGGAGCGTACCGCCGCGGTACGGCTGGGGTACTGCAGGACTCGGGGCGACTTGTCAGGGGCACGGGCAATCCCATGCCATGGTATCCCAACTTGTGCTTGCCCTGGACCGCTCGTTCCTGGATCTTGACTAGTGGGCACGCCAAGATGGTGGGCCCCAGTTCTCGGGATCTCGTTGTGTGACGAGCTGAGTTGGCTGCTGGCCGCTGGCCGCTGGCCGCCGCTGGCTGCACCTGGCTGCCGCCGCTGGCTGCTGGCTGCTGGCTGCTGGCTGCTGGCTGCTGGCTGCTGGCTGCTGGCTGCTGGCTGCTGGCTGCTGGCGTGGCGTGGCGTGGCATGGCGCGGCACGGCATGATGGGCATGACCAAGATGGAGCTGGGTGGTGAGCCTGCACCGGTAGACCGTGGGCCTTCACGAGGGAGACGCACATGAGCCACTGTGTAATCTGACTTTCTGCCCGTCGTCATCTTCCCAAGGAGCTCGCCAGGAGGGCCTGGATCTGGAACAGGAGGGCTGGGGACAGCCCAGCGAGACTGCGCGGAAGTAGCCCGTAAGTTAAGCGAGAGCCGCCAGGCCCTGCCACGGTGCAAGCGTCCGATCGAGCCAGGAACCCACTCGGCACGTCCCAGAGGCTTGGGGTGGTGTTGTTTTTTCTTCTTCTTTTTTTCTCTCTCTTCCTTTGCTTCCTCTCAACTCAGAATCTCACCCTGTTCCTTTTTCTGACGTTGGCCCACGGCATCCGTACCAGCCGGCCAGCCGGGATGGTGTGTTGTGCGGAGAGACACGAGTGGCCAGGTGGCAGCGGGTGGTCGAGTTGGGATGAGATGAGTGGATGGGATGGGATGGGATGGGATGGGACGGGATTGGAGAGCTGATCAAGCATTCCTGCTGCCGTCGGGGGCGTTGCATGGCGTCCGTCCAAGGCGTCCGTCGAGCGAGGGCGTGGGCGGCACCGAGCAAGCAGACGCCTTGGTCAACGGCAGTGTCAGTGGCATCAATGGCAGGTCAGTCCATGTCGATGCATAGATTAGTTGTACGGAGTATGTGTAGTCACTGTGGTGGGCAAGTGGGGTCGCTGCTCGTAGTGCTCGAGGATGTTTTTTTTGTTGGCGGCGAGGTCGGGAGTTGGAAGAATACGACTGTGCACAGACAAGAGTACCCAAAGCAGACGAGTCGCCAGGGGCAGCTCTACCAATGTGGTAGGCGTCTCCTTGTGCCTGAGCCCCGGGGTCCCAAGATGGCAATTGAAATGGGCGGGCCCGCCTGTACCTCTGGTCCAGGACCTAGGCGGCCCACCTGAACCTCACCAAACCCACCCGCGGGCCCATTGCTTCTTGCAGACTGGCCAGCCTGACCTGACTGACTGACTGTCTGATTGTTGATTGTCTGATTGTCTGACCGACTTCCCCTCCCGTCATCCTCCGCCATGGCCCATGCTGCCAGCCAGCCTGCCAGCCTGCCCGGAGCTCCTTCATCTCATCCAACTTTCATCTGCCCTCGCAGTCTCAGAATGTTCTAAACCAAGATAACGCAAAACCGGGCGCTATCCACCCACCCCTTCCTCCCATGCCCTCCTTTTGCCTGCCTCCTGTCAAATGTCAAGTCTTGTCGTCTTCGATGCCACCATCTCGGCAGCTCGCGACCCGCCCCTCACCCGCCCCTCGCCCCCTCACCCCCTCACCCCCCAAAAGCCAAAAAAGAAAAGGAAAAAAAAAGACACGGCGCCTGCAGGAGCAGTCTAGGTCCAGCCGCTCGCCTACCAAGAAGAACGGCACCGGGAGAAAGCTGACTGTTCCTGTTGCACGGTGCAACATGTCATGTGTGCGCCAGCAGGCTCTGTCGCCTTCTTCCCTCGTTGCCTGCAGTGCTCAGAGGCAGAGAGGTAGCCCGCCCATGCGTGGTCGCACACCACCTTGGATGGCACTTGCCCACATTCATCATCATGACCAACCACAGCGGCTGAAGACGGCAGGAACCCCAGGGGCGGCCTGTCTGCCCTATCACCTCGTCCCGGTGCACTTCTTTACGGCACTGTGTACATGCATGCAGTATGTAGTCCATTGCCAACACCACAGTGACCACACTCGCCCACTCGCACACTCGCACACACGCACCCACGCACCCACGCATACGCACCCACGCAACCACACGCACATGCACGCACGGCGCATCCTGCATCCTGCATCCTGCACGCTTGCACCAGCTTCCTGACGAACGCATCCAGCCTTGGGCAGGACCGTTGCCACTCCTGAACGCCCAATGGCTCGTGGCAGGGTTCCATGGCCCCCCTCGCTGTCCTCGACCGACCACACCCTCGCCCGTGCTATGTGTCATTGTCCCTTGCGGATATGTGCACAGCCAGACATCTCAATCCTGCTGACAGGCTGGCTGGCTGGGCTGCCTGGTGGGGCTCTCGAGTCTCGAGTCTCGAGTCTCGACCACATCAACCGCTGCACTGGACGACCAGACGACTCGGAGCCTGTGGGGGACTCGGAGTGGTGCGCTGGCCTGTGCAGTCCCTGCCGCAGGGTTGTACCGCTTCTGCATGAAAGACTGATCTATTTATGGGTCAACTCTAATTTCAATCTGCAAGTACTGGGGGCCGTGAGACGGCCAGTGCCTACCCACCGCGACCGCAGCGCTGCTTTGTGGGGGCTCGCAGCTTACATAGGTATGTGGTTTGCAGCGTTTACCTCAGCAAGCCTCTGGCCAAAACATCCTCCCGCCCTGCCGCGCTGCCGTTCCCTAACACATTTCGCGTTAATGGGCAAGAATCACGCTGTCAAGGGCTCCACTGGCAGTCTCTGTCTATCTTCCGGCCGTCTGTACTCCTGGTCTGGACAAGCAAGAGGCCTTCGTTGCAGAAACCAAGATGTACAGCTCTCAAGTTCTCAGCCTCACTCAGGCCGACAGCGCCGCGCCAAATGTGCACTGCCTGCAAAATCACCCAAGACCGGAAGGCTTGCAAAGCGCCTTGTCAAGTTGTAGATACCGTGTGACAGCTGCCTTGATCCACCTCCCTCCGGTGCACCCGCTACTCATTGTCACCGCACCACTGTGCCAATGTGCCCAATCCCGGGGAGAGGCCGGCATTGAAGACTAGCTCCCGGGCAAGGCCTCGTAAGGCTCTGCTGCGCGGTGTCCAAAAGCTCCATGGGCCGACGTCCACACCGACTCTCAAGTCCCAGTGGCAGGATAACCCTCATGCTGTTCAGTGCCGACCGTCCGTGTCTGTCGGGTAATTCGGCGTTATCTACACTATCCTACCGCATCAAAGCGGCAAACCAACTCGAGTCTGTGAGCAAGGGTGTGGGGATCTTGGGCCAGCATGCTGTGCCTGATTGCATGCAGGCCGACTTACAATGCGACTCTGCACCGCGGCTTGTTTCTACAGCCCTTGGCTTTTTTTTCGCATCTGGGTCTCTTCAGCATGGTCCACGATAACAGCAGCACATGCTGTACATTGAACTGTCGTTTTATTCGGAACCAGAGGCCTAGCAACGGCAACCACATTATTCAAAACTGTTGACAACGATCGAGAGGAATTGGCGTCCAACTCGAGCCTTTTGTACCAAGCGCAAGCTGGCAGGCTGGCTCGACCGTCAAGACTTTCCTGCAAGCAGCAAGCTGTGTTACCATAGATTTTCCACCAACCGATTCAAAACCTGCAGGACAGTTTATGCGGGCTTCTGCATGTTGTGACACAGTGACAATCTGGTTGGGCATCTGTGGACAACTGAGGGCGACCTTCTTGTGGTCTGTCGGGTCAACTGTCTCGACCATCGAGCGTTATCCCGTCCCTTGCCGTAATGCGGTCTGCAAGCAAGGCGTGAGGCACGGTGCATTCATTTTAAGAATCTCACGACAATCTCAAGAGTACTTACTCAATTGTTTGGGATGCCTAGGGTTTTCTCGCGGTTGCATCGGCGCGCACGCTGCAAAGTAACATCGAACAGGCGGACGTCAGGGTATTGGCTGTCAGACTCCGCAAGGAGTTTTGTCTCCTGCATTCTTTCGGCCAGTCGTGGGCCACTAAAAAGCACGCCTTTGTGCAAGGAGACAGGCGGCCGAAAACAACGTACTGTGTAGTCAGCTATGGAGACCTCGTCTGATGAATCCAGGCACAACCCAGTTGGATTTTAGCTTGTGTCCTCGGCTGCAGCCGGACTCACGTCCTGGCATGACCCCGAGGGCCTGGATAACGGCTTACGCTCTAGGTCTTCACACAACAGCAGCAGCAGCAGATACGCTCTCAGATGCTTCAAGGTGAACGAGGGCTATCAATGTCCCCGGAGTGGCTGAATAATCTGCCGGGTACAGTGTGGCTCCCTCTAGCCGCGTGTCAGCGGAGTGGTTGAGAGGAAGCGCTCCGCACTCGCAGCTCTTGTACACTACGCTACTGCGGATCTCCAGGAGCTGGTCGGGACGAGCAGCCGCCTGAGGTCTCTCCCTTGTGCGATGCGACTGTTGCGGTGGGTGAAGATCTCAGTCTGGCCGATCCGGCCGAGGGCAGCGACGAAAATCAAGTGACTAGGGTAAGATTGGAGTCTCCACCCATCCAGGATCTGTCGTCATTCACGTGCACGATGAAGATGGAGTTCGGACGAAACCAGGGGGGGCCCAGGGGATTGAAAATTAATCTGTCCCTGGTGACCGGGCCTGCCACGTGTGTCTAAGTGCGCGCTGCGGGCAGCGCCGTGCTGGCCCGCCGCCTACTCGAGCGGTCCAGGACCAGATGTACCGAGCCTGTACCGCACCACACCCTGCACACCTTTCGAGACTGGCACAGCCCAGGCCGGTACCAAGGATACCTTGACCATCAAACAGGGATCGGTGTGGGGAGACCATGGGCTCCCTGGCCAGGGCAAGGACTACCCAGGTCGGCCTACCACGCAGTCGTCCCTGAGTGCACGGGCACTCGCTCATTTCAACCTCTGCCCATTTGGTTACTATGCCCCGCGAGCCTATCTTTGTCGGGCTGCAAAGCGCGGCTCTCAAAAGACACACCGTTATGGCCCTCGCATCCGTCACAGTCCCCAGCTGGCTGGCCCCTGACGCTCGTGGCAGCTCCCACACAGTCAAGACCGGATCAACCACAAGACGTTGTCAGCAGCCGCGACGGCTGAGCGATCACCCCTTCACGCTCCACCGGCTCCCAGGCGCAACTGGCGCACAACTGGCGCAGTGGCAGGTTATCGCCATTGCAACCAAACGCTGTCACCCTCGGGTCGGGCCCAGCCAACTGCATCTCCTGCATTGGCCATCTCTGCCACGCGCCACGCCTTGTATGGTTGACGTTGCGAGCAGCCTCGCAAGACCCGCTCTGCTGCCGGCAGATTCTTAATGCTCTCGGAGTCGCTTCGGGGCGTGTTGTTGCCCACCAAGACAAGATACGGTCAGGCGCTTGCGATCATCTTTCAGCCCCTCCCTCTTGGTGCACAGTGTTGCCTTCGCAAGGGCGCCTCGGGATAGCGAAGTGCCTTCCTACCTTGCTTCTTGCATGCGCCCACCCTCGCCACTGGTCCAGCGCATTCCGGTTAGGGGCGTTCTCCTGCAGATTGACACCTCCGACTGGCAAGCGATTGGCTGGAGGTCAACCGGGACCTCAGCTTGCCGCAAGAGGATCAGCAGGCCATCCTTGCGGCGATCGTTTGTGCGCCGCCAACCAAACCAGGAAACAGTTCAGTCTTTTGGGCCCGTCAGGCCCATCTGGATGGATATCAAAATTCGTGCAAGTCTGTTCGCATCCGGACTCCGTCATCTCGTGTCAACAGCACATCGGTGACCAAATTTCTGAAATAGGTTACGCAAATCGGCGACCAACCCGACAGTGGACGATTGTGTCGGCCCCAGGTATCACTATGTCGCTTTCCCCTCGTCGTACCGTACAACCGCTGTCGTCCGGCCTCATCTGGCAGAAAAGAATGGGGCACAGAGCAGAGGCTAACCAAGACGGCACCAAATTGGCCGGTTGTAAGCCTCGTGCTTGTCTCGGGGGATTCTACTGGGGCAGCTGGGGTGCCGACTTTTCTGGGCTTCCTTGTGGTATCTCTGCCATTCTTCCGTGAACCCTCGGGACCTTGCAGTTGGTGGCTGAGACAGGCAACCATCTATACGGCGGATGGTGGAGAGAGGTTTGCCCTCCATTGTGAGGAAACAGTCTCTTGTTGCCCCCGCAGCCACACCCAGTGGGTCGGTAAAAAGACAGGGCTTGGAAGGGTTCGAGAAAAGACTGATCCTATCGTATCCCCCAACCCCCTTGTCATCGGTGGCCGGGTTGGTGCCTGGACGGCCTTTTTCAAAACCCATCTATACTCGGTGGTGGAGATATTTGTCTGAGACCTCGAGGATAACATTCGCTCATCTTGCGTCGGGAAGTAAACTCCCGTGACAGTCCTGTGTTCGCCCCTGTACCGTGGACTCGGTATCCGCCTCTTGATCGAGAAGCGCCGCGATCGTTGCCGCTGAGGTTTCGGTGACACCCGCGCATTCTCATGGCATTTATGGATTCTCTGAGAGAGCCACCGGCTCCCGAATCAGGCCGGCTGTCTCTCTTCTTCCAGGGTGCTACGTTGTGTGAAGGCTTCTTTGCGACATCAAAGTGTCTGTCCGGTTCGGTCGACAGACTGACACACAGGCTAGAAGTACACTGATAGATGTTGTTCTCATGAAGACATTTAAACCTGCAGCTTGGTACCGCCTCTCATTGCGGTGGTGGAAGCCTTTACCACCCGAGCTTTCTGATCCCGACAGAAGCCCAGTCAAGCTGCAGCACGTTCGCAGGCATTCACTTAATTTCTCGTCTTCGGATACCTGCTTGTAGTCGTTCATTGCGACGGGGTTTCCCTTGACTCAGAGACACTTGTACGGATACTTTCGTGTCTGTCTCTGGCGATTTGTCACGCTGACAAGGCCCGAAGGCTCATGGTGATGATTCATGTTCCAGCCATGTTGCGCTTCCCGGACCTGTGATGCTGTGTTGCCACCGATGCCGCCTCGGTTGTTGTCTGCGTCGCAAAAGCAGAGAGAGCCAACCAGCCATGATGCAGCAGCGTGAGCAAAGTGCATTTCGGGGCCATGCGAGATAGCTTGGACATCACGAGTTGCAGGATGGGCATGTGAGATATGCACAATCCTGCAGGTTAGATTGCGGTATTTCGCTACAGGTCACGCTCCCCTTCTCTCTCTCAACTGGGCAACCAGAATGCTTCTCTAAATGTCTGATTCTATCATGGTGAGTCAGTGCCAGTGCACCGGGCTAGCCCACGCGAAGGAAATCTGCAGAGTTGCCGATGATCATCGAGGTCCTGCGCTATCGCCGTTGACCATGGGCAGCTCCGCCAGCCGATTCGAGAATTCCAACGCGACAAGTCCGTCCTCGATCCCGACGATCTTGACAGAGTCCAAGTCCCTGACGATCCAGTCTGGCTCAGCGGCCTTGACCTGTTCTGCGGTATGACTAGACCTTTGGTCAGTATGAAGACCGTTTCCAGCTTTCATTAAAATGAGGCATTGGGCGGCCTACCTTGTTACGAGCCCCAAGACCTTACACCCAGCCGCCTTACCAGCCTTGATGCCAGCAGGCGAGTCCTCCAGCACAAGTACGTTTTCATTCTGATCAGCACCAGAAAGGCCGATCCGTTCCAAGCCCATCAGATAGCAGGATGGGTCGGGTTTTCTGTGTCGTCCTGTTAGACATTTTTTCCCATGGAGAGGCGCGGGTAAGGCTTAGGATATCTCGACAGGCCAGGAAAAGCACGAGAGGGGATCATTACCCATTCTGGACGCTCTCTGCAGTCACCAGGTGTTCTGGGTTGGGCAAACCGAGCACTTTAAGCCATCCCGTAACGAGAGGAACTGTTCCCGATGTGACAATTGCCCATGGGATGTTGCGATCGCCGATTTCTTTGAGAAGGGCACGGGCACCGGGGATCTCGTATGCGTCCTCACCATGGTATTGTGGGAGAAGACCCTCCATGTGTTTGACATCTAGGAAATAGGGTCGGTCAGTGGCGTGTTGCGGGTGGAGGGGGGCCCGCCCTGGCTGTCCTTGTCTGGCAAATCGGATCATGTCCTTAGGGGAACGTGAAAAAGGGCAGATGCAAAGAACACGTCGCCTCGTGGTTGAGCAGTCTCAGCCGAGCACAACGGCCCATACTTTGGTCAGTTTTTGGGCTCTGCCTATCCTGCCAGGTGTATGCAGGATCTCGACATGCAGTCTCCTGCCGAGCCAGCATCGACAAACACAGCTGGACGCGGCTGGGAGCCGGGGATCCCCAGTCCATTCCAGCTACTCTGAGGGACCCTCACATCCCAAACCAGACCTGAGAGCTATTTGCCTTGCTTCTCAGATTGCACGCCAAGGGCGGCCGTTGCGTGGGAAGCGGGGACAGGGCATTTGGGTGGCCAAACTTACATTCCCAGTTCGCCTTTTCAGGCGCCAAGATCTTGAGGATGTCTATACTCCTGCGGCCGTGGGACGTCTCAAGGATGACCTCGGGCGCCACCCCGATTTCTTTTCCCACGCTTCGGGGTTATCAGTGGGCTGCCAGGAAAGGGTTGGAACGCCTCGAGAGCCTATTTGGGTTCCAACTTACGTATGCCAGTGCTTCACAACCGCATTTGTTGAGTCTATAATTGTTCCCTGCGACACTATCAGTAAGTGACTCACATTTCCCATAATCAAGGGAGTGGCCACAAAGTTCAGCTCCCGGCATTCGTCATGCAAAGGACATCATCTCGAATTGACGTCCTACAGCAGACAAGAGCCAGGTATGAGGTCACTCACGTCCATGTCGAAGAGGAAGCCGCGGAAAGAGGCCCGTACGGGCGGAGCTGAGAAGGCCATTGTACTTAAGTATATTTGAAGAATGTGGTCGAAGGTCAAAGTGTGATGGTGATATAGAGAAGAGAGATGCAATAGGATGCTCAGTTTGTGATTTATACGTGTCACACAAGAAACTGGAGAACGAGACAATTGGCAAAAATCTATCCCCAAAAATGTAAGAATAAAACACGCGGGCAGCGAACAAGTTCTTTGGGCGCTGTTGGTGATGACAGACGGCGGCCGGCGGGCGGCTCCATCGGAACTACCAAATCAAGTTAAGTGCCTCCATAGTCTTCCGGTGTAATGCTCTGATACAACCTCCCCTTGCTTCGCGGTGGTTCCACCGCCAATTTTTACTAGCAAACATGGGGGTTTTGTTCCTGATAGCCCCCACTTTTTGTCAGGCTAGATTGCTGCCAGAAAAGCCCGGAAGTCTTTTAAAACTGCGCTAGGTGAATAAGTGAGAATATTGGGCCTTCTGTTCGCCTTGCCGACGAACCCCCCCTCCAAGCTAGGAATGGAAGGGCTAGGGTTCTAATCGATTGCACTGGGCGGTGAGAATTTTCTGCTTTCTGCCGCTTTTCATCGCCTTTTGCTCGAGGCGGTCGCAGTCCGCCAAAATGAGCCAGACCTCCTCCACCACAACGATTCCAATCCGGTCTCCCTAAGCCCACGACTCGAAATGGCTGGTTCGATCAATAAACCCAAGAGTGAGACCACCAGGCAAGTTAATTGACAAGTGCACGGCTGACCACTCGCCTGTAGAGCCCAAGTCGAAGCGGGGCACCACGAGATTACGGGCTAAGATCGAGAAGAAGTCCCATGCCAAACAACGAAAGGAGAGGAAGCAGGCCAAGAAGAACCCAGAATGGCGCTCTAAACTGAAGAAGGACCCGGGTATCCCGAACCTGTTCCCCTACAAGGAGAGGCTTCTGCAGGAAATTGAGGAAAAGAAGGCCCGGAAGGAGGAGGAGGCTCGAAAGCGCAAGGAGGCCGTCAAGGCTGCCAAGACTGGCCAGGTCGAACACGCTGACGATGGCGAGCAAGTGATGGCGGAGGATGTTGAGAATGATGATTTCGAAGTGGACGACGACATGATGGAGGACGACGACGTTGACGAGTCGAATCCGATGGCTGCGCTATTGGCAAGCGCAAGGCGGGCCGCCGAGGATTATGAGCGGGAGCTGCAAAGTGGCGACGACGACATGGAAGACGACTCGGATGATGACTCGGACGGCTCCGAAGATGGTTCTCCAGGGGTTTCGCGAGGGGCGGGCGACCTGACTTCACGGAAAGCCTACGACAAGGTTTTCAAGCAGGTCGTGGAGCAGGCCGACGTTATCCTCTATGTGCTCGACGCCAGAGACCCCGAGGGGACAAGGTCGCGGGATGTTGAGAAGGCCGTCATGATGGCAGCGTCAGGCGGGAAACGACTTATCCTGGTTCTCAACAAGATCGATCTTATCCCACCGCCCGTTCTGAAGGCCTGGCTCGCACACTTGCGCTCCTACTTCCCCACACTCCCCATCCGCGCATCCAAGGCCGCACCGAACGCTCATACTTTCGAGCACCGCGACTTGACTGTTCAGAGCACCAGCACGACCCTGTTCCGCGCGCTCAAGGCCTTCGCCGCAAGCCGCAACCTCAAGCGTGCCATCTCCGTCGGTGTCATCGGCTACCCCAACGTCGGAAAGTCCTCAGTCATCAACGCGCTGCTCTCAAGACTAGGCGGTGCCCGGGGCGGCCGATCGGCCTGCCCAGCAGGTGCCGAGGCCGGCGTGACGACGTCGATCCGCTCCGTAAAGATCGACAGCAAGCTGACCCTGCTCGACTCCCCCGGTATCGTGTTCCCATCGACGTCCGAGGTGTCCGGCGAGGGCGGCTTCGTGCCCAAGAACCCGACCGAGGCGCACGCCCACCTGGTGCTCCTGAATGTCGTCCCGCCAAAGGCCATCGAGGACCCCGTCCCCGCCGTCACGCTCCTGCTCAAGCGGCTGTCCACGTCCCAGGCCCTGATGCAGAGGCTGATGGGCGCGTACGACTTGCCGCCCCTCCTGTCCAATTCGGACACTGGCGACGCGACCATGGACTTCTTAGTGCAGGTTGCGCGCAAGCGCGGTCGCCTTGGCAGGGGAGGCGTCCCCAACATCCAGGCGGCAGCCATGACAGTAGTGACTGACTGGCGGGACGGTCGTATCCAGGGCTGGGTCGACGCGCCGGCAGTGGCTGCGGCCGCTCCAGCGGCCGATGGCCTGACGGCTGTTTCCGGCATCAAGCTGCCCGCTGCTGCACCGCCCGTGGACACGGCTGCGGATCAGAAACAGATTGTCACGGAGTGGGCAGCCGAGTTCAAGCTCGAAGGGCTCTGGGGCGACGATGAAGCTTCTGCGGTCAAGGAGGTCGAGATGGAGGGCTAGAGGCGTTATCCCGGAAGGTGAATGGAGAATGGAGGAAACCCTGATGCTTCTCATGAAGAGCAGAGTTTGGTGGCAAATACTGTATGCTGGGGGCGTTCGGAGTCAGATATGTGATACTCAAGACGTCTATTCTAGAAGTCAGGAATGATAATCAGAGCACCAAAATATTCCCAACCCCGAAACTTGTGGACGAATGTTATCAACCTCGCAGACGAAAACAGGCCCTGGTTTTGAAGCTTTCATCAGCACCATGGTCCTGTACATGTCGGTGTAGGGCAACAGGAGCCCAGGTCTGTCCTCGGGGATGACTGAGATCCAAGGGAGGAAGGCCCAAGAGATAGGAATAGGTCCAGAACTTTGAGGGTCCGAAGGGTAACGTATGTCAGCCTTGCGTGGCCCAATGTATCGGCCACAAGGTACTCATGTCGTTTTATTCAGTATTATAATATCATTTCACTTACGATGTGCTGTTCGAGGGAGGGTCCACCAAGTTGTACCATCTGTCATCTACCACGCTCGATTCATTTATTGCAACATTGGACAAGCGTTGCTTAGCTCAAATTTCGCCGTGGCCTGAGCCAGATCACGCCATCTCAAGCGCATCCGGCCCCAAAATACCGTGGGGCAGTCTATGGCTTGTCATTTATTCAAAGTACAGAAACCAGCTCCATCTTGGCAGTCCTCTTGCCCGTCGACTCTTCCTTCTGGTCACTGATCCTAACCCTGACTTTCTGGAACAGCTCCACGGTGACCTCCCTGCTCCCCGAGGTCTTGAGGACGTAGTTCTCGGCGTCGTACGTGGCCTGCGGCTCTGGCTCGCCGAGGTCCCGCAGGCGGATGACGCTCTCGATACCGAAGCGGGGCACGAGGACGACAAAGCCGTTGCTGAAGATCTTCATGACGAAGCCGTCCTCCTCGGTGACCCTGCCGCGGACCGCCTGCCCGACGTAGTAGGCGATCGAGGCCCGGCCCGCCAGCTGCGCGTTGCGGTGCCGCACGTTGATGTTCTTGCACACCGCCTCCAGCCGGCCGCGGCTCCGCACCGACGGCGCCACGGGCTCGTACTCGATCGCCGCGGCGAGCTGCCTGTGCGCCACCAGGTCTGCGTACCGCCGGATCGGCGACGTGAAGTGCGTATAGATCTCGGACGCGAGGCCGTAGTGGCGGAACTCTGGGTACGATTGCGTCCCCGAGCAGAAGTACTCAGCGCTCATCATGCAGCGCGTGGCCATGACGCGGACCAGAGTGTTGAAAAAGGGCTCGTTGGGATCCACGCACGCGTCGAGGCTGTCGGCCAGGGCGCGTGACGAGTCCACCGACAGCTCCAGGCCCCGCTTGACCTTGAGTTGGTTGGAAAGCTCGTCAAAGTTGGATTTGGGCGGGGCGCCGTGGCGTCGGAGGATGGCGGTCTGTGGGAACGCCTCGTAGATCTTGCCAGCAACGCTGATGTTGGCGAGAAGCATGAATTCCTCGACAAGAGAGTTGGTGTCTAGGAGCTGTTTCGTCTTGACGTCGATAGGGTCTGACGTTTCGGACTCCATCTGCACCTTGACCTCGGGCGAGGACAGGCTCAGTGCACCAGCGTCCATGCGCTTCTGCTTCAATTTCTTGGAGAGCATGAGTAGCGCTCGTATGCTCTGGGTGAGGTCGTCCTGCTGCGACGCATCGTCGATTCTGAGCTGCGCCTCCTCGTAGCTGAAAGCCTCCCTTGACTTGATGACAGACTTGGTGAACCGCACATTGACGATATCAGCGTTGGCGTTCATCTCCCAGAGTACCGAGAAAGCGTATCGCTCCACATAGGGCTTGAGAGAGCAGAGGTCCGTTCCGAGGAGCATCGGAAGCATGTCGATCCGCTTGTCAACCAGATATACCGTTGTGCCGCGTATGCTAGCCTCGGTGTCCATCGCGTTGTTTGGCTTCACAAAATGTGACACATCGGCGATGTGCACTCCAACCTCGAAATTACCATTTGGTAATGGTTTTGCGTGCAAAGCATCGTCAATATCTTGACACCCGATGGGGTCGATACTGCAGATTAGCAGCCCTCGTAGATCCTCTCGGTCTCTCCATCCTGGATCGTCTGTACTGGCTGGGACCTTCCAGTCATGTCCTTCCTTTGGCAGGCAGTCCAGCACAGTCTTGGGGAACGGTCGGTATTGTACGTCATATTCGAGAAGCAATGCCTCCGTCTCCGCAGCTTTGGTCTCCATCTCGCCGAGAGTTCGCACGAGATGTCCTACAGGATGTCTCGAATCGCGGTCCCATGCATCCATAGTGACCAATATCCTCTTTCCGAGCAAATCTGCCACCTGCCGCGTGCGCAGCCGAATCTTGGGGATTTTCTTGTCCATGGGAACGAGAAATACCGTATCTTGCCTCCTTCCTTGCGTTGAGGATTGGCCGACCGACGACTGGTCGATATGGCCGACGTATTGGCGCCAGTTGCGTTTGATTACACCCACGACTTTTGCAGTCGGCTGAGCATGGCCTTCTCCTGTCTTGCCCTGTGTCCTCTTCACCTCGTCCTGAAGCGCCTTCTTCTCCTTGACTGAGACTAGTTCCTCCCCTTCGTCACCATCTGCATTTTCGTTCTTTGTTAGTGCTTCTTCCTCGATGATCTGTGTGGATGGCTCTTTCCACTGGTCTTTGGGTAAGACCTCGACGACGACAACATCGCCGTCGACCGCCCTGTTGATGCTCTCTCTGCCCATGACTATCAGTGCCTTGGGGAAAGCAGGCACTCGAACTGAGCCCTCCAGGTAATTATAAGGAGACGTGTTGAACACGCCCTGATGGAGGAGTCCACCCTTGACCCCCGTCATCATCTTGGACATTGAGTAATAGTCTGGGTAGATGTGGCCACCGGGGCCGCGCGATTTGTCGACCTCTGTCTGCGACTCGGGGATCATATCCATTAGCTCATCCGCGTTCTCCAGGCCCTTGACGTACTCGCCCAGAGAGCACGCCGCGATTCCCTCTGCCTTGGCTTTCCGCAGGTTGTCGCGGTCGTTGCTGAGCATGACCACGGTGGGCACCTTCTTCGCCTTGGTCCTGGCCAGGTGCTCGCCATACCACGCGACGGCCTTGCGCACGGCGCGGTCATTGCGATCATTGACGGTCTCGCCAGACTCACGGGCGACATAGGTCTCGAGGCGAAACTCGTTGAAGAACACGTAGAAGCGCTTCTCGTCGCTCTTGGTGAGGCCGATGAGACGATTGTACAGCGGGAGAGAGCGGTTGCGCAGCTCCTCGAGGACAATCTGCAGCACGACGACGTCGTAGAAAGCTGAGCTCTGCTCAAAGAGGTCCATGGCGTTGAGGAACGCATTGGTGTCGGGGACGAGGTAGTGGCCCTTGGGGAAGGCTTTGGTGCCAGCAGGCTCCCGGGAGAGCACAAAAGGCGCGACTATGATACGTGTGAGCACGTGGTCGCGGACAGACGTAGGCGGATCCGTCTCTTACCTCTCCCTGCTGCATCTCGAGGGGCAGACTTGAGGCAGCTCGAACATAAGTTGGAGGAGCAGGGGATGTCTTGCCTCAGGTACACCTCCTTGACAATCTTCTGCAGCTTGCCAGCCTTGGTGGAACGGATGTAGACCTTGCTGGCGATGCTTGAGGCCAGCGGGTCGGAGCCCAGGCTCCTCTTTAGACTGGTCATCTCGGCGAAGTCTATTGTCTGGGCATCTGGTGTGATCCGTCTGTTGCTGTGAACGGCCGCTTCTGATGTGATGTAGTCTATTGAAATTTCAATGGGTCTGGGCCCGGGGTTTATCGATAAGGCGAGGCCTGCTTCTTGGATGATGCAAGGCTTTGGATGGATTCTCCTTGTTCTCGGCGGCCAGTGCAGCAGATGCCCAGGGAATTAGTAAGCCTCTGTCGTCCGACACACTCAGATGTCCAAGTGATCTCTCATCTGCAGCCGGTGCACAAGCAACCAACACGATGGGGAAGGCCTGGGAGGGATCGTGAGAAGCATATCACGTGGCTAGATTACTAAGCTGGTCGGCCAGTCGAACATGGCCTGGCCTGCTGTTTACCTAGATACCTAGTTGGGCAACACGGCATGGAGTAGATTGTCCCCATGCGCTCGGAGAGATACCTAAAGGTATCACGGAGCTAGAGTAGCCGCGTGATCGAATCGCACCCGAGTCAATCAACGCGCATGACAACCGTCTGTACTGTCAGATAGACGAGGCGGGAAAAAGTATGGGTAGCCTGCAGAGTGGTGCACGCAGATGCCTCCCGTCACCATCGTCTCAAAGACACCTGGCAGTGTAGGGGAAGGGCTCGTCCCTGGTTGCAAACGTTTCTGATCCACTGCTATCCCGTCTTTTACCTTTCCAAACAGCAGGTTTTCAAGGACGGGGCTGTGCGACTCGGACTGGCTGCCGGGCACTAAACAACCTTCAATGCGCCTCTGACCAAGGGGTAGAAAAAGCAAGTATATCTCGAGTCAGAGAGTATCTGTGTACGGGGTAGTCTGGCAGGGGAGCTGCTGTGATTCGCACGCTCGATCAATTGCTCCATGGTCCGACAGCAGATGTCTCCCGAGACCCTTGCTACATGATATGTGTACATACACATACACATACATATACACATGCCTAGGTATATATTGCCTACCCATAGGCCGTACTATCGTGCACCGCAGGCATGTCCTCGGAAGCCCCAGAGCCTAACCAGGAGGCTTTCGGGGTGGTGCCCTTGCTCTGATCGCCGGTGCCGAGCCAAATCAGAACCTGGACTTGGTTGCGATCAAAGCTTCGGCCCCGTCCTCGCCCACCGAGTAGTAGTGCGTGGCTGCTGCGGTACTTGGATACAGCGTATGGATGGTAATGGAGCACTGGCATACATAGTGTACAAGCGGCCGGTGGGGGCCCCAGGGGCCCCTCCAAGGTCCCGCCCCGTTGATCCACCTGTTGAAACCTTGACAAGGCTTGGTCCAAGCAAGGGGTGGAGGAGATGGAGGAGCTGTTCCTTGCCATGACGGCACTCAAATGATCAAGAGACAGGTGCTGAGGCCGCCCTGAGCGCCGTGTCATGTTGCATTCCTCGCGCTCCATGTTAGACTTCTACTTTTAGCACGGGCAGCCTTGTTGCACGCGGCGCAGCGCAGCATCTTCACAGTAGCACAGTTTGACCCGTGTACGGTACGACGGTGTGCGGTTGTGCGGTACAGAGATCACACACAGATAGATAAGATAAGTTGCCGAGCAGATGGGGTCCACCAGTCCGCCCATCCGCCCATCCGCCCACCCATCCATCCATCAACTGGACAGTCATCATCGTGGATCCACCGTGGCCCGCGCTGGCCCGTGCCTGCTGGCCCTCGGCTTGCCTTTCTGCCTGCCTTCTCCCGGCGTTAGTGCGAACAATTCCAGAACTCAACCTCATCTCATGGCTGGCTGACGTGCCAGCATGACCAGTGGGCATCTGCATCTGCATCTACACCTGCACCTGCATCTGCATGACTGATATCATCAGGGCCACTCTGTACGTCTGCGGCGACGGTGCAGCATCTCGGCGGCCAACCTGGCCGATGACTGTCCCAGAATGGAACGCACTCACCAACAGGCGACCCACAGAGGGGTCCCATTCTGCTCGCCTGCATCTGGCGCAGCTTGGTACCATAATCCTCTGGCTGCGTCTCTTGCGTCAGCAGCGTGCGGCGGGCGGCGGTGGCGGCGATCCATTCGGGGCCTCCTCCCTCACTCCCTGCCCTGAAGGGAGCTCTGGGCCCTGGGCCCTGGGCCCTGGCCCTGGGTCCCCAGGTCCTTGCCTCTGCCGGGCCACACACCCTCTCAGAAACCCCGTTGCTCGCGGATCAGTCGGGGTTGCAATGCGTCTACATAGTATCCTGCCCCCAATGCGAACACCCACGAGGTCAGAAGCATCCACGACACCTCCATGCCCGCATGGGTGACGTTTACTCACCTCCCAGGATGGCTGCTCTGTCCCAGGCCATGAATCCCGACTTCTGGTTCTTAACGGCCGCCTCCCGGATCCGTCAACTCATAGTTCACCAAGTAGGTCTTGAACTAGCACCGCCGTACAGCCAGCCCCCTTTCTGTCGTGTCCTGGCGCACGGCGCGACGGGAACACGGACAGTGCCTAGATAGGCTTCCGCTTCTTGTGTGACTCAACTACCTGTCTTACGTGAGGGACCAGCCAGCCAGCTAATCGCAATCGAGGCAAACCGCCGACCGCAATGGAGAAATTGGGGGGTCTCGGTACTGGTACCCGCAACCGAAGTCGCTCGCCCACGAGGGAGCACTTAGGGGACTTTTGGAGGTCGCACAGTCAGGACTAGCGCCACGGATTGGCGTTATCTGAATCGTGTAATCTTTCCGAGGCCCGTCGAGAGGGCCTCAGGAAGCACTATTGACAGTTGACGACCACGATCCTCTGGGTGGAATCTTCAGCATGTGTGCAATTGAGCCGCCGCGTCTGGTCTGTGTGCGCCATCAGCATCTGGATCCTGTTGAATAAACCAGCGTCACCGAGGCAGCTATGATGCAGATCGAGACACCTCCTTGTCCAGGCTGCAGAACGGGAACAAGGGACTGCCCGTTCAGTCTCCTGCATTCGACCAATGCAACTCGAACAGCTCCCTTGTCCTGATCGACCACCCAAGGCGGAGTTGGTGTGGTCGTGGCTGCGGCGGCACATCCTCGGCGGTGTTGGGTGGTGGGTCCGCTTCTAGACTGCGTTTGACAGCCTTTTTTTTTTTTTCAAAGGCACAAATCCCATTTCTGCTGGCCTGGAATTATCTCGATGTCCATGCGAGTGTCCCCGGCGTCTCGAGGTCATCAGGCTCACACCTCAGTCAGGCCCCAACCTGATTCGGAGAAAAGTGAGAAGCTCGAGGGTCGTCGAGCCGTGGCGTTTTCAAATCAGGCTCGTCTATCAAACCCGTCTGATGGAAGACCCAGTTTGCGATCGGTCGATGATTCGACGATTCACATCGAACCTGGCCAGCCAAACTCCAAGGGCTTCTTAAGTGTCAGCTGGACGGGTCGTTGCGACGCTGTGGAGGCCAATCAGGTGTTCTTCTTCATGACAAACCCATTCACAGAGTTGACCCTGTAGCGCCCGTCTGGACTTGGCCTGCTACGCGCCAGGCTCCATCCTGGTCCTTCACACCCTCCCCCATCTCGTGCGTGCCTTGACTCAAGCTCTTCTTCCACACCCTCTTCGTGGCCCGTAGCGGTGCTGGAGCTCCGTTTGTCGTGCTCCCGCACCTTGGTCCCGCGACCCTGGACCATTACAGCCACTCGACAGCACTTGGGTTTCCACATATGCGAATACTTCAGATACGCGTTTTCTCATATCTGGTAGCTCCTGGCCTGCTTCACAAACAACACCAAAGAAATTAGCAGCTCTCAATTCATCACAACGTGGGATGCTCCAGTGGCCGAGTCCTGGCTGGCAAGGAATCCCCACGTCTAGGCTATCTGATGTTGCATGCGAGGATGGCTGGGTGGAAAAGCCAAAGGCGTCTTCCTCCACCGAGCTTTGCCCTGGGCAGTGCAGAGCATAAGCCGCTCTTGCCTGGTCATCTGTACCGGCCCCCGGCAGGCTTGACATCCATCTCTTGTTGAACTTGCTCTAGCAGGCTGTCCGTCGGCAAAAGTGACGGAAGTGATGGAAACATGGCTCACTGTGCGTCTGTCCATTGCGACATTGGTGAGGAATACCTGCATGCGATATTTGTCGATGCTATACGTGAGCACGGGTCGAGTAATATCTTGGTCAGATCGGTGGGATTCGCGAGGCGAATTTCTGCTGGCCCATTCTTTTTGCCGTCATCGCAACTGAAGTGTATTTGTGCTCCCGCAGTGTACCTTGGGCAGGCCGGTCATGATTACGGACACGCGGGCAGAGCCCTGTGACCACAGGCGCGCTCCGTCCATGTTTGACTTTGTCGCACCGATCTGGAGTGTCTCGGGCATCATACCGACCACTCGCATTCCTGAGCAACAGTCGCAGTGATGGCCGTAGACTACCACATTGTTCGTCATCAGATGCCAAAACATGCCAGTCCCCCCACTCGAGACAAACACGAACAAAGTACTCGTGACGGACGGCAGCAGCAGGGCTCCTGGCGATGGACCACGGGTTTAACAAGCCCCCTTGAAGCACGCCCTTCCTGCGTCGTCAGCGATGGATGCAGCTACGGCTTGGCTCTGGACGTACATGCAGCCCGCGTGCATTCTGGGGGAGGCGAGTGTGCTGGAGGCTTGCCTACCTACCCGTTCTGGTTAGATGCAATCGACGGGTCAGATCTTTTATCGGCATGCCGAGACCTCGGACTCGCTGTCATATCAACGTGCCGCAGGGCAGAGCAGTGAGCGAACAAGGTACTGTGGTAGGTACTAGTAGGCAAGCAGGCAGACAGACGGGTCGTATCATGTTGTGGAAAGCGAATACGCGGCAGGCTTGTGGGCCTTTCCCTCAGGTATCGACGGGAGTATTTCCTGAAATTCGACAGCGACTGACAAGTATTATTACCAGGTAATATCCTGCCGACAAGGGTCAGAAGCATGCCGTCTGTGCCCACGCGAGCTAACGAGCAGCTAACGACCTCGGGAAGTAGCTTGTGACCAGCGAGCCTGCGAGCTTGCATGTACGGAGCAGGGCCTAGGTGCTGTGGCGTCAAACATCGTGCAAGCCGCAGCAAGTTGTTGAAGAAAAGCTGCGGTCCTGATATCATCGATGTCTCAAACCCGAGGTGCCTGGGAATTCCCTGAGCGAAGCACCCAGCTGTCAGGCTGTGCGCTGTATCTCCCGGGCCCTCAGGCCCTCGAGGCAGGACCCATCCTATTAAGGCATGAATTTGGGGAAGTCGAGTCTCGCGTCATGTGTCAACCGCGGTGGGGAAGT